TTCAAAAAGAAAAAAAAGGGAATAGTTTTTGGATTCCAGACACAAATGATATTCCAATAAAAAAAAAAGTTAAAACAGTTGATAAAGTCAGTATAAGAGCACCTTTTGCTGATATTTTATCCATCGATGAAGACTTTAGTGAAAGTAGCGATATTTTAAATGGAATCAGAACAAAGTTTATACATGATGTTCCAAATTTAGATTCCCCTATTATAATTTGTAAACAAGATAATAAGGAGGATTCCTAACTATTTTGATTATTTGATTTCATGTTTGTATATAGTTCATAGATTTATTATAATTGACTGAAAAATACACACGCTCAGCTATTAGGAAAATAGAATAGCAGTCCATATAATTTTCTGATTCCCTATCAAATTCAATATAAAATGGTTCTATTTAACATTCTTAGTAATTTGATAAAAAATTAAGTTTAATATCATTAAATTATAAGTATATTTTCAATTCAATGAAGGATAGTGACGAAATCGTCTTCATCACTTACGCAATAATATGACTATGCCAGCTGGTAATATACATGGGTTTCTGTTAGTGCCATAAAAAATGATTCGCCATTCTCTGATTTTGTTTATTTTAACTAGATAATCATAAACTATATTACCCTTCTCCACAAATCTAACAAATCTAAGGCATTCTTAACACAAAACGATATGGCCATTGATGGATCAAGTTAATTGCTGTCTATTAATTGAATGCTTTAACAAGTATATGAGGATCGATCATTTTCCATTTCTTAGTAATTTTATGCGTTTTAAACATAATGAGGGTCCAAGTAGATATAATAATTTCCAACTCTTCCCAAGATATACAAGGCTTTGTTAGGGAATCCACCTAAGATACCTTGGAATTAGGGGTATGTCATTATGTCATTCAAGACTTTTAGATATTCTTGATTGCAAGTATCCAATCCAATTCTTGTTAAAATAAAGATTGAAACTCCAAATTCATCATTTTAACCTTTCTCTATCTATTCTTTAAGCCATTCTTCATCTCCTCCATTTTTATTGAACATTAAACTGATTACATCACTTAAAATAAAGGCATTTTCATGATTTATGTGCATTCTCAGATTTTTTTAGTCTATTTTATTAATGAATTAATGATACATTTAGAATATCGAAAGAGATACTTCAATACAAACAAAATATCGTTTGGTTTGTACCATTCTCCTGGCGATTTCTAAAGTTCTAGTTTTGTCTGAACTACAATCTTCTATATGGAGAATGGTGACTTATATTGGATGGTTTGATCCCCATCATTGCGATCCATAAATTTAGACAGTTCTTCTTCATCATTATCCGCGAATTGTTAAATTAATTCTGTCAACTCTTAAGAGGAGCTCAAATTATAAAAGTACTTGATCTATTAACACATGGCCATCTAGCCTACACGAAGCATACATCCCCATCCTGTATCTGAGGTAAGTGTACTATCTTAAATCTATTATATAATTTAAACATTATAGTTAGAGTATTTTGCTTCGATATGAAAACCAAATCGTGCCTTCAAATAAGCTCTTCAATTTCTCCATCTTTTACTATCATATAACATGTGAAATTCTATTACGTCAACTGCTAGATCATCATTTATTACGTGATTGAGAATGTAAATATTATTAGGAATTTACCTCAATCTTTTCTCACTGTCTTGAAAATAGGAAATCAGAAAGAATCTAAGATTGTACCATCCATCTATGAAGGTTCCATAAATATATTACATATTATTAATAATCATAATTTCTAACCAATAAAATATATATCAATATCCCCCAGACATTTCATTAGCCAGCCAAAAAAACAAGGATGACTATGACTATATATGGATTTGAATGTTTCAAATGTAACTATTATATCATCGTCTTTTTAAATGGGTAATTAATAAATGTTATCTTCTTTATCAACAAATTAATGTTCTTTGAAATTAGAAATCATCATTTTTTTTTTAATTTGATATACATCTAATTTCTATTTACGAAGCTTCTCAATAATCATTTCCTATTCTCGCTTATACCTTCGAAATGTCAGATTAGGAATCTTTAACAATTTCGTATGATATGTCTTGTAATTGTCTCTATGATTGAACTCTTACCTCTGTCTTAATGTCCTTATTATGAAATTTGAATCGTCCGAAAAGCATTACTCAGAGGTTAATAATTAAAATAAGGAGTTGGAATCCAATATTGCCGAGTAATTATCTTAAAACACATAAAAACAGTAAAACAGAATATCTAAATTAAATCATGATTTACCAACTTTAGTCCAATCATTGAAACCCATGATCATATCGCAGTATTGCTTATAATTCATATTTTAAGGGACTTACAAATATCTAACTGTTTTTGTGGCGATCTATTCATTATGAAAAATCTGTATCAAATATTAATAAAGTCGGCTTTGCTCCAATATTGGTATTCCTGCAATGGGCTTAGCCAGTTTTCGGAATATGTCAATGCATTTTTCTTATAATTATTCTTCAGAATACATCATCATTTGATTAATAACTGAAATACGTAATTTAAGCCTCCTTCTCTTTACCTAAGAGTTTTTCATAGTAGTATTCTTTATAGGTAGAGTCTAAACACGCTAATTTAAATCTTCTTTGGTTTCAGTCCGTAAAATTTTTACCGAATGGTTCATGCGGGTTTTTGATTCATCAGCAATATCTGTGATTGTGATGTTATGTAATTTTGCATTATAAAATAGTTGCATTTTATTCTACTTTTGAGATTTATTTGATTTCATAATCTAATTAGACTAAAATTGCTACATTTGTCGAGGATTGTATTATAGGTTTCAGATTTAGCTCTAATCCTTCCTCGAATATTTTTTAGATAGTATATTGTAATGGTTAGTGAAGTGAAAGTGTTATTCTATTCTTTCTATTTTTTATTTGCTGTTCTTCCATTACTAGTATTTTATTATTTATTATAAATTATAAATTTTCTTTTAAATTAATTACTTCAATGATGCTAAATTAAAATCATATAGCAACATGTTTATATATTAATTTCAACAAATCTATTATAATGTTTTGGGAATTCATTATATTTTATAGTTATTTATTATAAAAATACTTTTTATTTGAATTACACATTCAAATTTTTACTTTTTATCATAACATTGTTAAATTATTATATTTGTCCAAGCATTTATAAATATATGAGTATTTTTAAATATTGAAATGTCATAATTAATGAAGAAGAAAATAAATGAGAGAGTCTTTAATTATTGGATAATTCACATTTTTTTAATTTCAAAAAAACTATAATTTAATTAACAATTAAATCTACTTTGATTTTTAAAACCCTAATGAAAAAATTCTCACAGAGTAGCACAGAAGAAGGTATTGGATTAAATTAGTAACATATTTAACAAGACTTTAATTATCCTGTTTTCAATAACATAATATTATAATGTTTAGTATTTATGTGCTGCCACTAATCCTTTTTCTACTCCTGAGAAAATCATTTTGATTTTGAACCTTATAGATAATTACTTACTCCATATTGATATACTCAACAAGTTGAAGGATAGAGCAAACAGAATTTTCGTTTTTTCAAATTAATTGTGTATGAAAATTATTATATAGTAATGGAAGAGTTTATGAAATAAAATATGTATCGTAAAATTTAAATTAAAGGATCATTATTTGAAATATATAGGCGAAGATCTAACAATCCTAGAAAAGGGTCCTATATATCCATCAAAAATATAGGCAAATAATGTATGCACATAATTTGTATGGCATGGAAGATTCTCATAGTATTCTGGAACCATTTTTCTTAGAAATGGTAACCTAGTCCAGGGAATCATAGGAAAATCATGATGTTCAGTGTGATATCCAATATTAAGAACAAAGAAATTAGCCCAACCAATATAATCATATGTTTCCATTCTATTAACAAACTCATAATGTTCTGCTATCAGGTGAGCAGCAAAAGGATGAACACTAAATTTGACTCATATTGATACCTCAACCCAAAATAAGTAGATAGTAAAAGCCATAGTAGTCCTTATACTCCTATATATTGAACTATCAAATAGTCCACGAATAAGACAGAAACTGCATTAATTACTTCATAAGCATTTGGCTTGAGTGGTCTCAAAATCACAGGTCTTAATGCATAAAATAAGGGTAGGCAAGCCACAAACAAAAATTTCATTACTGGCCCTTTTATATACTTTAATTCTAATCTAGATGGGAGATCTGGGTCTAGAGTTTCCAAATTTAAGAAGGTATGATGATCTGCATGATATCTAAACACATTTAAAGATGTATCTATACCTGCCAAAAGTGATAGCTGAGGGAACTCCTTATCCAAAGTTTGCCCAGATCGCCATCAATTTATTAAGTGCTAAGCTTTCAAAACATGTAAAATGTGTAAAATCATGTACCAAAACATGGAGTGCATGACTCAATGTTGCACCAAAAACATAAGCAGTTATCACAAACCAAAATAAACTGAGCTAGTTGAAAAGACTAATGAAGCTGAATTGCACTAACACAAATGTAATTCCTAACCAAGCTGAATTGATGTCATTTCCAAATAACACTTATATTTCTGGATGCTTTTTCAATATTTCTCTTCTTCTGACCGCATGAGATTCTTCATGACCTTGATAATCTTAATTGAATATTTACCCATAATGTGGAAATAAGCAGTATTTTTTTCAAAATTTGTTTATTTATAAATTTAGTCACTCTTCCATGATACATCATTACTTTTTTTAATGAGTCCTGGCTCTGTTAGATCTTCCAAAAGTCCGAATTGATTTTTCTTCATTTCAAATAAATAATATTATACATGTATTCAAAAAACATGTTAAATAATCTAAAAAGAATTCGGAAAGTCCAAAAATTTAAATCATTTCATTTTTATTTACTATTTTATAATAAATGTTATAAATCTATTCACACTTTATTTGATTCTTAAGAGTGGACAAACAATATTCACTATCCTTTTTATAATTATTAAACTACAAAGTATTCAATTAAACTCAAATTAAAGATTAAAATACCTTAAAAGAAGATTGGTATTAAATGATTCTAATGTGAGAATGGTCTGATATTTACTTAAAGAATTGTTGAAAAAAGTTAAATTAAAATTAGGAGCAAACTTGAGAATAAATTGATATTAACCAATTTGTAGATTAATAACTAGTTAACGATAATTATAATTAGCAAAATTGAAGAATTTTAAACCAATTTATTGTAAATCAAACTGAAATAAATGCAAATCTGTTAGAAATCATGAAATTATAATCTTATTTGATATTAATTATCAAGCTAATAATTTAGCATTTTAATTTCATTAAGAATAGTGAATAAATGATTAGATAATTCAACAAGGTTAAATTTATTAATACTTTAATTTACTCTAATACTTTAAAATAACTAATACTTCATCTATTTAGTAATATAGCATTATTACTCTCCTTTAAAAACGGAGACATCAGCCAAGGAATTACAATATAATATCATCATTAATTTATTATCATTTTTTGAACTCCTTATTAGCAAAGGTTAAAGGAACTCCTAACTCTTTTTGGGAGAAATATATATATAAATTGTTTAGGGATATCGAACTTGTATATTAATCTCATATTTAAATCTTTTTTAAAATATAAAAATATGGTCAGCAGATTAAGAAAATGCAGAAAGATGAGAGGACATGTTTGCCATGGTTATGGTAGAGTTGGAAAGCATAGAAAGCATCCAAGCGGTAGAGGTGTTTCAGGAGGTTTGACACATCATAGAATCAACTTTAACAAATATCATCCTGGATATTTCCAAAAAGTACATTTGATTAGTTAAATCGTAGACTGGAATGAGACATTTTCATTTGAAAAAGAACTAACTACATAAACCAGTAGTTAACATTGACAAGTTATGGTCACTTGTTACAGATGAAACCAGAGAAAAATATTCCAAATCTAAAGATAAGGCTGCAGTGATTGATGTTACCAAGGCAGGTTATTTTAAGGTCTTGGGCAAAGGAAGATTACCAAATCAACCAGTTGTGGTGAAAGCTAAATTCTTTAGCAAAACTGCAGAAAGAAGAATTAAGGCTGTTGGTGGAGCATGTATACTTGTTGCCTGATAAAATTTATATACATTAAAAACATCTGTCAAATACAAATATTTATATAAGAGAATCTGTTATCAATTAAATGAATGCTAGTCTCCACAAGTGTGTAAGAAATAATGGATTATTTATTTATTTTTTGAATGCAATTATTCTAGCTACTATTGGAAAATTTACTAAGTGTTCTTGTAATAGTTTCCCTTATTTGGGAGTTTGTTCCTCTGAAGGGAAAAAGAGGGACTGTTATGTATTAGTTATTTATAACAAAATAAATTTAATATTGATTTTAGCCATTTTATAGAAGGCATAGGTAGAGCCAGGCTTTGAGTATGTTTTGGAATTATTATGAAGGGCTTATCAATAATAATGGAAGATAAGTAAATTTAAGGATTATTTTTATTCATTTATAACAATCGAGTTTTTCGAAATATATAAGAATGCATAAATATTAATATTATGAGATTTTTATTTTGCGGAGACAGCAATTGTCCAGAATGGTTTTTGGCTGAGTCAGCTCTTCTGACTAAAATTGTATTAGTGTTGCAATATAAGTTTAGGCTTCTGTCAAAATGAAATTAGTGACATAATACATTTTATAGAATATAGTCGAAGGAGTCGACACTTCTGCAAAGATATTTAAGATGTTGGAAGGATCAGGTTTTAATTAATAGGAAATCAATTCAACTATTGCATGTGTATCATATATAGTTGAAAACTCTGCAAAATATGATGTTTCAGAATAGGTATTAATAAAAGAGCTTATTGATTTGGGTTTGCCTAAAGAAAATTGTGAATAGTTGAGCAAAACCTTTAAATAATATAAGGATAAGTTATAACAGGTTTACGAGAACCAAATAATAAGAAGTATAATAATAATATTATTCAAAGTTGGAAAGGCTGTAGAGTTTCATTATGGAATAAGTAAATTCATAGTATCCGAGAGTGTGGTTCCTTAGAAATAAATTGAAGGTAACAGATTTATAGACACAAACATCACATTCCAGCATGATAATGGAAAATAAGAGTGTTGTCAATTTGTGATATTTCCAGAATAACTGGAAGACATGCTTAACAGTTTTAAAAAAGCATAGAAACTAATGATGTAGTTGTGATTACATTAAACCACATATTAGATATTTATAAATCTATTTATTCAAATTTGAGATTTTATAATCCTCCATTAAGTTTGTATCATAACTAAAGAAAATATCTTAAGGTGTCTCTTTAATTCTAATCAATACTATCAAATAGTATCAAGTATTTAAATATCTAACCATATTAATCTCTACAATTTCTATGAATCCTCAAATTCAAAGAGGAAAGTTTCAGACACTAAATATCATCCTTTCAAAAAACTCTTTTAAAGAATTCCTTTAAAAATTTGATTAGTTTAATAGGTTGCTTATTAGACATTTTTTGAATTTATGGACTCTGGCGATGTAAATTAAAACAATTAAAAATAAAAAGTTTATAAATTGAATTGAATTTCAATTTTCAGAAATAAATTAGCAATCTTTTGTTATTTGGAAGAATACGAAATAAACACTAGGATATGGTTTCAAGACCTTTGGCTAAGAATATGTGGGTAAATATGCTTAGCTAAACGAAAGAATATCCTAAAATGATTATTTCTGATTATATCTGATAGAGTGACATGTTAATAAAGAAATTTATAAAGTGTAATTAAGAAAATATTGAAAATATCAAACAATTAAAAAAAACTTAAAATGATTATTTTTGTTAGAAATGGAGAAAGAGATAAGAAATATGATGGATTAAATAAAGCAGGTGCAGACTAAGCATTGAAAAGGGCAAAGGAAATCAAAACCTAAATTTAGGATTATTGTAATGAGAATGATTATGAGTTGTCTGATATCAACCTAATTATTTGCTCATCACCATTTAAGAAATGTTTAGAAACAGCAGATATTATTAAACAGAATATCGAATCAAAAGAGTTAAAGTTTAAGAAGAAATATAACAAAATATTCACACAATATGAATTGGGAGATTATTAACATCCAAAATTATGCTCAGCAGAAGATGTTAGTTTGGATTTTGCAGGAGCTTATATAAAGTCTGTAACTAAAGAAACTTTGATTGATCCAAAGTAATTGCCTCAAAATAATTATAAGAAGGAGACTAGTGAATAAGTAGAAGAAAGAATAGGAGCAGCAATTTATCAGATCACAAACAAATTATAAAATAGCAAAGATAATACCAAATAGGTGTATATCATTATTACACATAAAGTTACTCTTGAAATATTAGTTGATATTTTTGAAGGGAGCAGAGAAATTTCTGAATCAGGACTTATTACTATTAAGTTTAAATCAGATTCCACTTTTGGAATAAGCTTCGTCGGAAAAGTATTTAAAATGAAAGAAAAGAAATAAATAAACGAATAGTTTGAAGATTTTTAACAAAATATTTCAGAGGATGAAGATTAATAATAAGAAGATGAAGAGTAATAAGAAGATGGAGAGTAATAAGAAAATGAAGATAGTAACTGATATATATTTATGTTTATAAATCCTTTAAGTGAATTTACGCAACTATTTACATTTAAATTCTTTAGATTTTATCTTAATATTTCATTATAAAATTTATTGTCAAAGTGAGAAATATAAATGATAATTATTAGTGTCGTTTAATATTCTTCAGAAAATAGACTAACTCTAAATGTTACTATCATCTTATAAATATTAAATTGTAAATAGATATATTGATCTCTCCTCCAAAAAAATAGTCAATATTCGCATAATAGAAATGAAACATATTCAATTAAAGAGAAATATAGCGATAGGAATTGGTATGTTAATAGCAAAAGATTTATAATCAGGTGATTTAAATTGAATCTAAATAATATAAATTATTAAAATAAAATTAAATGAATTATTCTGCACTGGCTAAGGAAGTTTTTGAATTACAGAATAAAGTGCGATAAGACCCATCTCTAATGATTCCAGTTCTAGAAAATAGGCTCAAATACTTTAAAGATAAGATCATTCACATGCCAGGAACTTAGGCTACCAATACAAAGGAAGGTGCAAGTTCTGTTCAAGGTAGATCAAGTATCTTAACTTAGAATGCATCGATTTCCTTAAAAAACAAAAACCAGTTGGGCCCTTGACTTATGATAAAGGACTGGAAGAAGCAGCAAGAGATCATGCAGAGGATCTAGGTAATACAGAATATGATTCTAGGAACTAATGGTCTGACCGGACATGAGGGAAGTGATCATTCAACGACAAAATAAAGAATAGAAAGACATGGTTCATGGAAACCAGGCACAATTGGTGAGAATATAAGTTTTGGAAAATCCACAGCTGAAGATAGTAAATTATAAGTTTAAGATTTTTAGTTGTCATATAATTGATTGTCGATGATGGTGTTCCAAGCAGAGGACACAGATCTAATTTCTTTGAGCCTGCCTATAAATAAGTCGGTATTTTTGGAGCTCCTCACAAGGCCTTCAAGTTTGTATTTGTCTTCGATTTTGCTTCAAAATTCATATAAGGAGGCAAACAAGAGTAATAATAGGGAGAATAAGAGAAGGAGAAAAAAAAGAAATAAGAGAAAAAATAAAAGGATGATGATGATGATGATAAAAAAGATGAAGGAAAAGAAAAGTTGATTCCAGGGGCTAAGAAAGTTTAGAAGAAGGTTAAAACTGTTACCAAAGGTGGTAAAAAACACATTATAACCACAAAAATTTATACTATGAATGATGGTACCACTTAAGAAGAAGTCACTGAAAAAGTGGAAGATGCATGATTATCGTATGAAATATAAAATGACGGGTTAAAATTGTTCATTCCATTTCTACGACTATATTTTCGGGTAAAAAGATCTTCACTTCTCCATTTCTTAGATAAACCTAAAAAGATCCATTTTGCACTAAAACGCAGTCTCCAGTGAATAACACATTGCATAACTTAGTTCCATCAGCATAAGGATGATAAGTTATCTTCCTTATCACATCTCTGTCATATTTGCTAGTAAAGGCAGCAAATAATTGACCTCTAGTGAATGCATAGAAATCATTATCTGCATATCTCTGTACTTGTTCCTATGCTCCTGCATTAACTGCTTTTCTTGCTTAATTTATCTTTTTGATAAATTTATAAGTATCCGAATTTCTAAAATTTCATAAATCAAGATATTTACTCATTAAAAGAATTCCACATTATTTCTCTATTCTTTGGATCTCCACCTCCAGTGAATAACTACTCAGATCCATAATACATAATTGGAACCCCAATGGATGTCAGAGTGAAGGCTGTAAAAGCTTTAAATTAGAGTATTTTAAGTGCTGAAGCCGATACACCATTGACTTCATCACTCAAAAATCTAGCATTGTCATGATTGTCATTAAATTATGCCATATAAGGAATATTATTCTTACCATATGTTTGTAATTGATTATAATAAAAACTTTCTATTCTATACATATCACCCCAATGTAAAAATACATCTCTAAGAGTAAAGAACAATGGATAATTTAATAAGCCATCCATTGGTCCTATGAATTGTTTCAAGAATCCCATATCTCCATCAAAGACTTCGCCTATTGAATAAATCCCTGTTGCTTCTGTAAACTTCTTCCAAAACTCTCCCTTTACCATCATTGCTGTATCTATTCTGATACCATCAATATTGAATTCACTCACTACCCATTTAATCCAATTAATCAATTCATTTGCGACATAAGAATTATCTTAATTCAAATCAGCCAACATAAATAATCTACATCTTTCGATATTCACTAAATTGTGAGTAGCAAAATCTGTATCTGATATCTCGCATAAGTCATGAAAATGGGATGATGAGTTAAAAGGATAATTACGTGAAAAATCTAGATCTTGATTCCCCATATGATTAGCCACTATGTCAATCATAACCCAGATATCCTTCTAATGGCATGCATTTACAAGATCCTTTAGATCCTATGCTGTTCCGAAATGCTCATTAATTTAATAGATATTTTTAGCAGCATATCCATGATAAGCTCCATCATAATTTTGAACTATAGGGGATATCCAAATAGCATCAAAGCCCAAATCTTCCAATCAATAATAATGATACTTTTTATGTAATCTAAATTCTTTTCAATTCCTTTGAAGTTTCCTCCACAGTAGTTTCCTAAATTGCAGCTTGTACTATTTGACTTTGTGGAAGCATATCGATCAGTTAACAATTAATAGATAGTTCTATTTTTCCATTCCTCTTTGGTTCTACAATAATGTAATGATATCATCATCATTATACATAGAATCTAATTAAACATTATTTTATATATAATAGTAATTTAACTATGTATAAATTTTAAATCACTGCAAATTCTTCATAATATTCTGGTTTTGAACTCGCCTTTTTTCTTCATCAAATCACACAAATTTCCATTATAATTCTGTTTAAACAATTGTCTATGATTGCTAATATTCATGTTTATATAAGGGGAGAATTATGGATTCTTTTCAGCCATCTAATTTTAATTATTAAATACCTAATGAGATGTATTCAACTTTGAAGTTTTTTCAAAGTATTTAGATGCTTCTTCATTTTTATTTGGTTGAGTTTTATTTCTTTATCTTACTTAAGCATAAATACCTTTCTAAATACTTAAGTTCTCCTCATTATTATCAGTTTTTATTGCTTATTCTAAATCTCTTCTTTACATAGTTGCCTGATGTTTTGAATTTTTTCTAGATTAACTTCTAGATCTAAGATATTCAATTGATAATCTACCTCTGATCTTAGATAATTTGTGTTAAAATGTAAGGCCTTTCGCAATGTTTTTCTTAAACAGAATTAGTCTTTTATCTTTAGTTTTCTATTTGAACACTCACTCTTTTAGACTAAACCGATAAATTAACTTTTTTGAATTTTTAAGAAATCTAAGTCTTTAAATACGGTGAATTATCTAATTTTGGTCTAATGGATTATTTAGTCTTGTCTATTTTCTCTAAAATAGGTGACCCTTATTGAGATGGTTGAAACTTTGAAATTGTAAATCTTTTTTGATTGATATCAAGCTTGAGATTACCTAGGTTTTGAATATTTTGAAAAAAGCTTCTTTTCTGAGGTTGATTGCATTTTTTTTATAACAAGTAATATATGGTAGTCAATGTATTATGTTTATTTTTTTACAATTAGGTTATAATTTAATTTTGTTGATATCCCATTTCTATCATTTTTGCAATGATTCCTTAGTCATTCAAACTTAGATTCTTGGATGGGATCGATGCGTGCGACGAAAAAAATGGATGTTATTTAATTTATTCAATATTAATTCTTTTATTTGGATCTTTGACTAGAATATTTGTTAATAGATCTATGGCATTCTTAGATAAATATTCAGGCTTTTCGAAATCGCTAGTCTTTATTAATTCATATAATTATTGCGTATTTTCATGTTCAAAAGGTAGATATCCACATAACATAGCAAATAAAATGATGCCACAACTCCAGATATCACTTTTGGTTCCCTCATAAGTTTTACCCACTTATTATTTTAAATGTATACCAAGCATCTCAGGTGCAGCATAGCAAGGAGATCCGCACGCGGTTTTAAGATATTCGCCTTGAGTTTAGGAGATAAAGCTTAAGCCAAAATCGGCAATCTTTAATTATCTATTCTCATCTAGCAAAAGGTTTTCTGGTTTCAAATCTCTATGAGTTATGTTTTAAGAATGCAAATATTCAGTTGCAAAGATCAACTACTAAAAGTAGCGTACTGCTATATTTTCTGGTAGGCTAATTTCATTTAGGATTCAGATTACTATTTCTTCTTAATTATGTATTCATACAATTCTCCACCCTTCACATATTCCATCACCAGGTACACACATGACTCTGATTCTAAGATCTCGTTTTTATTTTGATAAAATTACCTCATACAATTTGATTACGTTTGGATGATTAACTTTTTTAAGAATTGAGATTTCCCTTTAAACTCTGACTAAATCACTATGTTTTTCGATCATTCTCTTCTCAAGGATTTTGATTGCGACCTTAGGATATTTAGTTTCAATATTACATATTCATCTGCAATAGTGTGATACCCCAATTAGACCTTGCCAAAAGTTCCTTGGCCCAACGTGCGCTCTTGCTAAAGAGAATATATTTACATAAAACGTAGTTCTACACTTATTTTTAGTCTTCATCTTTCATAGTGAATTAAATAATAATTAATTTAACAGTATCAATTATGAAGAAGCAAAGTTAGAAAGAGGAAAAACGAGTTGAACCCAAAGTAGGATTGCTTGGGACATATGATAATTTAACCAGAGAGTAATTAATTGAAAAACTATTGGTCACTGAAGAGATATTAAAGAAGTTATATAAGGAAAATAAAGAACTCAAAGAAATGATCAATAAACAACAAAATTGATTAATTTTACTTATAGATTTAGATTTCATTAAAAAACTCATAAACATCGTTCTGCATTCTATAAAGTTGTTCTTGTGTTTCCATTTATTATATTGTCCAAAATGGTTGAACTCAAAACACTATATGGTTATCAAAATAAATAGAATTTTAAATACATAATAAATATTAACATTTGATCAATGCACTTAAAGAATGAAAATGAAATGAATTATTTTATAATTAAAATTACCGCCAATAATTTATGGATAGAGATTTTGATTCGGAATCGAATTTTGAAGAGCGACTTATTGAAGACGAGGAACGTAATGATCAGAGATATTACACGACCTAATTGCTACTTTCAATTCAAGGGTTGGGTACCTTCACCAAAGTTGATAATATGAATGTGTATGCCAAAGGAGAAAAAGCTGAAGGGGCACTAAAACACCTGTGTCAACAATGCAAAAAGGATATACCTGATAAACCTATAGCAAGAATTTATTTGGCAAAATACAGAGTGTTTCAACTCAACTTGATCAATCTATTGACATGTTATCCCCAAGATAAGGTGCTTTCCTATTATGTTGTTATCCTGATGGAATAATTGACGAATGTAGATAGGTCGGGCATTAAATTGCAAACTCCAAACGCCCCTCAAATGTTAGACACTCTTTAGGAATATAAACTATATTTTTTAAAACCAATCGTATTACAAACTTTGGTCAATCACTTTGCCGAATGTATTTAAGTCGACTAAGAATGTAGAACGAAAGTGCACAATGATATGATAGAGTTGATTGTTTTGCTATTCAAGAATCTCCTCTCGATTCCTGATATCGAGGAGACCAAAATCGGACTGGAAAGTGGTAAGGAAGTCAAAAGGAATCTTCAAAGAAACTTCATCTATTGTATGATTAAGGAATCTGTGCTCTCTGCATTTATCTACATATCTCAGGATTTCAAGTCCTCATTCATGCAAAGGATAGCCCTTCCACTCATGGAAATCTTCTATTATGCCTTAACACCCTTTGATCCAGAGTGGTTATTAAGAGATTCTGAGCAGGAGAAAGAACTCATTTTGAAATAAGCCTAGCAGTATCGATTGCAGAAACAATAGCATTTGAGTACTATTCCAACAAGACATTCAAGATTTCCTGGGCTATTTGTTACTAAAAGAGTTCTCTCACAATCTGGATAGATCAGTAGTCAACCCTTCCATCAGCATCAAGTAAATAAATTAGCAAATCAACGATAAAAGCCTTAGGTTAGAGCACTCATATCGAAGCAGAAAACCATTTTTGTAAAGCCCTTAACTATTGATCTCTATGATCCAGAAAAGGAGAAAAACTTTAAGGAAGAATTGAGACATTCCACTATTGATTTCTTGATTCATTGTTTTAGCAAATTGATTGATCAAGCTTATATTGAAATGAACAAAGAGATCGTCGATTCTGATGACAAAGTCCATTATTTTGTTTTGATTTCGCATTTCTTAAAATTTATTAGATTTCATTGTAAATAAAATAAAGAAGACAATCAAGGACAATTGTCATCAGAATTCGTCTCTGTTTAAGCAGCTCTTCAAATTACTTAATTTAATTTCATTTATAGCAATTTGATTAATGAAAGCACCTAACTTAAAAAGAAGAATTTCAACTATAGAAATTTCTTCGCAGTTATAAATGTCTTGTTTGAATTTCTAATGATCGTTAGAGAATTGTCACTTTCAGTTGAATAAACAGATCGAAGAAATAGTTAAATCCTTTTATAAACCATCGTTACTCAAGACATAGCCAAGGCCATATCAATTGGGTATGGGTATTGTCAATTCGGATTGTTTAATGATTAGATGTTGTCGACCTTAGTTAAGTTGACAGCCCTATATTATGATCTATTGGAATTGCATACCTAAGGAAAGGCATGGTCGATAAGAACAAATAAATTACTGAAGAAGAAAATAAAAAAACAATAAAATAAGGCGAATAGAGGAAGAAAGAGAAAGTAGGATCAACCAAACGAGGAGGATAATGATTTTATTGAAAAAGGTCCAGATGAGGAACATTCAATGAGAGAAGAAGAAGAGGATGAGGAAAATGAAGAAGATGATGACGAGAATGAAACTGAAGATGATCAGCCCATTTATAAAGAAAGAAGATGTAATTTTGTATCTGAATTTGCAATCATTGTTGACTACAAAGTGTTGGAAAAGTATTTCTATTTAATCAAAGAAGAGTAAGTTAATAATCATTATTTTTATTAGCAAATTGTTAAGAAACTCATCAGAACTTAACATAGCAATTTATAAGTATTTCAAAAGAATTGTTGATACTCTAAAAGCAGATTGGATCTTCTTTCAATTAGATTTTCTTTATGTCATCAATTCAATTATCTAAAATAAATAGTTAACAGTAAATATGTGATAATATTTGTTAGTATAAAAGTGAGTTCTTGAACTTGATCTAACTATTTAGAAGAATCGGAATCAGTTTTGTTTAATTATTCAAAGTTAATCGATTAATGAGTGTTGAAATTCTATTCAGATTTCCCAATGCTGCAACAAAAGATTCTATTCTCAAAAACTATCAGGATTCAGTTGCAGAAGGGGGCGCTGACTTAGAAAATTATCAATAAGAAGGTCCTAAAAAGAAAGTCATTTGGACATAGAAGGAAGATAAGATTTTAATTGAAAATTATGAAAAGTACAAGGATTGTGAATAGCCTGAAGAATAATTGAGTCTTTTACTCAGTTAGAATGGTTTCACTATAAAATCTCCTGCTGAAATAAGAAAGAGAATTCGAAAATTTAGATTGGAAGAGGGAAATGAAAAAGCCATAGCATTGTATCAATAATAATATGAGATGATTTCCATGAAGAAGGTTGAAATCATGGCCAAGAGTGTTAAGAGTCTCTTATAGGAAGTTGGAGAAGAAAGCTTAAATTAGTTTTTCAATCACTTGTTTTCAACATTAGAGAACTATGTTGATTACAGAGGATAAGAGTAATAATATTGTGTTATGCTTAAGATCCATTGAAATGCCAATCCCACCATTAGATAAATTACAATTTGAGTTTTTTGAAAAAGGATCTGTTCAGGCGATCTTCTTGGGTTTGGATCTGAAACCTCCATCTTAAGGGGAAATCTATTGGAGATTATAAACACACACTTTTCGTCCAGAAATCAATGAAATGAGAAGCATGCTTACTAAATATCTTGAAAAGGCTAAGAAGATTGATGATGATTAAATTATTGAAGAGTTTCAACCGCTATAAATTAATTCATAGAAGAAATAATTGGATTCAAAAAAGAAGGTTATTGAAAATATATCTGCTTACGCTGAAGATGAATTAGATGATGAGAATGAGCAGTAAGGATCAGATAAGAAGGTTGTAGAGAAGAAAATGAAATTAGATAAAAAATCAAAAGATTTGGATTCAGAAGAGGAAAGATAAATATATGAAAAATATATGGAACAGTAAGCGCAGAATGAATAGATATAAAGAGATGTAGAAAATAAAAGTAAAGATAATTACGATGATATTTTTGATTGACTTTTGTATATTTTCTTTTTTATTACGTATAACATTTATAGTAATAAATACTATCATTTTATAATATATTCATATAGTATTGAGCATAACTAAATACTTTGAGTTACATATTCATAATCTAGAGAAGAAGATGTAACAGAAGGTAAATATTTATAATAACCACAAAAGATATCACAAATTAGATCTAAATAAGGGAAGTATCCAAAAAGTAGGATTATTTGTTTTGGATAAAGATAATGAAAGGTTCTTAAAAATCGGATGTATACTCATAATGGATAAGTTTGGTAAGAAGACTATGAAGATTAAGTAATTTCAGATGGTAAATTGACTCAAGGATTTGTTAAAAATATCAATTTTTAAGATTTGATTGAAAAAATTAAGATAAAAGAGAGTGCCAAATGGAATCAAGTATTTTTATATGGTTTTAAAACTAAAGATATCGTAGTATAATTATTATTTGAATTAAAAGTTATATGATCTATCTTTTGCTTTAAGCCCTATTAAAAGTTTATACTGGCTCCTAATTTTCATCTAAAATTATGTAAAATACATGTACCTCAATAATAACAATAAATATTTCATATATGAAGAGATTCAATTAAAAGTATTATTGAGTTGTTGCAAGGAAATAACATTTAACGAATTAAAATCTAACGCTGAGACAATATTTAAGCCCAAACTTATAAGTATTTAGATATGATAAATTAGGAATTAAGAACTTCCTTTGCAGAATAGGGTAGAAAGCAAAAGAGAGGGAAATAGATAGATAAAATTCAAAGGTTACTAATAAGTAAGATGAAATAGTTTAAGTAAAAGAAGTGATACTTATTAACGTAGTAAAAATTAAAAAAAACAACAATGAAGAATATTGAAAATATTTCAAATTAGAATAGTGATGATCGATAATGCATAAGTGGAGGCTCAATATTGAAAGAAATTAAGATTTACTTTACTATTTTGTGTTATGTTCATGAAGGTGTAATCATCTATAATAAATTTCTAACAGTTAGAAATTAAATAAGGAGAAGAAAGTGGAAAACGAAAAGAAGAGAGATTAGACATAGTACAGAGGATGAATTAATGATATTTATATGTTATATTATTAAAACAAATAACTTCATCTAAGACATGCAATTAATACCATTAAGATATGTGCAAATAGATACACAATATCAATATAAATTATCATTGATCCTATGATATAATCATCAATGGACAATTTGTGAGTCTAATACATATATTTTATAAATATATTACACTTCCCCCCAAAATTAATTATGTATCATAGATTAAATAAGCTCCAAACAGAAGGCAACAAAGTAATGAGTAGAGAAGATTAATGACATTTTGATAGTAAACACCAGCCATAATTCCAAAGAGTAACAAAGATGTAACACACATAAACAATAGAGCTCCTTTAGTAGTAAAATCTGACTTGGTTTTGCAAGCGTATATCGTTAGTCCTATCACGGCAGCCAATGATAGACTAGCAGCCATCAATACAATGAATCCTAGATAGGATACTGAGAATTACCTCCATTATCACTATACCTATCAAAAACATAACTGCACAGATTTGATATTAGATAACCTTCACAGAGTGTAAAAATAAACAGTAAGATGTAATTGTAGGGAACTCTCCAAGCAAATTTGGGAACGCAAAAGAGTAGCAATTCTATAAATATTGATATTCCTAAGGCCAGATAAGCAAAACCACTATGGTCTAGTTAGAACCTCCTATAATCAAGTGACAAGTAAGAGATTAAACACATGATCATGGTTAGAAACAATTAAATAATCATAATTGAATAGACCTTCTAATTTAAAATACAATACTTTTTTTATGAATCCAGTTCTCTCATTTCCAATAAGTTATTTGTAGGTTTCGTTCTTAGCATACCATCTAGAATCATTTTGAGAACTAGTATCATCCTCAATAGCCACTTAAACATGTTAAGGATACTGAACACTCCCTCTTGGTTCGCTAATTTTTGTAGCCATGTATTTCAAGTCTCGATGATCTTTTTATGGTTCTGCATGATGCTTCCCATAATCAATGGGGCTAATCTGGTCATCTTGTTAATTTTCAATCATTGATTAATAAAATATTTAATATCAAAACTGAAAAACACCTGTATCACTATTCAATTACTTGAGCAAGTATAAATTCAATCCATTAAGCTGATTCTTGGGATCTCATTCTATAAATAGAGTAAGAGTACTGAAAATTTGGGTTTCTTGAATGTTTTACTGTATTCAATTTAAGTCATCAATTTTTCAATGCAATTTTAAATAAAATATATCCCTAACTTTTGCAATAGTGTAATTTAAAATTTACTATATTATCTATTGCTCTTTCATAATTTATGATATTTGAAGTATGTAAATTTAATACATTATTACCAATATTATAGGAGTAAAACAAATACTAATTGAGATAATAAACATTTCATTAAAATAAATCAAATTGAAAACTTCTTTTTAATTTATTCTTTTTAGTTTAAACTAAGACAGTGAAGATTTAGAAGGAGAAACTACTTTGTTTCTATTATTGAAACTATCGTATTTATTAGGATATATTATATTAATCTTAAACAGTATATATAAATGCTAATCAATAGCAGAATAGTTGATAATCTTCAAATGTCTTCCATTAGGCTTGAAGAAATCAATAATATATAAGGAATGATCGTTTTAAGTAGTATTCTTCTTATGTATCACTCAATATAATTCATCTCTTAATTTATTTACCTTATATTTGAATGAAAACATAACCATTCTTAATCAATATCGTAACATTGAAAGATATTCAAATTAAAAATATTATTAGATAGGATAAAATTGTTTAGTGTTTAGTATAAGAATATAGTAAGGCATATAATAATTTCAATTATCATATATATATATTTTGGATATCGTGAATTCTATTATAGAAATCTGAATATTTATGAGGCACATAAGGGTAAAAACAATTAGAGAGTGTGGGGAATTATGCTTAATATTATACTTCTTTTTAATTATTTGTGTAAAGCCCGTTTTTATTAATATTAATAAAATAATGAAAGCTATCCTCATATTGGGATTGTTAGTTTTTGGAATTACTGCAGTTGAATTAGAAGCAGGAGTGCCAATCTTACTAAAAGAGATCAAAGCAATCAAGACTGATCATACTGATTTCACATTTTTATTAGATTTAGAACTCAGCCAAGGAGGCAAGGTTTCTGAAGTAGTTGCTTTGGTTGGTGATTTGTTAGAGTAAATGAAGAGAGATCAATTAAATGATGATCTTGAATATGCTCATGTAAATAATTGAAGATGTATATTTGTTTAGAGAACAACTACCCTTGGATTGGATATCGAATGGCTTGTTATAGTTTTAAGAAACCTCACAAAGGAGAGACAGGATAAAAATAATTAATTAAGTGAAGTCAATCAAGTTCTAGTTGGATTATAATAGTAATTGGATGCACTTACAGAATAATTGAATATATTGAATGGAAAGGAAGAGCAACTCAGATAAACAAGAGCTGAAGAAGCCGCCTCATATTAGACTAGATAGGAGAACAATGGCAAAGTGTTGGCAGCTTTAAATGAAATAATTCCAAAATTATAAGTTGCAGTGTTTGATCAAGAAGGAAAATCGTTATTATAAACAGAATAATTCGAAATTGTCGAAAAGATCAAGAGAGAATTGGGTCACAATCACCCAATTGCAATCATGGTTTCATTGACAACAAAATTCGATGTTTCAACAGTCAAAAGAATCATAGACAAATTGGAACATATCAGAAATGCAGTAATTTCCTTGATGTAATAGGAAGACGAACAAGAGACTTAAAGTTAGGTATGATATTGATTTAAGCAATTTAAGATCACATTCTAAACCTAAATTCAGGAGGTTGCTGAATTAAGAGAGAAATTCTCCAAAGACTTTGAAGTCACCTCACAACTAATCAAGAAGAGAACCAACGATAAAGTAAATGATGAATTGATAAATAGGTTCTTTTAGAGAAAAGATTGACTATAATTAATAGAGATTTGAGTTTGACTGAACAATTACTTATTTAGACCAGAGAGTACAAAGAATAATACGATGCTGCCTATGCTGTCAGAAAAGGAAAAAGGTATCGAGTTAATCTTAATGCTTAGAATTTCTGAAATCAAAACAGTGTAATAGGCTTACGATTTGGTGGAGAATCATGCTAGGAAACACAAGTGATGATTTATAATAAGATATATTTTACAATATGTTGATTATGAATAGTCTTGTAAATTATAGATATTTATAAATTTTAATTGATGTGCTTGCCCCTAAAGTTTATTCAATTGTTTATCAGAATAAATTGCTTTTGCTTTATTATTTTGGGGATTGTGCTAATCTCCTAAGTATTCGTGACATTGAGTCAAGGCGTAAGTAGTGATGGCGAAGTATTCAATTAAGGATTATATTCTTAGGGAATTGTATTTACATTTTCAGTAGGACTAGCTGTTGTTATTGTGGGAGCATCTGGGTTGTTGAGTTCGTATTGTCCAAACTTCTGTATAATTTTCATTTATTCTTGCTTTATCATTTTCATTGGAGTTTTGACAGCCTATATCACAATTTCATTAACCATTTTAAAAAATTAGTTGTTGAATAATAAATTTGATTGTAAGACATCTCAATTACCTGCTGCTGAGAAAACAAAGGAGTAAATTTTATGGGCGGAAACTCAATTTTGTAAATATGACTGCATTTGTTATATCGAGAAAATCCAAGACTGGAATTCTGACTACCTGGAGAATAATCGCATACATTATACAACCAATAGACAAATCAGTGATATAACACAATATTAAAAATGCAAAAAGTGGATTAAAATTGATGGAGCTTCATATTCTTACATTGCATATCTGGAGGAAAAATATAGTTGTTCTGGATGGTGCAAATCTCATCCAGTCTACCTTTTTTCAAACATCAATAATGGGATCCCGTATTTATATTTTTAATATAAGAAAAGATGCTTGTTATCCATACTTTGAATAAGAATACGAGTATTATGTGAACAAGTCTTACATCGATTATTTAATAGTGGATTTTCTCTATCTATTTAATTTATGCTTTGCCATATGCTAATGCTATTAGACTAGTAGAAATAAAAAGTCTAGAATCTATCCTCAGATTCTTTATGAGCTTGCCCCATAATGAATATTGTAAACTGTACTTTCTATATAAAAATAAGAATAAAGAATTATTTATTGAATTAGGTTAATATCTTTTTGAATAATATTATTTATTTATACAAATTTTCACATAAATGTATTTTTATGACTATAACCCCATCTTGATTGCTCAATTTTGTTGCATAGCAATGAGCTTATTGTCAGTTATCGGAGTCATCATTGTATTTATCTTAGGCAAAGGTTGGAGATATTTCATTGTTATGTAAATTTAAAATTTATAATTAGCCTCTTCTTTACTCAAATCATTTGTATGCTATTTTTCTATGTACCACAAGTATTAACACCATTCATTTTTTATGATGAAAGCGAATCAACGGAAAATGATTTTTGTTAATTTAAACAGAACAACGAGAATGATCAACAATGCATACAACAGACATGTAATATTAAAATATTCTATGCGAGTTTGTAAATTGTAAGGCTACTTTATCAATTCATCCTTTTTGGCATCCACATTGATTTCCTTATATTCATCCTATATCATTTAGTAAACATTAAATCCGAATTCTTAAATTGGAAAAAAAGTTAAATAAATTTATTGGATACATTTTGGAATTGGGATATTCACATTTACCATATGCATACCAATGCTATTTAAAGCGCAATACAATCATTATGGAACCTCTTGGGGCAACTAACTAATATACTACGTTTGCAATCTAGAAATTGAGTCAGATCATTTGTACACTTAAACTGTATTTTGGTTATAAACAACTATTACGACTGCGCTGATCTTAGTAGGAATTAAATTTCATTGGTCTGCGAAGAAATTGAAATCTAAAATTAGAACTAATTTTGTTGGGGAATTCGACGCCTGTTCCTCATTAAATCTCTACATATTACCTATAACTCTACTTATATTTTGGACAATTAATGTGATGTAGAAACTCATTGATTTCAAATCAGATTACATTAGATAATCTGGATATGCAATATAAGCCATTTGGTTCTTACCATAACTCTTATTGGCACTCCAAGGATTTAATTATGCCTCTCTATTTTTTTATGCATTCTATTTATAATTAGTGCCGAACCTTCCGAAGTCATTACAAAGCACTTACTTGTTCTTCGCTAAAATAAGTTTTTATAATTGTATATATGGGAGAATCGCTGTATTTAATTAAAGTAATTTTAGGAATCTAAAATACTAAAAGATTCTCTTCTTTATGAAGCTGACTCTGCCAAGGACAGTACATCATCTTATATACAGAAGGATGATTCATCAACAAATCGATGATAAATTTTAGATACTAATTGATTTTATATTCAGATAAACAATTGTTTTATTTTCTTAACTTTTGTGGCCTCATCGTCTTCTGTGTTATTAACTATTTCTGTTATTGATGACAATTGTGGTGTTTTGGTTAGGTCAGTACTCTCATGATTTCTTCTCTAATTTTAAGCTTTAGAGGATGATCTTTTCACTAATACAGATTGGGGTGAAACCTTCGAGTCTTCAAGGTTGGTTTTATCTTTAAGTGCAGAAACAGGTTTCCTATTTTGAGTAATTATTATTTTTTTTTCTTCTCCCTTTCTGAAATCTAATGGATCATATCCAGTTCTCTTCTCTGCCTATTTATCGAATTTGGTTTTGAAAAATATTGCGAGATCTAATAGGTCTTAGTATCTTGCTTTGGATAAATTTTAAATCTAGAATTTGAAGTAAAATTTACATCGAAAGACTTTGAAATATTAAGTTTTGTAAAAGCCTCAGCTAGAGTCTTGAAGTTTTTGATGAATTCCACTTCAGTATTCGCTTTCCAAACCACTTTATTTGACTAAATGGAATTAGGGTAGAAGTATTCAAAAATTTAACAAAATATGCAACCTGTGCCAAGTGCTTCTAATTAAGTAATGGTTAACTTATATATGGTATTAAATAAGTACTTTAAATGTTTCATTTATCCATTTGATCAAATCATTTTTGGAAGTGGTCCAATTAGTGGTTGCTGACATTTAATTTTAAAATTATAATAATTTCAATATGACTTCAAATTTAAGTAAATTTTATAAAGTAGTTCATATTAATTATGGATAATTTATGAAATCATATATCATACGTTCCTTTTTAAACTTTAGCCAATCATAACGAATTATGGCAAGAGTCAGAGTTTCTAGCCCAAAAAATAAATAGTTATAAAAAACCTTGTATATTTATGATATTTTATTTATATTTCATAATTTGGCATCTTAGTACATTTTCTCAATTTCATTAATCCATTTTTATTCAACCACTCTTCTTTTTAATTTGAGAGTTGGAGTCAACTCACCTCCATCAACGCTAAAATCGCTAGGAATAAGAGTCCATTTTCTGATGTATTAGGCTTTGGAAATGACTCTAATGTATAACTAAGATTGATTACCTGGTATTTGCATCATCAACAAGCTTCTATAAATAGGTTGTGATGATAGGGTCCTTTTTGGCTTCTTCAAAGGTAGTTGCATTAGAGCCAAGTTACTGGAAGGCTTAGATTACATCATCAAGTAACTTATTAGTTGGTCTATAAATCATAGTTAATAAATTACGTTCCATCAGGTTTCAATTAATGTTTTAAAGTTAATAAGATGGTAAGATATTTTCTTTTATCACCAATAACCATACAATTTGAAATAATGGGAATTGTCTTTTTGAATTCATTCTCAATCAGAACAGGTGCCACATTCTCTCCACCTGCAGTGATAATTAATTCTTTGATTCTTCCAGTAATAGTGAGATTTCCCTTGCTGTCTAATTTACCTATATCACCAGAATGCAACCACCTGTCCTTATCAACTGTATTTCTTGTTGATTCTTCATCCTTAAAGTACCCCATGAAGATATGTCTTCCTCTATAGCAAACCTCTCCATTTCCATCTTTGTCTGGCTAATCGATTTTCAACTCAGTTCCCTCCATAGTTTTACCTGTGCTGTTCATAAAGAAGTCATCAAATTTATCAAAGTGCAAAGGATCTGCTAAAGTAGTCACTCCACCACATTCACTCATACCATATCCATTGATCAAATACATATTCAAAGATAAGAAATACTCTCTGATAACAGGGGACAATGGAGCTGCTCCAAAGATCAGATATTTAGCTTAATCCAATCCCAATGCCTTTTTAACATTATTGTACACCAATTTGTCCGCCAATCCAAAACAAAGAGGAGGCTTCTATCCGTGAGTTAATGCAAAGGTTCCCTCCTTTCCTATGGATTTGGCCCATGTTGCAATCTTAGTTTTGATTGCCCCATTAGATTTAGCAATCATTTGCATTTAATCGTATATCTTCTCCCATACTCTAGGAACACTAAAGAAAACGGTTGGTCTCACTTCCTTAAGAGTATTAATGAGTGTACCAGACAAGGCATCTGGATTTGCAAAGTAGATATGTGCACCCCAACGACAACTTCCAACTATATCAATCAACTATCCTGCAACATGACTTAGTGGGAGGTAACTCACAATTCTCATCTCTTCATTATCTAGGAATTAGTATTTCTTTCTCTATTGTGTTATTGTGAAAATGTAATTGTCATGTGACAACATCACTCCCTTAGGATTACCAGTTGTTCCTGATGTGTATATCAATGTCACACAATTTCCAGGACGTAATTACGAAACTCTCTCCACCACCTAATTTATCAATTCAGGCTTTTTTCCGAATTCCAAAAAGTCCTTCCATTTAAATATCTAGGATCTTCTTTATTCACTAATTCCTTCTTTTGGTATCTCATCATTATATATTACTACTCCTTTCAGTTTTGGCAATTTGTCCCATATTTATAAATATTTATTCAATTACTCTCTTGTATCTACCACTACAAGTTCGCATTCTGAATGTTCTGACACATAGAAACAGGCCTCAGGGTTATTACTATCCTATAACAATAAGACTTTACGTTGTGTAAATACCAACTGGCAAGTTGTGTGAATGTATACTACCCATGAAAGAGATGAACCACTCTGGAGCATTGAAACCAATGATGTTGACTGCACTCATCTCACTTACTCCATATGCTATCAAAGCCTTTGCAAATTACAATGATTCATTGTAATAATCCTAATATGTCCTTGTGATCCTAATCATATCTCAAATTACATTCTTACCATTTATTATTCCTCTTTACACTTAGAGCTGGCTTCTTTGCAAATTAAGAGCAGTCCATTTTAAATTGTTCTGGAAGAGTTATTGGTACTTCACTTCCTGCTCCAGATTTTCTCACTCTCAATGGTAACTCCATTCTATAATTAGTTGTCCATAAGATATTCTTAAGAGGGTCCTTTGGGTCGAACACTTTAAGAATGTGTTTCATTCCTTCCTCAGATATGTACACTTACTCTTCCATAAAGATTTTAATAATAATGATTTTGTAATTACACACTATTGTTGTTAATTAATATCTTAGAATATCACAAAGCCTTAATGTTGTGACGTATTTCAATACAAATTTCGTTACGTTTTTGTAAGAAATCCCCTTCAATGCACATTCAAAGCTCTAAGATCAGATTTTTGTTGATTTTATGAATACTAAAAATTTAAATATTCCACAATAATTATAATTAAATTATATGAATTTTAACATGGATACATCTTTTTAGAAACTATGACACCCTCTTTTTTAATAAATGTGTTATTTTTTATTAAAAAATGATTCAAGAAACTAATGCTTAATCTTGGCACATATCAATTGGCACCTTTATTTTAAAATCTAATAGGTACTTTATATAAAATAATCTAAAATTCTTATATAATCTCCAAGAAAATTAAATACATATCAAAATTCTAAAATTCCTTTGAATAATTAGTTTAAGATGTATTATTATTTTGATTCTTAAAATATCAATTTTTAGAATACTATGTATGTAGCACTTGATTAATGAAAGAATCACATAGAAAATGTTGATTAAATTTGTAAAAATAATAAATCAATCACGTTCTTTTTCTTTTGCTAAATATCTATCAAATTCTTATTTAAATTATTATAAAGTTTAGAGTTCATCCTTAATGAAATTCAAGTATTTTTCAATTTTTTGATTATCTATTTTTTTTTCTTTTTTCCTATTTCTCTATTGTTCAGTGACATTATCACTATCCTTTCCAGAGAGGAGAATCCTTTTCACAATTTTATTTCTCTATTTCAAGATATCCTTCATATTTTAGATTCCATGAATAACTTAGATATATTCTTTTTGAGTAGCTTCGTTTTAATTTTGTGTTCCCTCTATTTCTTTATGCTTTTAATCATTCTCATCATTGATTTATTGAATGGCCAACTTCAATTTATTGTACTTAGCATTGAATTCATAAGTTTCAGCCTATATTTTACTATTTAACTAAAAGTATAGATGAGATAAGCATGTACCTCATTAAATTGTTGATTGATCTGATCTTTTTAGTTCTCTCTCAACTCTCTATCTTTTTTGAATTCCTCTTCCTTCTTCTTTAATCTCTCATAACGATCAATCAATTCTTTTATAGCATTTTCATCATCATTTTAACCTGTTTCCAATTCCTTTGATTTAGAGATCACTTTTTTAAAAAATAGTTCATATTGTTAATGATTCTTTCTTCTGACTTCTAATTAATTGACTTCTTCTCTAGGAATAGATTAATTTAGATTACTGTAACTTAGCCAATTCATTCAAAGCTTGTGCCTTTTCCTATTCCTTGGCCAATGTAATTTTCTATTCCTTAGCATACCTTTCATCATCTTATCTCTTTTTTCGATCATTCAACATCACAACCGAGTCTTTCTTGCTTTCCAAATCTTGGTTCATTCTTCTTTATTCATCATTAAATTTCTGTGCCTCAAAAGCCAATTGCTCTTGGGTTTCTTCCATCTTCTTTTTCCTATCCTTGTATTCCAAATCGACAGTTCTTTCTTTCTATTACACTTTTAGGAGTCTAGTGTTTTAGGATTCCTCCTCTAACCTCACTAAAAACATCAAAAAGAATGAGGATACTTTCTTCTAAACGTTTCTTATTTTATTGCATTTCCTTCTCAATCTTTTTGAATCGTTAGGGATTGAAAACTTACAAATTTTATCCATAAGACATTTTATAATTAATATTGAAATTGAAAATGAGAATTTCAAAATGTCACAATAATTATATTAGATGGATTTACTATTTAATCATGCAAGTCCTTCTGCCTCTAATTTCATTGGAATGATCTCACTATTTACAAATCTTGCTATTTCCCTATAATTGTAATATCTCATTAAATCTTTTAATTACTAAATTTATAGTAACAATTAAATACTTCCGAAGTCTTATCGATGACAGACAACATCATATCACAAACCTCAATGTTCTTCTTAATGATTTGCTTTTCCCTCATAGTCAACATGATGATATGTCTTCTAAACTCAGGAGTGGAAGGATCATTCAATCTTCTCTGATCATCCTCAATCGTACTGGCAAAGTTAGCCAACTCAGAAACTAACAAATCTCTCAATGCCTTGAATGTAGCCTTCTCTAACTCAATAGTTTTTGGTGTAGTGTGCCATCCTGGCCAAAATTGATTGTAATTTTGAACATCCTCTTCCAATTACAAGAAATCGTCCAATTTTGATATCTAAGCAAATCTGACAGTGGCCAAAGATTGTCTGAAAGTGTCATGATCAGTTTCATTGACCAATCTATTACCCCAACAAATGTTCCCTCCAGTCAATTCAACTTTCATCTTAAACATCCTATCATTTCTATCCAAACAAATGTCAAAATCAAATTGATTCATTGGATTTGTTAGACTGGCAAATCCATAATTCATAAAAAAGTATTTGTTTGACCATTGACCATAATTGTAAAATAACTCCTCTCCCTTTTGGATATTTCTGACAGCCTACATAAAGAACCCGTCTGCATCTGGAGAATACCCATATTACAGAAATCCATTATTATCATGATTGATGAAGTCTATCATATATATATATTATATACCAGCCAATGGAACCAATAGTTATTGTTATTCATTCTCACCTATATAGACAGGGAAACTTCGAGATATGGTGAGAGTTCTAAATTTCACAAAATCATTATAGGTATATCCATATCTTTGAAATTCTTTCACTGCCTCTTTTAAATTATCGTACTCCTCTTAGAATGTTTTTCTCTGATTCATGACTGTAAATAAAGTTGGCGATCCCTTAAGTAATGCATCTTACTCTGCATCAAAATTAGTCGGAAATCCGCTCACGTCTTTTGGCAACACGTCGATGTAGGGTTTCCAAAAGGAATTTTGTCTATTTGAATCAAAACACTCTATATACCTTCGATTCTCTTGGAGTAAGTGATTGACAAAGTAGGTCTGAATGTTGTTGGGAATATAATTGAGTTGAATCATTTTTCTATTGATGAGACAACTTTTCTTGACTTCTTCCAATGAAAGATAATGAGTGCGTGGAACGAAGAGGACCCACTCTCCTTATCGAATAAATTGAGAAGCTCTCAGTGTTCTATAACCTTCGCTCTTGACTTCAATTGACACTTTGGACACCTCTGCCTTGCCATCCTTCAACCACTAGATAAGATTTTTATAAGGATCCTTAATTATGGATATAAAGATTATACTGGGTCCTCATAGGTTATTCGTTTTGATTTCGTCCTAAGTTCGGACTCCGAGTCCTCTTAACCCAAGGATAACACAAGAGTTGTTGCTAGAACACATGTGTAAAGTAACATAATTATTAAAATATTCTAGAAACATACGTATTCATTTTATATTTATGTTTTTGCAAATTTTTGCTCTCTCCATTTTCATTCTCTGTGCTTAACCAAAAGAGGAAAATGATTTACATGTTGTGTTTGATAAGAATTCTAAACAATTCTTTGAAAAGAATGAAGTATCCATGATCTTCTTCTACACTCCTCAATGTGGCCATTGTGAAAGATTCCAACCTGAAGTCGAAAAAGCAGCCAAACAATTGAAAGAAGAAGGCTTTGTCTTTGCCAAAGTAGATGGTCACAATTACAAAGATATTGCCAAACAATTCGAAGTCACTGGATATCCATCTGTTTTCCTATCTCAAGATCATGGCAAAAAATACAAGAAATTCGAAGGACCCAGAACTAGCGATAGTGTTATCATGTGGATGTACGAATAATTGAATGAAGGAACCAAGGAATTGAAAACCATTCAATAAATCAAAGACAAGATCTCCCAAAGCCAATTGATGTATCTCTACATGGCTCAAAATGATGAAGACAGAGGTTTTCGAAGGTACAAGGATTACAGTCATACCTACGAAAACTTAGAATTTTATCACACTTTTTTAGAAAACGCATAATAAGAATTAGGATTCGGTCCCACAGATTCCTTAGTGGCTTTCAAAAAGTATGATAAATCTCCTGTGGTTTATCAACCAAAGTAGATTAAGGTTGCTGACTTAAAAGCCTTTATTGAAACCAACTGGTTTTAGAGACTCTAAGAATATAATGAGGATGTTGCCAAAAAGATATTCAAATAAGACAGATCTACATTAATACTACTGAATGATGAAACACAAATGAAAGATAGAAATGCTCATGATGCACTCAAATCCATTAGTCTTGATCACCCTCATGAAGATCACTTATTGTTTATCAAATGCAGTGTCACAAACCAACTATTCCCAGAACTCTAAAAATAAATTGGTGATTTCACTGGAACTCCTGCCTTGTTTGGATTACAAAAGTATGGAGTCTATAAATATAAATTCAATTAAGCATTTACCAAACAGAATCTGGACTAGTTTATTCTTGATTTCAAAAATGGAAAAGCTCAAAAACATTTTAAATCCCAAAAATTGGACAATCCAATTTATTCAGAAAATGTTGAAATACTCACAGGTAACTCTTATCAAAAAATTATAAACTCACCAGAAGACTGGGTCGTTTTCTATTATAATTCATTTGACTCAGAACAGTATTTATTATCCATTATTCTAGTCTAACACTTTTACCTGAATTTGCTGAGATTGCCAAGTAACTTGCCTAAATTAGCAAAGTAAAATTTGCTATTGCAGATGTCACCCAAAATGAATTCAGTGATTTCTCAGACCCTACAGACATCTATAAGATTAGATTGTATAAAGGAAATAAAAACTACACTAAATTCATTTAGAAGGTTAACAAAATATAAAGGGAAAGATTGATAAACTTTATTAAAGAACACTCCAATCATGAATTCCATGATGATCGTAAGGGTAGTCATCACGATGATTTGTGAAATAGATTACATTGTATATTTTATATATTAAATCGATATTTCATTTTATTTTAAATTGAACATATTCATAAATAAGAAGGGGCCAGGCATCTACAGATTACAATAAATTAATACCGTTCTCATCGAACTTTTAATAATCATTTCCTATCGTTTCAAAGAATTTCCACACTTAACACCATAGATCAAAACTAACCTTGGTTTGATTTTAAAAGTCTGCTGGTTTGGCTTTGCAAAATGAAATAAAATCAATGATTTCTTTGAATTGACCTTTCAATAACGAATCCCAAAGGGCTATTGATTATTAAAATAGGAATTACTGATTGCCTCAGAAAATCTTATCACATTCTTTCCTTAAGATATTACTTTAAAGTAATAGCTATACAATTTCTTGTATTTATTTTCTTTTTATATTTTCTTTAATAAATCAGGACAAAGATTCTTCAAGTCCTTTATAGTATAACACCTAAAATGATAGAATTCCATTTTACTTTAAACGAATCATTCCCAAAAGGAATTCATCTAATGTAAATGCTGCTCCTTTTTAAGCACCAAATTTATAAGTAATATACAATTAGAGAATTTAATGATCGTATAGTCCTGCATCCTTCATAAATTTCGTGAATGAGTCATTCTATTCATCCTTATATTAAATCAGTCCATCAATCTCGTATTTTGAAAATATCTTTGTTAAATCTCCTATTCGCTTGGAGAGATTTTAATATTCCTTTTATGCCTTTCTAACTCTATCATAATGTCCCGCCTATTTTAACAAATATTTTGCAAATCTTCTTGTGATTTTAAGTGATTGTGATAAAGTTATTTCATCTTAATCTTCTTGCTGCCTAAACTTTTATATTACAATAATTACATCAGGTGTGTCTATAGAAATAAAAATTATTTTTAATACTTATTTTATCGAATCTGTGAATATATGTTTATCTTATTAAAAAAAAACTACTTAGAATTCATTAGTATTAACACGTATTTATCAACACTCATATTTTTATTTAGAATAATGGTACAGTAATAAATTACTCCTTGTTAGGATAAGAATATAAAAGATAGTAATTCAGAAAGGTATTTGGATGGGAAAAGAATTTAAATCAATCTTAATGTATTTATTGATAATTAAGTCATTTCTAATATTCTTGTAGAAATATTAAATAAATCCATTAATTTAATAAAAAATAGAATAAATAATATAAACACAGGATGACGCATTCTTTGATCATTTTTAATTCAAACTATTTTGTAATTGTAGCAGAATAGACATTATATATATTTTTATATAACATCTACTTTAGAAAAAAATCGGATTTAATCAAAATATTAAATAAAAACTCTATTGGAATTTAAAGCGGTGTGGTCTTAAAAAAAGTATAAATAAAATTCCATTGACTTTGTATAACAGTACAATTGATACCGTACTAAGTAGGTTTATATTATTTGGAAGGAAGTTAGCTTGGCTATTAATGTGAATATCTTTAACTAGATAATGGATGAGTAAAGATGTTAGAAGATATTACAATTAATACAAATTATAGATATGATTGTTGTGTATTTTTTGTTTGATTAACAGTGTATAAATATGGATTATATAAAATTAAGAATTAAATATATAAAATTTATATAATAAAAAATGAAAAGAACTTCATTGTTTGAGGATGATAAAACAAATCTGGACAAGATTTAACACTCATTTAAAATAATGTTTTTCGAAATAGTACATAACTTGATTTTAGGAGATAATTTCCCTTTCTTTATTTATGTATTTTTTATACTTATTGAAAGTTTATAAGTATTCCATTTTTTTTTCACTGATGAAGTATGTTTAATAATTTAATTATTTAGTTTTCTTCGCTTTGGAAAGTGTAATCATGGACATCTGCTCTCAACTCTTTTTTTAGTTACTTTATGATTTAGCCTTATTTGAAAAATTTGAGTTTCTAAACCTATATTTTAGTGAATTATATTGTTATGGGATTAATTATGCTCCTGCTAATAGTTGTTTTATTCATAGCTTTAAAGTCAGCAAGTTTAGGTAGAATGACTGGGACTTTAATGATTTTAAAAATATTTTTTGAAGTATTAAATTATGTTTTATTCATGCCCATATTGCAATTGTTTTTAACGATATTCAATTGTGATAACTCAACCCACATTCATAAGATATACAAGGATTAATAATGTTATAATGGAAATTATTTATTGCACGTTTTATTGTGTTGTATTGCCTCGATAATATTGATTGCAGTGAGTACCCTCGTCACATTAATGTTTTTTGAATCAAGATTTTAGATCAACAACCCTCAATGCAAAGTTACAGGAAGAGAAGATTTGATATTTCTGATTTTTAAAGTAGTAATGGTGTTATGCTTTACAATATTGGACGTACAAAATTAAAGATTATTGATCATTATAATCCTAACACTGTTCTCCATTAAGCTATTTCACTCCTTCAACAAATCCAGCATTTACTTAAACATCTACTTCGCCAAATTATTAAATGGTTAACACATGATTATCCTATGGACTATGATGATGGTTGTGTTAGGCTTAATATTAGAAAACACAGATTATGATGGGGCACCTTAATTGTGGGTAATATGTACACCACTGTTATTGATCATAATTTTGGTGCGTAAAGAGTACAGATATGAAGTAATGATGGTGGATTCAAATAAGTTTGATTCTTTGGATCAATCATTGTAATTGTTATAATACTTAACCAAATTGGTTGGATATTATGACAAAGATGAGAGTATCGCTTCATTGTTGGATGGATTTGTAGAATATCATAAAGTAACTTGTAAGCGAGATGACTGTCCATGTTCTCCTAAAAACATGAATGACAAAAGAATTGAAAAATTTAAGAAGGGTGTGAAAGATTTATCCATGAAATCCTAATATGTCATTTTAATTTATATTGTTGAAAAGATCTATGTGCTGAGTTTAACTCGTTATCCAAATTGTATTGAGTTGCGAATTTCGCATGCTTTATTTCTGTATGAAAAAATGCAATCAACCATTCAAGCCTTGTAAGAATTAGCCTTGGCCGAATAGGAAAAGCCTTATTTAGATTAGTAATTCTTAATTTTCAGATTACGAAAGATAATTGAAGAACAGATGTTTGATTCTGGGAATCTGACAAATGTAAATGAATTCACAGCAGAGAATAATTTGAGGGAAATTAAAATGTTAATAGAAAAGTCTACTTAGTTGCATTTAGATTTCTGGATAAAATTAAGAGAGGATACACCAGATCTAGGGAAGTTGTATGAAGTGGGATTAAGAATGTTGTACGTCGATAAAGTCTTGGATGATTAATGGAAGAGAATAATGAAAATCAATTTTGATATGCCACCAACTCTATTAATGATGTATTCCAGATATTTGATAGATGTACTCAATGACAGAGAAGAAGCAGAAGATGTTGTTGAAAGATTAAAGAATTTATAGACTTTTGACATGGATCGAGGAAAAATCATTAATAATCTCAAGGATTTTGTTAATGAATCCACAGCCTTAATCAGTATTTCGGCTGAAGATGGCAATTTCAGCAGAATTTTAGGGTTAAATTAATCATGCGCTAAAACGTTTGGGTATACCAAATCGGAGTTGCTTGATAGAAAGATTAATGTCTTGATGCCCAATATTTATGCTCAATACCATGATCAATTTTTGGAAGGCTATACTTAAAGTCAAGAGAGCAGGATCTTAAATCGAGAAAGACTTTTGATAGGAAAGCATAAATCTGGATATATATTTCCATTCTTCATTTATGTCAGATATATCCCATCTTTGATTAATGGCTCTTAATTCTTTGCTGCCATAAAGCAAGAAAGATATTTTAAAAATTAAGCTTACATGATTGTTAACAGCTTTGACATGTGCATCGAAAATATAAGTGCTTAATTCATAAGTCTCTTCCACATTGATCTCAACTATATATCAAAGAAGAAAACTCAAGTTTCTGATCTGATTCCATAGTTTGAAGAGTTCAAATAAGAACTTATGAGTAAATAAGGTTATGAAACTACTGTTTAATATAAGAGTAGAGATTAGTTCATTTAGCAGTAATTTTAGGTCTACGTGAGTGAGATTTGCATTTGTGTGAATAGATTTATGAATAATCAGAACAAGGAAGGAAATTTAGTGTAAACTAACCTTACACTTAATGTTCCACAATCATAACATCATAAAAAGGATGAAAGATAGGCATAATTGTTTGGTTACATCATTAAAATGGAGTAGATCAGAGGAGAGAAATCTATCTTGCAAACTCCTTCTGAACATGGACCTGCATCAGCAAGAAAACAATTGAATTCAGCATAGAAGTTTCTTTTTTAATTTGATTCAAAAGAAATTCCTGGAATGAAAGAGAAAATTGAATAACTAAAAAAATAATATAAAAAAGACAACAATACTAAACTTCCAGATCAATTTGTTTATAAATTTATTGGAGAGTATATATCTGATTAAAATTTTTAGATGTCGGCTATATCAATATCAAAGCAAGATGAAACTTATGAATATTCATAAAAAAATGATGATGACAAAACCCCATCTTCTAAATTAGATGAAAAAAACAATTCTTTAGCTTTGGGAATTAAAACTATGATATTAATAGGAGGGCAACTCTTTGATTCAGAAGAATATTAGAATTTGGAATTTGAAGAGGAAGAAGATGGATAATCAAAAATAGTTGGTTAAATGCCATCGAAATAGGAAGAAGATTAAGAATAAGATAATGGAAATGCAAATGTCTATAAATCTAAGAAGACTTTTGTTCAATTTTTAAAAGAAAGCAAAAGCGCTAACTAATCAAGTTTAACATGTTTTAGATGGAATGCTGCATTACTTATCATTTTCTTAGGAGTTTTAGGTCTTCTAAATTATATTTTAACTCAACAACTATTTTTTGGAGTCTATGATGGTTATAAGAATGTTATAAATAGTAACTAAAGAGTTGCTTTGGGTTAAAGAATTCTATGGTAAACAGTAGAATTATATCTATTGATTTAGCTAAACCCATATGTTGATTAAACCAAAAATATTGCTGATTAAAGGCAAAGTTTAAACTAGAGCATTTCCAATTTGTAAGAACTTTAATTCGTTTTACAATCCGCAGTTGTTGAAGGAGATTAAGTTGATTTAATTAGAACTAATTCTGTTAAAATGACTGGGAGAGATCAAAGTGGAACTTTATCAACATAATTAGTGGATCTAAATTAAGGAACGGCTTAGATTTTATCAAAGGCCTTAGAATTGCTATAGAGTTATAATCCAGAGTCATAATTTTTTGTTAGTTATAATTTGCTTAATAATTATTTTGAAGCTGTTGTATAGAGTGCAAACATTTATGGAGCCCAATTGAGGGATAAACTGAATGGATCCTCTATAGTCATCACCTTATTTATTGTTGCGTGTGCATTTGCTGTAGTATCAGTACCATTGATCGCATGCATGTTTAGTTTAGTAAGTCAGAACTAAGAGATTATTATGAAACTATTTTTATAAATTTAGATTAATAAAGTTAAGAAATTGGTGAATATTTGTGAAGGCTTTTTCAATTCACTTTAAGTAGGAGAAGAGGATGATGAATTGCACAGAGATAATGAAGGATTTATGGATGATGACGAAGTGTAGGATGAAGATGAGGAATATTTGGAGAGACACAAAAAGAGAAAGAAATATAAATACGATTTAAAAAATAAGCGTAACTTTTATCTTAAATTTGCTATTTCAATGGTAATGTTATTAGGATACTTTTTAACTCACTTTTTAATTGGAGATTATTTATAAAATGCCTTTAGTTCATTAATTGATGAAATAGAAGCCACTAGCTAGTTAGTTCCTAATATTACATTTTCTAATAATGTAATAAGGTAAATGATAATTGATCCCACCTTTGAAGTTAAAGGAAGCTCCTCCTATCTCATCTCTTCCACCTTTGTTAAAGAGCTATATGATCTCAATACTAAAATCTAAAAAGAACATTCTTCAAATATTCAATATCACAATCCTACGTATAATACACATTTTGATTCTCTGATGAAATCAGGAGCCTGTTCATACCTATTTTCAATTGTTGAAATTGATATTAATACTTGTTAATCATTCATCGAAGGCATAATTGATTAATCCTTATCCTTAGCACTCTCAAGATATTTTGAAGATATCAGATCCCAATTATAAGAATATAATAACATTATAAAGGATCCCTCACATAAGATATCTGGAACTCTTTACAATTTCACTTCCAATTCAACTTATAATAAAGCCTTATCTCTCCTATACACTGATACCTAAAGGAATGAAATTGGTATGTTAATTTAATTTAATTTTAGACATTTTATAAGATCTATACCTGAGACAAATCTTTTCATATACAACTGACTTATTTTTGACTAGTGTACAATAAGATGTTGATACAAATACAACTACATCTGTAGCGATATTTATCGTATTTTTAGTTGTTTTAGTTTTGATCTACCTTTTCTTTTGGTGGCCAACTGCTACTAAAATAAATAATGAAGTAAAATATTAAATATAAATTATTTAGATAAAGAAAACAACTTTATTATTAGCCAATATTCCTTTAAGTTTAATTAAACGAAGCAAAGCAATAAGAGAGTACTTAAATAGAATGCATGAAATTGAATGATTCTATAGAAGTTTATAATTTCATTTTTTTATTCTCCAAATATCCTTTCCATTATTGTAAAATTTGACGGATATTCTTAGTTTCTTTAGACTTAAAGTGAGCATTACTAGAATATAATAATTAGAAATTCCTAAATAAACAAATTTAATTATTAAAGATAATAAACCAATGTAAATTTATTTTAATTATATTTTAAATTAATTTAATAATAATAAATAAAAATGAAATTATTAAAGTTAGCTAATGCAATTATTTATTTATCAATTTTGATTTAAAAAACTTCTCATAATTCTTTCAAAAAAGTCATTAGTGAAGAGAGAATATGTCGGTAAAATTTATACGAATTGCACAATTTGCTTAGTATTATTAATAAGTTTCTTTGCTAATTTTGTTATCCAGATCAGGATTATGAATAGGATAACTACTAAATAACAAATATTTATAATCTAATTTATTGATAATGCATTTACATACAAAACTAATACTAGTTTATTGGTTAGATTTTTTAAATCTTCAACAAACTCTGTATTTAAATCCTTAATTATTTAAGATAAAATAAAGACACCATCTAACTCATTGTATACAAGAGTAAGTCGTTTAGTGAATTTATTAATTTCTATTTCTTTCGCAATCAAATTTTATGCATAGATTAAAACTGCTTTTAAACCTAATTACATATTTTGATTGAAGATCTAAGCACAAATAGATAAACTCTTTTATTCTATATTTTTTGGAATAAAGTTACACAAATTAGATACTTCTAATTGTTCATAATAATCTGAAAATTTCTTTGTTACTAGTATTCTAAATTAGATTAAATGTTTACTTAGAAAAATCTTTTTCTTTGGAATCAAATTCAGCAGTATTAGTTAAGGCTAATATTATTCTTTCATATATATACTCGAAATCCTCTTATGTTAAATACATTAATCTTTTTCTCTCATACAAAATTTCACGTTGTGCAAACATACAGGGAAAATCAACACCTAAATTTCCAAATCCTTTTAAATAATCTGTAGTTTCTGGATATTTTTCTAAAAAATTTTTCTACAAAAAGTAGATAGAAAAATGATTGAAAGAGAAGAAAACATAAATGCTTGATAACAATAAGCCAAACTTGAGAAGAGAATTAGTTGAGATCTTTTAAAATTTAATTTTTGTCTGCATCTCATAAGCTTAAAATTATTAGAATTATTATTCCTTAACTTCCACGTCCAATCTATATTAAAATTTGAATGAATTATCTATCTTAAGTTGACTTAAAAATGATTAATATTTCTTGATTTCAAATTCTAATTCCCTTTCATCAACATATTATATCAAGTTGATACATTGAATTAGTCTTCTGTCTATGATATGATGCAAAATAAAGATTAAAAGTAATAGAAATATCATCAGAGATTAATTAATAGCTAATATGGTCTCAATTTCATCTTAAATCAAACTTGCTCTTAATAAAGTCTACGATATTACATCTAGATTCAATTATTAAGCTATGTCATTTAATATCTTATAATTTTTGTAACTATAAAAAACCTGTGGGGTATCAATAGCAACTGTTTTTTCAATTTTATAATTCATTTTGAGAGTATATTAAAAATTTAATAATACCTATATAGCCGCTCTCAAAGTCATATTATATTATTCATTTTTGTATGTGTCTAAATACTAATAAGCATAAATGTGCTTAATTTACAATAAGGCCTGCAATTCCTTTTTGAATAATACCGATTATATATTTTAATTCAATTAATCATAACCTAAATCCAAATTCGATAGTGCAAATTATGTTCTATTTGTATAATCTTCTTAACTTATTTTTAGTTCAGTTAATTGGTTTTTGTAGTTAAATAAAGTCCATCTAGTAACTAGGAACAATTCCATTGGTTAAAATATTAAATTTTTGATTTCCAATAAATTGACATCCTCTACCAAAGTGACCAGAGGGTTGTCTGTTAATTACTAAATATATATTGTTTAAATACTATTATTATGAATATTATTTGAAGCAAACCTAATAGAAACATGATGGAAATAATGAATTTGTGTATTCTATTGTAGGGAATAAATTATAGAAATTTATTGTAAAGTTCATATTTTCTATAAAATTTAGAACTTCTAAATATTTTTAAGGAAGAAACCTAAGACTGCACATCGTAAAATTTAGCTTATTGTTCTTCTTAAAATTGAGATTTCTTAAATTGAGATTAAAATCTTTTTGCAACTCTTTAAAATTTTACAAGAGAAACTTCCTCATCTCTAGGTGTAAATATTTGTTATTAAACCAAGTTTTTTTCATCAATATAAAGATAATTGTTTTTATTTTGTTTACTATTCAGGTCTTCTGAAAATTCATAAGGGTCCAAAATTATATTATTTTCAAGTTCAAAAGGAATCATCTCAAAAGTATGTCTTTCTGCAATCTATTCTTCAAAAACTTCTTCATTTTTCTTGATTATCTACTTTTTAAAATTATCAAATTATATAATCATATAAAGCATTTTATCATGATGCATTTTTACAGTAATATTCACATCGCAATAATAATTCATTTCAGTTTTTTGTTCAGAGAAATTATTAGCACTTAAGATTTGATCAGACTACATAACAATCATGTTCTCTAAGTAGCAACTTTCTGTTATTTAAGTGACAGAAGGTATAAATTTATCAATTTATTAACCTATTTTAAAATATTTACTTAAATTCACAAAATCACTAAAATCTGCACTCATCGAAGTAATTTAATAGTGTTGATTTACAATAACTGTTTTGGTTTATAAAAGTGTAGGTTAGAATAAGCAAACAAAATCCACTTCATTAGTATAAAAAATATCAATAGCAAATTGAACATTTTCTATAAAACTTTCATTGGCAATGTAATTGTTGTGAAGAGTTCTAACATATTTGGATTAGCCGTCGGTAACAAACTTGTCTACCAGTAAGGAATGCCATTCTCTAACACCAATGGGAACAAGTTCTTCAAGGGTTTTATTGCAAAAAGTCTTGGGAGCATTACTAGATATGGATTTAATTATAAGCTTATTGTTTTGATAGTTTGCAACTAAATAAATTAACTTGGATAACACTGAATCATTAAATTTAATTTAAGTTTCTTGAGATGTTGAGAAACTACTTTATATTTATTAAGCCTTCAGCAAGTCATTCACAATTTCAGAATAAAAAAATACTAATAATGATTAGATCATCATACTATTTTATTAATTATAGTATTATTCTAATTGATGACTTATAGAAGTAACTTTATCAGTATATAGCATCAATTGGTTGAAATCGATATCTTTAAAATTTTGTAGTAAAAGCAGTTTGTTTTGAATCAAATTATTCAATGAATTTGAAAGCAATATATTACGTTAATCATTTTTCATTAGTTATTAACAAACGCCCTTTAAGGTTTGGTTAGGCTTTGATATTTTGATAGTTATCTAATCGATACATTATTTCATTTATTAATTGCATTTTGCCCTTCTCATTATCCCTAGATCTTTTAAATTGTTTAAAATTATAAAACACTAAAAAACCTTTCCTTCTTAAAACAAAATCGAAGCTTTTAAGATAGGATCATCAACATTATGATTTTAAAATTATTAATAAAGAATAATTTTTAGTAAAAACGGTAATAAAGATAAAGTGATTAAATCTTCATAATGAACAAAATTAATTATTCCAAATAAAATTGTGGCTAAATGAAATGATGCTGCTAATTTTCTAATTATACTATTTCTATAATTGTTATAGTAAACTATTAAAGTTAATTAAAAACCAGACTTGATTAAAGCTAATATTTATAACACAATTTAATCAAATTGAAATAGGTAAAAATAAATTAGCAGTATATTTAATATAAACTCTAAAGTATTTAAGTAATTAGAGTATGACACTTAAAAATTAATTGTATTTACAGTAAGAGTTCCTTAGACTAATAAAACATCAAAAAATGCAAGTATGCTTATAAATAATCCGATAGTAAGTCCGAATTAATCTTCCATTTACTCAAGTACAAAATTTAGCAACGCAGTCTTCAATAATGTATTAAATAAACTAATCAGTGAAGCCCCATATAAATTTTGATTAAACATAAATACAAACCATAGAACTATAAACGCTAGCATTAAATAGTTCAAGAATTCTATCTTTATTATCAGTTAGGGCCTTGCTATAAGCACCAATATTTATATCCACGATTTCTCATTCCATTAATAGATATAGGATAGATTAACTAACGAATGTTGTAACAACAAAATATTGACTAAATACTCGGGAAGGATGTAAGCTTTGTTTTCAAATTCTAATAGTTTGCCAAGAAACTTTACAATATATTAGTTTTTCTTAAACATATTAATAAAGCTGTATTAATATTGATTATCTCAATTATAAAGTATATATTCGAAAGTAATTATTCTGAGTATTAATTAATATTAAATTAAGCTTTATAATTATATATTTAATGAATTCATTCTTCAGTTTATGTTCCTTACTATTCTCCATTAGATTAATCTTATTTTTGCTCATTGTTATTTTAACCTAATTGAGCACAAACTTCTTATTTCTAATATATATTATAAAAATACATTATTTTATACATTTGATTGTTCAACAATAATTTATGTATTATTTAAAGAATAAAATGTTTTAGCAAATTCATCAGGTTATAATCTGGTAGCAGCAATTAATTTGCCTTTGACATCCTTCTCTCTCTGTTGAGTTGCCTATAATTTTTGCACTATTTACAGTTCCTCAATTTCTAATTATTTGATATGTAATTCCCTTTCTTCATTTTCTTGAATTGTTTTGAATTTCTCTTTGTCCAATTCTTACTTTATTTTATTTCTTTTTTCATTTAATTTTTCTCGAATTAAAACCTCGGATAAATTTTACTCTTATTTTCTTAAGGCAGCCTTTAATTTCTAATTTTCATGCCACTTTTTTTATTCCTCTATAAACTTAAATTGCTCATATTTTAATAATTTTCTGTAATTTTGGGCTTCATTATGCTTATATTATCTAAATTCTTATTTGACTATCTTCAATTAATTTCTTTCTATCGTTGTTTTAATATAGAGTTCTGTATTTCTCTCATTGCCAGTTGATTATTCCGTCAATTCTCTTGTATTATTTTATGCACTTCTATAATAAATTGCATTTTTTTGTAATTTTTGTTGTTTCTATAATAATTATTTTATTTGTTACTTTCATTTATGCAGCAACTTTCTATTTATAAACATCTGATGTCAATTCTTCTGTTTATTTAATTCTTTTAATTAATTTGCCTTCCTCATTCCTAAGTTATCTAATTCTATTTTCCACACATTAAGCTTATAATTCCAGTTCTTTTTTTCTTCTTTTTACTTCGTTTAATGTTGCTTCTTCAGAATAATTTAATAAATAAAGTTCTTAGCTTTAAGTAATCTTAGGCAGCATTTAATAAATTATTATTAATTGTCAATTACTTTCCCATGATCTAATATACATATTTTATATGCAAAAATAATAATAAAAAGATCGTTGAAATGAAAAACATAGTATCAAAAAAGCATTTCCTTCAAAAACATTTTCTCAATAACCAGGCTCAGGCTAACTTAATTAATCCTAATTAAATGTCAAACAGTCTTTAAACCTCCATCTTAACAAAAATGTAAAAAAAGATAGAAATGATTTTTTTGGCAACCAGGGCTCAATTAGGCTTGATTACATAAAATAGGGGTTAGTTAAGAATTATTTTATGAAAATATGAATTCTCACTTTTAGGTTATGATGCAAAAGAGAGATGAAATTTGTAAGAAATTTAAATTATTTATCATCATAGATATAGAAGGAGGCTGTCTCGATCTAGAAACTAAAGCAAAAAAAAGCCTCTTACTTTATTCTGTAGTTTTTATATAGAATCCTCATTTTGAAAGAGATTGCACCTTTGTTATGAAAACTAACCAACCAGGATTTTATAAGAGGTCTTAAGTTCCATATCATAAACTAGAATTAAAGTAAAGTAAGCAGCCATCAGAATGTTTAATTATCACAATAAAGAGAATCTGATAGGCAATTTAATTAGTAATTATATATATATAAATCCAATAACTCGAAATGGGTTGAAAGAGACTTATAAAAAGGTCTATAATGCAAATTATTATGGAGATCAACTATGCATAAAATTCTATTTTAAGTAAGTGTAATAATTTACCTAAAGAATAGAGATTTGGATGGTATAAAGAAGTGGGATATTTAATTGTGATTATTTATAATTATATAATATCATAGAGTAGCTCACTTAAAATATATTATTATTTATCATCTAGATTATCGAATTATTATAATATATTAATTAAATAATGCATAATTTTCTGTTCGAAAATAGACTATCAACTTACTCAACCTTTAGTCCTTTCGGTTCTACCAAAAACTCTAAACCAGGCATAATAACAAAGATAAAAAACAAGATTTAGGATTTATTCCTACCCTCAATTAACCCATCAAGTACAATTTAACGGATACAATACTATAATGAATTAAATTTAGAAAAAGAACTATCTCATTAATTTAAAAATAAACTTGCAATTGTAGATCACCTTCTACCTAAAAAAGAGGAAAATATAACTTTAAAGCGAAAGTCCCTCTATACCTTTGATGAATAACGCGAGGAAGTTGTCTAAAACGAAAATTAAATATCAAAAGAAGCCTAAAGCAATAGTGTCAACAGAAAAATAGATTAGTCACCTTAAGTTAACGAAACCAAGAAATAAAAGAAGTTTAAAAAAAATCATGCTAAAATTGAAAAACCTAGAAAAATGGAAGGTAATTTTTTTTTTAATTAACTAATAGCAGACTAATAATAGAGAGACTATGATTTTAATAAAAAATCTTAGAATTAAAATATTGAATCAAATTAAGAAAATTCCTCGGGTTACATATCAAATTATTAAACATAAAACAATGATTGTTTCAAAGACTGTATCAAATCTGCAACTCCATATAAGAAATAAAAAGGATTGACAAATGAATAAATGGATAAAAAAAATTAAGTTGAAATTTAATCTTTTAAATAAGATCAAAAATTTGATTCCCAATAGATGCATGATTTAAAACAGTAAATCTAAGAAACTCAAAATGGTAATTCCATCGTTGGCGTCAAATAAATTATTTAAGAAAATGAATTATTTTCAAGTTCTACTGGTACTAATACAAAAGGAGAAATTATGGAGTCCTTATTGAGAATTGAACATATTTTTTATTCTCAAAAGTCTGATTCCGAGATGTTAGAGGAGAAACGCTCGAATCATAGCTAACTTGAAATTTAGAATAAACTATTTTCTTACTTTCACTCAGATCTTGAAGAACGAATTGATTTTGATAAAAAAGCCGAATTAGAATAAAATAGAAATCCAAATGATGTCAAAAGTACTAAAAGTATTAATTAAAATTAGACAGTCCTAGAAACATAGTAATAATAATAATAATAAGTTAAAAAATAAAGAAATTTAATATTAGATTCAGTAATTATAAACTTATAAATTCAATGCAGTCGTTAGAAATAAATTGACTGTAAGGAAGAGCAATAAAAAGTGATTTCTCAATAGTCAGATTAATAAAAATTAAATTAAGTTATTTAAGAGGATAGTATCATTAATCATAGTTATGAGAAAATTTAGATATCCAATAAACAAGAATTGAAATTGCAATATAATACCATCAAATAGGAAGAAATTTCATAATAAACATAAGTTGAAAAAAAAGTCCAGCATGGATAACTTCAAAAATAACTAGATGAAAAACTTGAGACTCCTCTAACTTAAAATTAATTGTCAACTATTAATTAAGAAGGCACTCCAAAAACTCCAAAGATTACTTAAGAGATTGATCAATAGAAACAATTAGATGCAAAATAAGATTAAATGTAAAAGCAAAACAATCCATTTTTAGATACAAGTTCTCATATCAGCTCAGATTAAGTAAGTTAATATTTTTTGTAAGGTTTTTTAACAGGAAATTCTTAATTTCCTTTACAATAGTAACAATGTACAAGAAATCAAAATTTTTTAGATTTATTTAAGGTTTAGACCAATAATTAACTTTTCAATTTCAATGTCCCTTTACAAAATCAAGGATATCAAACTTAAAACATAAATAACTCATAAAATATAGCTTAAAAGAATGATTCAAGCTTGGTTTATAAGCAAATGGAAATCATTGATCAAATACCATTCTCAGAATAATTCAATGTAACTTAACAAAACAATTATCATCAAACAATATCCAATTATTTTACACCGAATTTTGAATAAAAATATTGCCAACCTGCCACCTATTAGTAATCTCAATCAAGTAATGAGTTGATTAGTTACTAAGCACCTATATAGCAATAGAGCCTGTTTCCATAAATGCAGTAATCTTCTTATCAAATATCAAGCATTAATTTATTTTAATCAAATTCCCCTTAGCCAAGCACCAATATGAATTGTTGCTAAGAAGAAGGTAGAATAAATCATATTTATACTAAATAGGATGTACTTTCATTATTTCAAGATACAAGTATGAAGTAGGATTAAAGTAATAAATAAAACATAAATTTAGATTTATTTGTTATTGATTCTGTTTAAAGTAGCAATTCATAAAGTAACTCTTAATTCTATAACTAAAATAGCAGCTTTTAGGGATTCAAAAGAAAACAACGTATTAATAATAATTGAAATGGTTTTAAATAATGAAATATTATATATATATATAAAGGATTAATCACTTTTATTAAAAATTGTATAATTAAGAATTAATGACAAAATCCTCATTCTTTTGGAATTCTAACATTCCTTTATTATACTATTCTGATAATTATCCAATTTCATTGTTAAACATGATAAAGTTAGGATCTAATTTTTTCTTTTATTTTTATTATTGTTCTTTTTCAATTTAGCAATCAATCTTTTTATTTTCTAAATCTTAATGATAAATTGGATAATTTAGATCTTGAAATTCTTAATTTATTTACGTGATAAACTCCAATTATTTATAATCAATTTCAGGATCTCTTATTTATTCATTTTGAGGTTCTGGTACAACTTCCTCTTAGTCTGCCTATATTTCCTAATCAAATTCTGGTAATTAATAATCTTCTTTTTATTAATTCTAAATTCTTTCAGCCACATTCTCTATTTTGCTATGTAATTTTTAATCTAACAAGATTTCTATCAGTTCCAATTTATTCAATAGTCCCTTACGAGTAGCTTTTATTTTAATCACAAATTCCTTGAATGGTTACCAATTTATTTCGAAAATATCAATAAAAATGGTGTAATCTTTAAAATATGAAAGAAGTTCCTCCTTAGAAATATAGCCTGTCTTTTATTTATCTATTTATTGAAATATTTTAGTAACTAAGAAGTTGAAATTTTTCTTAAAGATTTTCTAATCCAATTTAACCTTTTCATCTAGAATTTAATAAAATAGCATCTATTATTTTTTCTTTCTCTTTTCTTATTCCCTTTTCATGATGATTGATTTTGATTCTTACTCTAACTTGATTTCTTCTTCAGGTTAGATATAATCTTCAACTAATTCAAACTGATTTTGCTATTTTTGTTTAACCCAATTATCTTTTTTGGTCACTAAGTCAAATTCTTTCTATTCCTTACTTTCAAGACCTCTTTAGATTTTATTTGTTAACTCTTTTTTTGTTTAATAATGTTCAAACTTTTATTGATAAATCTTTTTTGCTTTCATTTCAGATTCTTTGATTGGTTCTGGTTTTTTCAGATAAGGCTCATACTTGGCCACTATTCTATTAACGAAATCATCAAGTCTCTTATCTTCTTTTTCTTTCTTTTCTTGTTCAATTTATTATTTAGTCTTTATAACTGGTTTCTTGAATAATTTTGCATCTTGCCTTTTTCTTTCTTCTCGATTATATTTTTTTTCGAAAAGTTCTGCTTTTTGATTGATGACTTTAACTTCTTCATTGATTTTTTTGACTTACTTATTCACTTATTTTAAATATTCTTATGTTGGGATCTCAGGTTGATAGGGTGGATAAATGTAATTTTACTTAGGGATATCATCAATATCTTCTAAAACAGGTTTTCTGGCCTCTCTCATGATCTATAGTTTGGCCTATATCAGCTTGTTGTTGTTAGCACATTAAGCCAACTTTTCTGAAACAACTTAATTTAACATTGTTGTGAATTTGATTATAAAATTAAATACAATGTCTGAAGCATACAAGAAGTAGAAGATAGATTCATTTGATTATTATGATCCACCTGAGAATTATTAGCCACCTGTGCAACAATTAGATCAAAGCAAAGTGATTGAGGCTTACAAAACTTTGATTATGTTGAAAAACCATATGTTTAAAGTGAATCTTCTACTTTCCCATGAGGAAGAGAGTTCAACAATAGCAGAATTAAAAAACATCAAGGATGAATTGGTATTAGCAAAGGAGGCACAAGAGAAAGAAATAGCATCATTACAAAAGACTCAAGACAATTTATTTAGTGTAAATAGACTCAATGGAGAAGATATTGATAAATTAGCTAAGGCATATCATGAATAGGATAGAAAATGGTACAATGCCAAACTCATTTAGATAGATACAGAGGAATAAGAAGCTGACATCTAATTTATTGGTTATTAAGAGGTAGTGAAAATGCATGCCATTTTTATTAAAGTTCAACCTATTCCAGATAGTAAATTATTTACAGTGGGATAATAATGCGAAGCAATATACTCCTCAGACGGTCGTTACTATTTAGGAGCAATCGAAAAAGTAACTGAAGAAGGGTATCACATAAGATTTAAGAAAAATTCAAATAGGGAGATTGTTCCTTTAATTTATCTAAGGGAAGCTAAGAAATAGTTAAATGATTCTAAAAAGATGAATTTCGAAGAGATGGATGAATTTCAAGTTCCTGATAACTTGAAATATCTGCCTACTGATAATGAATAGTAGAGATAGGCAAAAAAGAAGAAAATCAAGGCAATGAAACAAACATTCAAATTATCTAAAATTACTAAGTATGCTCAAGAGAAATAATCATCTTGGCAGTCTTTTGCCTAGAAGATTTCAACTATCAAGCCAGATCTGGGTTAGAAGGCAGAAAGCATTTATAGATAAAAATGTGATTAGTTGAAAGAATGATAAATAATTATATATATATATATAATTTAATTTGTGATTAATGAAAAAAAAACTTGATTCATAAATCTAAGCTCTTGTTCAATCTGGCATCAATGAACACATTCGTTCAATATTTGTGATGATTGGAGATAGAAGCAAATATTAGGTTGCAACAATGCATCAATTGTTAAGCAAACTAAGTATGATTTAAAAGCCAAAAGTATTGTGGTGCTACAAGAAAGTAAACATTTGCTAATAAACCTTAAGGATTTGGGATTCACAACTCACAAGAAGAAGCGAGAAACCGAAATTAAGAACCAACAAATGAAGGAAGAGACCCAATTAAATGAGCCTTTCAATCTATTTCTTTCATCCAATGAAATTAGATACTGTTATTATGCTGAAACTCAAAAGGTTTTGGGAAATACATATAACATGTTAATTTTATAAGATTTTGAAGCCTTAACCCCAAACATACTATGCAGAACAGTTGAAACCATTGCTGGTGGTGGAATCATCCTTTTTCTCATTAAGACTATGTCATCCCTTAAACAGTTGTATTCTCTGACTATGGACATTCATTCCAGATTGAGAACTCCAAGTTTCAAAGAAGTCTAGCCTAGATTCAACGAGAGATTCATCATAAGTTTGAGTAGATGCTAGAGATGTCTCTTTGTAGATGATGAATTAAATCTATTGCCAGTCTCCTCGACTGCCTTGGAAAAAATTGAACAGGGAACTCCTATCAATAGCAATCAAGTTGCTGACTTTGCCTAAACTGTTCCTAATGAAATTGCTTAAAAATTGATCAAAAATTGCAAAACATTAGACTAGGCCAAGATTATCTTAGGACTCATAGATTCTTTGTAAGAAAAGGTCTTCAGATACACCATATCCATAAGTGCAGCCAGAGGAAGAGGAAAATCAGCTGCAATTGGTATGGCTGCTGCAGCTGCTCTCAAATTAGGATTTAGCAATATCTTTGTTACTGCACCATCTCCGGAAAATTTAGTAACTTTCTTTGAATTTCTAATTTCGAGTTTGGAGACCTTAGATTTTAGATAGAATCAACACTTTGATGTTATTTAGTCTACAAATCCTGATTTTAATAATGCAGTCATCAGAGTGAATGCCTACAAAACACATAGACAATTTGTTTAATATATCCAACCTTAAGACTTTGTAAAGGTGGCTAACAATGCTGATTTGGTATTTTGTGACGAAGCAGCTGCAATTCCAATTTAATTTGTTAAGTCTATGTTTGGAAGTCACACTTTAGTGCTTTCTAGTACTATCAATGGATATGAGGGAACAGGTCGATCCCTCTCTCTAAAATTGCTATAAAAGCTAAGGGAAACCAAACAGACAGGTTAAGCACGATTATTAAAAGAATTATAAATGAATGACCCTATTAGGTATAGCAATAAAGATATTGTGGAGAAATGGCTTTATGAATTATTGTTATTAGATGCTAGCGATGCACCTAAATTATAAAAAGGATTACCTCATCCCAATGATTGCGAATTGTATTTGTGCAATAGAGATACTCTATTTTCCTCGTAGAAAACAAGTGAGAAGTTCCTATTCAATTTAATGTCCTTGTTTATATCATCGCATTATAAGAACTCCCCTAATGATTTATAATTATTGTCAGATGCACCAGCTCATGCAGTGTTTGTTCTTTTGGGTCCATTACCCACTGATAAGACCATGCCAGACATCTTGTGTGCAGTACAAGTATGTTTCGAAGGTGCAATTCCAAAGGATTTAGTTGATTAAGTCACAAATCAATAGAAACCATCAGGAGATTTAATTCCTTGGACTCTAAGTAAGTATTATTTGGATAATCAATTCCCTTAATATTCAGGAGTGAGAGTGATTAGAATTGCAACTCATCCAAATGCATAAAAAATGGGTTATGGAAGCAAGGCAATGGAATTATTGAATAGATTTTGTAAGGGTGAAATCTTAGATCCCTCTGCTCAATTAATACACATAGACTTCAGAGAATAAGCTACTGCAGAAGATGAAAAGGATTAATTGATTCAACCTAAGAAAAAGTTACCACCTCTTTTAAAAAAGTTAAGTGAAGTATATCCACCTTAAATTGATTACTTGGGAGTTTCATTTGGATTAACTTAAGAGCTTTATAAATTTTGGAGTAAGAATCAATTCAGTCCCGCTTATTTGAGTTTGAGAAAGAACGATACAACAGGGGAATATACTTGTATAGTGTTGAGACCAGTGAAGGATGAGGGATCTGGGATAGACAATTTATGCAAGGCTTTCAGTAACGATTTCAGAAATAGGTTCATTAATTTATTAGGATATGATTTCAAGGATTTGGAACCATATCTTTGTATTGACATCTTGAAGGCTAATGTTACAACAGCTAATGTTGATGAAGACATTGAGATTGCGAAAGATGACAATATCATCACAAAGGAAGAACTGAGATAATAATTAAGTTTGAGTGATTATGCTAGATTAGAAAACTATTGTAAGAGTATGGCAGACTTTTATTTAATCTTAGATATCTTGCCATCAATTTGCAAGTAATTATATACATTATTTCAATAGAATTTTCTTTGCTTAAAAGTGTGGTAAAGCTATTAGAATGAGCAGAACACAAGCAGCCTTATTGTTAGGAATGGGATTGCAATATAAGAACATCGAATTGGCAAGTGAGTAAGTAGACAATGCAGTGAATCAATCATTACCTCTTTTCAATAAAGCTATGAGGAAGATGAGAAACTTCATCAAGATGGTTTTGGATGATGAATAACACTAAAGGACTAAACCTAAATAATAACAACAGTAGCCATCAAAATAATCAGTTATCCAATAAAAAAGAGGAAAAGTCAACTATCAAATAGATGGATAAATTGATCAAGAAGAAATTTAATAGAGTCTTCAGACAGGCGATGTCGTAACATTGGGAAGATCTAAAGATTAAGCTTATATTAATTATAAAAAGAAAGTAAAACTAGGATGATTAGTGTGAATGTACAATAAATTATATATATATTAAGAATTATCCTTAAATATTATTGATCATTTTTATATTATATTTATAGTCTACCTATCAGTGTTTTGGGATAGTCTTGACTGCGAATTACATGCCATAGTGTTATTATTTAGTTTTGATCATAATTAAATATATAATTTTGATTTACTTATACTTAACATTAAATTACTTAAATCTATTTATTTTTGTACCCATATAAATGGCAGTATTAATATAGTTATAAATACAACAACAATGACAGAGTCTTTTAATCAAAGTTAATTAGATAAATCAATAGAGATGATATATATATTTGCCATGATTAATCTCCATTAAATAAATAGACAATTCATATAATAATAATCAATCTTCTTCTTGTATAGACAATCCTTATAGACTAGACTTTATAGCATTCAACTGTTTGGAATTGATTTGAGGATTTTTCTCCAGGATAGTTTGACAACGTTTCCAGATCATGAAGGCTGCTTTAGGTCTGTTGAGTAGTTTGTTAGCATTTGCCATTTAATTTAAGGAGAACACTAACTTAGAATGTTCTAGACCGCACAATTTCTCATAGATGAATAGGGCATTGGAATGTTATTGTATGGAGGCTTCGTATTTGCCAATATTGAACAAGGCACATCCAAGGTTGTTGTAGGAGAGTGCTTGATACTAATTAAGAGGTCCCAGAAGTACTTAACTGATTTCTCCGATCAATTGAAAGTAATACATGGCTTGTTATTCCTGCTTAATTATGATGAGGATACCTTTTTAGAGGAGAGCAAGAGACGTCCCTTTTCATTAATAGAATCTATGGTTTCAAAGTTGTGCAATCCAAAGGCCTTGATCTTCATCTTATAGGCCTAATCATGATACTTTTATGCTTCTTGCACTAGATTCTAACTAAAATTGATTTTGGCTACAAGTTCCATGGCTATCGCAATATCAGGATGATCACGTGGCAATAGCATCTCTCTTTGCTGTAAACAACTGACAACTAATTAACATTTGATTTGCATACTCTAATGCGAAATCGAGTCCATATTTGCTTCGATCCGTATCCATATAAAGTCTGGCTTTAAGAAATAGGATATTGGTTTTGAGTAGGTCATTCTGGTAGGATGGATTGAGCAGACTGGCCAATTGCTCAGCTTGGTTGATGGAGACTTCGGCATCATCGTAAAAGCACCAAGCTCTTTGGGAATTGGCAATATTGATATAGATCTCGATTTTATAATGAACTAGTGAATTGGGCACCACACTCAAGAGTCTCTTTAACAAATGGATAGAGTCAAGATATCTAATCTATTTAAGAGATAATTGTGTACCTGCAGAGCCAGAAATTGATTCTCTAATAGGTGAGGACATTCAATATAAATAGGTTCATGTTTGCAAAACCCTTCAAATGATAGAATGCACATTGCACACACTCCTTCGAGATATCCAGCAAGCTCAACTTTAAAGCTACACTCCCATATTCTGTGTAGAAGGCAGCCAGCATTTCGATGTTGCAGGCTCTTGTCTGGAATACCTTAAAAGTAGGGTCATAGGCCTCAAGATCAGTCCCTAATTGCTTTAGTTATTCATAGGCTTTTCTGTATTGACCCTTGATGTGCAATTCCTAAATTTATTTTAATGATTGTTCCAAAACATTCATTTCTTTATAATTAAAATAATGTATTTATAGCATTCATTGTTTAATAATTAAAACATTGTCAATCAATTAGAAGATGCTCCCTTTGTAAGTGAAATTAATCTCCACACTCAAACCAGGTCCCTTGATTGCCAACTCAATCCCATCATCCAAATATTGCTCAGCGAATCTTTGCAATTTCCCATAGATAGCAAACTTGAAGGGCAATTCTATACTGGGTTGAGCAAATCCCACATCATATTCCACCTTGTCTATTTCGACTTCTGCATGTGCCTTCTATAATAATTAAAGATATAATAAAATTTGACTCAATTATTTTTTTTACAAAAAGAAAGGCAAATTCTCCTGTTTGCACAACTTTAGGTTTTCCAATAACTTTATGCTGTCCTTTTGAAATTCAGCCTTTTTCCTTGCACTTCCAAATTCATTTGGTAGATAGCAATTAGATATGCTTCCTCACTCAATTTTTCAAAAGATAAATCACTTTCAATCTATAATTCCACCTCTTCCCTTTCTTACGACCTTTCCATTGTCTCCCGAATGAATTAACAGATCTCCATAAACTCCTACAACTCAATTTGATTAGCATATTTAAAAGTGATGTATGCGTAGTGTTCATCTACATGATAACTGAGTGCAAATGTGGGCTTCAAAAAATCTCGAATCTATTTCCTAACATCGTCTAGATTCTTTATTACACAAACGATGTTAGAATAGTGTAAGTACTCTTACACCTCTCCTTGAATTCACTATCGGCACTCTTCACATCGATGTCGCTCTTCACCTTTAATTTGATCACTATCTCATAATCTTCACCCTTCGTCTAACTGTACCACAATCTCAAACGCATATTCTTCTCCTTCACTCTCCCTAAAATTATCTTAAAATCATAGTTGTTTCCCTATTGATACATTTATTTAATTAACCGATTCACAATTTAAATGAAGGCTTTCCGCTATTAAGTTACTCTCAACATCAGCAAAGTAGAGCTCTCTGTTAAATTCCCCTGCACTTTACAAGTGATGTGGAAAAGAGGACTCAACAAATGTTTGACTAGAACCAAAGAAAAAACCAGAAACATCTTCATAGTTAACGAGGTACTCACACTGGATTTCAATGTTGGTGAAAATACTCAGAAAAAGACTCATCTCATTGCCCTTTTGAATGTTGATGGACAATCTAAATTGGCTGGCGTTGTTAATTTTAATATTAATGAAACCATGCCCATTGAAGAACAATGCGCACTCGATTTAGAAAGAAGCCCAGATCCAAATGCAAAAATCTACTTTACTTATCAAGTCGTCAATCTCGGAGAAACTGACCTCAGTGAAAGTCGTGCCAGTGAGTCATTTCACCAAAAAACCCTTGCAGATTCATTTGGGTTTGACAAGGAGAATCTCAATCAAAGGATTCTTAGTCAGAAGAAGTCTTCTACTTAGCAAATCTCCAATTATGAAGCGATATTAACTAAGGAACTCTATGAAAAGAGTCTCAAAGATCTTGATCAATAAAAAATCAAGAATACCCAACTCCAAGATTAACTCACTCTATTGACAAATGAGAAATCTAATTACACAGAAGAACTTAAAAAGTTGAAAACCTAAATTATTTAACTTAAAAACGAAAATGAGTATTTAGAAGAATAGTTTGAATCATAAAAATAAGAAATTATTAAATTGAAGGAAAATGCACAAAAAATTACCTAATTTTAAGTTTAAAATGAAAAATTGAATCATGAAATTGAAAATTATAAAATTCAAAATTCTGTTTTAGAAAATAAATATCAATAAACATTCAAAAAGGCTAAACAATTGGAAGAAAAGGTTGAATTTTCACATTTTAATAAAATTGAAAGATCAACCAACACTTAGTTTCATGAAATCCCAGAATATGTCTAATAAAATACCACAATAGCACAATTAGATGATCAAGTGAAAGAACATGCGAGAAAAAATGATAAATTGACATATGAATTGCAATTTACAAGCAATAAGTTAAAAACCTTAGAACAAGAATTATCATAATGTAAATGTTAAGTGGTACAATACTAAACATAATCAAGTCAATTAAAAGAATAATGCAATCGATATGAAACTGAAAATTCAAAACTGAAGATGTTGATTAAATAATTGGAATAAGATTAAAACAACAAGGATAGAGTATAAAATAAAAGTTAGACAGAATATCAAAAGTAGGTAGAATCATTAAAAGATCAACTTAAATAGAATTCAGAGAAGGTAATTATTTATTATTTATTATATTTTTTTAGTTAGAATAAGTAAATGAGAAGTATCGATCAGCCAAGGAGAGAATTCAAAAATAAAATGAAATAATCGAATAACAGAATGATGAACTCACTTTGTAAAACATGACATTTCTTAAGGAGTTATAATTAATTGCAAAAAGGTAGGAATAATTTGGGATTGTTTGAAATTTTTACTTTTAGTTATTTTTTGTTTTATATATTAATTATCCGTTAAAAATGCTTAAAGTCTCTAATAAATCTAGAAAGAATGAGTAATTGGAAACAATCTAAGCCATAGAGAAATGCACAAGTATTAGTAATTGTTGTGTATGGTAGAAATAATGAAAGAAGATCGTCTATAATTAAGGTAAATGGTCAAGGACGAAAACGTGAAATTAATTGAATTAATAGCCAAACATAAGAAGAAGAATGATCTAAATGATTTATAATAAGAACTTAGAAAGTTTTTAAAAGAAAAAAAAACATCTCCCGATAAAGTTTAAGGAGCACCCGTTGTGTTGAGAAAAGTGAAATCTAAGGAGAGATGTGAATGGAATACTTCTATGTGTTCAAATCCTTCAATAAGGTCACCAAGTAGATCAAATTTAGATTTTAAAAAGAAGTCGAAAGAAGAATCAAATAAAAAAATGGAATCTTAGAAAAAATTGGAGAAACCAGAAAATTTAAAAATAGAATAAAATGAAAATGATGATTTAAAAATATTAGATGAAATTCAAGAAGTTAAACCAGAATAATAGGTTCTTATATTCAATACAGCAAATTCAGTAATTGATACTTTTCATGAGGATTTAACTCCAGTCAAAATGGAATTTTAAACTATTGTTTCTTAGGCTCCCTTGAATTAAAGTGATTAACGAAGTGAATGCATTTTATAATACAATGCTGCTGAAATTTAACATTATATGCAATCAGATAAGCATTATGTATCAAAAGAAACTTATAGTTTACCTTAATTGGTTAGTTTGAATTATAAATAAATAGCAGGCCCTGATTATCAATATCTATTCACAGATTGGAAGACTCTTCTGAAGCCTGAACAACCAAGATATCATTTGAACGAGTGTTGCTTATTTGATGAACCATAACATTTAGAATAATCAAAATTAATAAACTTGAAGACTGATCAATCTCAAATAGTGAAGAGTTTAGAAATACGTGGGGTGACAGCAGAGGAACTATTTACGTATTTGGTTCATCATCGATTTACTAAAAGATTGAATTAGTATTAATTAATAGAAAATGCCAAACTTTCTATTCCAAATGCGTAATTAGATTTAGAGTCTTTGTTCAAGTTATCAGATCATGATGAGGATGGATGGATTAGTTTGGAAGAGTTGGGTAAAACATTGTAGGATACTTGCATTGAGAAAGAGTAACACATAAATCCGATTAAAGGATTGTATAATAGATTAAATGGGGTGGTGAATATGGAGAATTTTATGAATGCAATGAATGATCGATTATAGGGAGAAATGTATTAGATTTTATGTATGTATATTTTAGACTTTATCATGAAATCGATTTGTTTAGCAAGGGTTTCATTACTTATTGGGAGATGTATAATCATTACGAAGAAATTGAAAAGTTACTAAATAAATGATAATTTTAATTATATTTTATGTTAAAGTCACTTTTAAATGGGTTTCTGAGTTTGCATCACCAGAATCATTAATTGCTCTATCAAGATTTATACAAATATTCAACGGAAACTAATTCATTCAGCAATAATATGTACGTTTTAAGCAACACAAGAAACAAATTGAAATTTTCATTGGTTCTATTGTCAAAAGTAAAATCAGTGCATTTCTACTTACTAATGTCATTTACAACAATATCTTACTTGTCTTATTATTGGTAGAATATTACATAAGGATATTTAAACTATTTGGAAAGTCGATTGAAAGAGCAATAAAAGAAATCGGAACCCAAAGTCCCAATCACAGGGTCTTCGATTGTTATTAATGAAGTCCTGAGGAAGGAGAGCATCAATAAAATGTTGGGAGAGCTGATTGCAAGAATAGATAATAAAGAATCAACTTAACATAATGTAGCCAAATAAATGTGTAAATTGGGCAACCTATCCTTTTTATATGATAAGACCTTTGTATTGACTAAGGATCTTTTGATACAATAGGTTTTCAACAATGATGAGATATTTGTGAAATTGAGGGACTTGCTAATTAAAGTATTGAATGATCAAAAGAGCTTAAGTGGTTACTTTGGTATGTGATTAGCTAAGGACTAATGCGATGGATGTGGCAGTAAAGAATTTAGTAAATTTATACAACCAAGAGGGATTCCAACAGGGATTGTCGAATGCTTTGATAGGTGCTATGTACACCTACTTAGATGATAGGAGTACTGTTACTGAGTTATTGAAATTATTATAAAACAAGAAGTGAACCGCCGTTTTTTAAATTATAAATATTATTACATACATTTTGTTGTCCTTTTAAACCAAAATTAGAGTATATCAAAATATAATAATTTAAATTTGAAACACAAAAAATGATCATTTAAAATCAAGAAATGAGCGGCAACACTAAGACCTAAACATTCACTCCCCTATCTAATGTTTAGGCAAGTCAGACAGTTCTAAATCAGAATTATTGCGATGAGCCACTTTTGAAACAAAACCCAAATAGATTTGTACTCTTCCCCATAAAATACAATGACATTTGGAACATGTATAAATAACACAAAGCAAGTTTCTGGACAGCAGAAGAGATAGATTTATATTAGGTACTCTATTTGAGTAATAAAATTTTAGGATCTTAAAGATTGGGAAAAGCTTACAGCTGATGAAAAGCATTTTATTAAGTATGTCCTAGCCTTTTTTGCAGCCAGTGATGGTATTGTGAATGAAAACTTGGCCTAATAGTTCTGTACAGAAGTTTAAGTGCCTGAAGCCAGATGCTTTTATGGATTTTAAATAGCAATGGAAAATATACATTCAGAAACTTATTCTCTTTTGATAGACACTTACATAACCGATGAAAATGAAAAGAACTATCTTCTACATGCAATTGACAATGTGCCTGTTATTCAAAAGAAGGCAATGTGGGCTATGAAATGGATAAATGAGAATGATTCATTTGCTGAGAGATTGATTGCCTTTGCTGCTGTTGAAGGCATCTTCTTTTCTGGTTCATTTTGTGCCATATTTTGGATCAAAAAAAGATCATTGATGCCTGGACTCACCTTCTCAAATGAATTAATTTCAAGGGATGAAGGTCTCCATACAGACTTTGCTTGTCTCCTGTACAAGCATTTAGTTAATAAAATGAGTAATCAAAGAATTCATGAAATAATATCATCGGCTGTTGAAATTGAAAAAGAATTCATTAGTGAAGCTCTACCAGTTGAACTTATTGGAATGAATTCCAATTTGATGAAATAATATATTGAATTTGTAGCAGATAGATTGATATTTGCATTGGGTGCTCCCAAGATTTACAATTCGAAGAATCCTTTTGAGTGGATGGATATGATATCTTTGTAAGGTAAAACCAATTTCTTCGAAAGAAGAGTGGGAGACTATCAAAAAGCTGGAGTCATGAGTAAAAAATAAGATAAAGTATTTACTATGGATGCAGACTTCTGATTAATTAGCACTGATATATTTAATTTTTATTATCAACTTATAATTTTATTTTCAATGTTGTAAAAGTACGTAAAAGAATAATACTATGAAAATTTGAGAAATTTCAAATATAATGGATAGAATTTCTCTATTTTATACAATTGGATCCTAGGAGATATAGCTTAATTTGTTGTATTACACTAAGATTTATTAATAGGTTGATCATATACCTAAGACCGTTGCTCCAAATGTAATTACTATTACTGGATTTTGTACATTGTTATCTAGTTACCTATTGAGTTTATACCTGAATCCCATGTTTGATTAGGGTTTACCACAATGGGCTAGTTTGTACATCACTTTGACTATCTTCATTTACTAAACTTTGGATAACGCAGATGGAAAATAAGCAAGAAGAACTTAATAATCAACTGCCTTGGGAATGCTCATGGATCATGGAAGTGATTGCACGGCTGCTTGGATTACAGGATAATTGTATCTAAGTGCTTTTAAGATTGCTTTTACACCATTTTCGATGTTGACTGCCATAGGAGTTGGATTTGGCGGTTTCTTTTTTGGAGTGTATTGCTAATAACATACTGGAGTATTTTAATTGGGAGTAATCAATGGAGTAGATGAAGGTTTGCCTGTTATTTAATTGTTCTTTTTGATAACAGCTTTGAACTCGTCAGATTTTTGGTTAAATTAAATAGAAATATTCAATGGAATCAATTTATAATATAATAAAATATTGCTATTGATCACTATCGGAGCATGCACCATCACTATAGCTTAGTTTTGTTATCCAGTATTCAAACTAATGAACTGGAATATCATCAAAATCTTGAATAGTCTGCATTTACCAATTGCAGTTGTATTCACCTTCGTCAGTTTAATCTATTTGTCCCCAACAAATGTTTTGTCTAAATGGTTCCATATATATATGCTCACCGTTGGATTATAATGGTCTAAAATCATAAATATCTGGCAACTAGCTATAATAACCAAAGAAGTACGTTAATAATATCTAGATATTTTAGAATTTCAATCAATTTTCATTCACCTGGTTGATTACACTGGGGACAATCATTATAAATTTGTATTCTCATTACTTTACCTCTGATGGCTTGTGTTATTTCGATGAAGTTAAGTTGATCTTCACTCTATTAGCCTTTTCCCTTCTATCTTATTTCCATTGTATCACGAGTATAGTGACTCAATTGTGTGAGATTTTGGACATTCATGCATTTAGTATCAAACAAAAATATTGAATATTAAATTATAAAATTATAATTAACAATGCTAATCATAGATAAAATTAATGCTCTTTGGTAAAGCATCACTTTTGGAACCAAATTCGTTCTCTTATCCAGTATATTATGCTGCATCCTCGATGTCCTTACGAATGATATTTTATTTGATCTCTTTGTAGATGTCCCTAATAAAACATTCAATCAATTCGAATTGTGGAGATTGCTCATTCCATAATTCTTTCATGGTATAAATAAAATCAATTCAAACTCTAGGCAATGTCTATAATCTAATCATAAGTCTGTTAGGATTTTTGCTTTGTGCCATTGAAGTAGAAAAAAGTTATGGTACCATCCCCTTTTTTTGTGATATATTCTTTACGAATCTGATCATACAAGTATTTAAAATTCATAAATAGGCTATTTATGTTTTGTTGTGCTTTTCACTTTAAAAATTAAGCATTGAAGCAATGGATTCATAGTCTTTTGGTTTTTGGAATATCACTTTTATTTACATGTTGAATAAGTATGTTCTATCTTGTAATTTAGAGGACTTACAGATTAGGATGATTATTAAAAGTTCCTCTGCTTCCCATTTTATATCCCATCAAAATACTACCCTGCTGCATTCTTCTTGATCATGAACTTAATTGAATTCCCTAGATTGGACCTAATTGCAGCAACTCTTTTTGCATTTATTGAATATCAATTATTCGATGGCTTCATGATGAAATTATCCAAAGTAACAAATACCTTAATAGAATAAGGGATTCGTCACAGGAATAGAACACTCCTTCCCATTCAAATACATCTAGTCCCGCCAGGATTTCATAACATGTGACTAAGTTAACCACCCATTTATGTCTGAAGAGGCTAAAATGTCTCAATATCATTTGGAAATTGGAACCATTTCTACTACAGAAACTAGAGTACAAGATTAACAATAGATTTGACACACAATGTTTAAATATATATATATTATATACCAATCTATCTATTTAATATACTTAATGTGATATTAATATTCTAATACTCATTTTTTGCCTCCGCCTCCAACATTAAATTTGAAGAAACAGATATCTCCATCTTCTACAACGTACTCCTTACCCTATTGTCTATACTTACCTTCAGCCTTGACTGCTGTGATGGTACCCAAATGAACAAAATCTTCATACTTCATAACTTCAGCACAAATGAATCCCTTTTCAAAATCTGTATGGATAACTCCAGCAGCTTAAGGAGCTTTAGTTCCTGCTCTAATTGTCCAACATCTGACTTCATCTTCTCCTGCAGTAAAGAAGTAAATCAAATCTAATGTCTTGTATCCAGTCTTGATGATCCTTGGCAACATGGATAATTTTGATCTTTCTTATGTTATGGTACCTGCTTGAGTTCTTAATATAGAATAAAATGAATTACTCTTCAAAAATAGTTTTTTCTAAATCTGCACTGTATGGTATAATATCTCCTGGACAATTGGCATCAACCCAATCCTTAATACCTTTCAACCATTTATTCTTTCTAGTCATAAAATCTGGTTGACTTAAGTTGACCAAATAGACTACATTCTTTGCTGTAATGAAATAGTATTTATTCAATATTTCAATCTCCTTGAAGTTCCAATCTCCTGTTCTTACCCACTTCTTGTTGTCCAATAACAATTTGACTTTGTCCAAGACTTCCTTCTCTTCTCTAGCATCTTTATTGTTGTTTCTCTTAATTACGTGTTCTGTTTCTGCCAATCTATTGTTACAGAATTCCAAATCCTTCAACAACAACTCAGTAGAAATGATATCCATGTCTCTAATGATATAATTGTGTATTCTACCTAATTGGATCAACTGACAATTCAGTATGACAAACATTCTCATCTTCGAATGCTCTCACTACATGATAAATTCCATCGCATTCTTTTATGTGTGATAAGAAAGCATTTCCCAATCCTTCTCCCTTGTGTGCTCCTGGGACCAATCTATTTTATTATTCAATTATATCAATACCCAGCAATATCAACAATGCTCAAGACAGCTTGAATCTCACTTTTAGGTTTGTGAATTTGGCATAGTTTAATAAATCTCTCATCTGGAACAGGAACTTTGGCATTGTTGGGATCTATTGTGCAGAATGGATAATTTTCTGCTGGAACATTCAATTTACACAAAGTATTAAATGTGGTTGATTTTCCTATTTTTCATAAAATGCATTCCTTACCCACATTTGCCATACCTACAATACCCATCTTGAGAGTATTGCTGGGTCTTCCCAACTTATTCTTCTTCTCTTCTTGCTATTCTTTTTTAGGAGGCATTTAAATCTTAATATAAATGTATTTGTTTTATTTATTAATTATACACCCTCTTTATACACTTCTCTAGAGATAGAAATAATGTTTATGAATACAACCAAACTTCAATACAAAAAAGTAATACATCGTATACATTTATACAAACCCAATTGTTAATTATGTATAATATTAAACTCATTACCCTTTTGACAACAAATCAGATTATGATTGCTATTATTTTAATGAATTTTGAGACTTTTTTCCGAAAATGACTTTTGAATCATAGTTGCTCTTAAACTAAATCTAGGTCACTGGCTTTTCCTTCTAAAACTAAATGCTACTCTTATAAGCACTCGAATTGAATTGTGCCCACTAATTTTGAATCTTCTCCTACGACACCCTCTAAGAATCGAGATAGAGAATCCCTGCCTAAGGTTCATTCTTCAACTTTTCATTATCCTCATTCAAAGATACAATTTAACTCTTCAGCTGATCAATTTATTTCTCCTTCCTATCAATTTCGAATTTGTGTTGTTTCTACAAATAATTGTACTTCTGCTAAACTATTTCCAATTACTGCTTCATCTACAGATGTTACTCCTGCATCTCAGCCAACTCTATCACCGCCTTCTGTTCCCGACTGTTCGCCTCCTGTATTTGCGATCTCAGATTCTGGAGGATGGCTTTCCACTTAATAAATAATCAATACTCTCTCTTCTTTAATTCTACTCACACAGTATATCCTGATCTCTCTTCACACTCTCCAGTTCTGCACTCTTCTATTTGAGTTCCCTCATCAATCTGTTTATGTCCTCCTTATATTTCTCCTCCATATCTTTGCGTCTCTCGTATTCCTATTGCAGACCCTGGTACTCCTCTCTCGTTACTTGAAAACTTTAACCAAAGACATTCTTACTCATCATCATGCTCTCGCTTTGATTCGTCGGTCTGTTTTCCTCGCATTCCGCACTTTCAGACTTCCAAGTCTTTAACTTACTCAACATAATACTTCATTTTTCTTCAAATCATTCTAGAACGAATTTATACGGTCATCTCTCATCTCGAACGTCGAATCCCTTTAAAATAAAGCATTTATTTGCTCTACTGACATATACACAGGCTGATTGTTCATATATTAAATATATTATATATAATTTATTTCTGTATTACATTATCAAAAACAACAAAAATATTATTGCAATTTTTCTTTTAATTTAATTTTAAGAAATAACTTTATTCTTGATTTCATCCTCTGCGACTAAAGCACACCTCCCCATACCAAAACCTGTCATTTATACTAAAATTATTATATAAATTAAATTATCAAGTTCACCTCTCATAACTAAGAGTTCGTTTCATCAAACGGAATTAATTTATTGAAATAAAATACCAAATCCAAATTCAAAGGAGTAACCAGCAAATGCTATTCGGTGTACTTGATAAAGAAGTTCTTTTAGTATAATTACAAAAATTAGTACTTATTTGACAGTTTTACCTGGAAAGCAAGATAATTGTCAAAATTATTCATACTTATTTCATGAAAACTATTTAAATCCATATCCTAAATTATGTTGAATACTTGAATTAAGTATATTTTAAAAAATTAGGCATAGGTCTTTAATTTTACCACTTTATTGCCATTTAAATTCAAATTAACTGTTGCTGAAAAAACGTAGGTGTTTAATAATTTATTCAACAATTTAACAACATTTATTGTCTTTATTTTATATTAACCTAACATTAAAATTGACATGACTCCGAATTTAAATTGCAAATTAAAACGATTTTTCTTGCAATTAGAAAATTGTTCTACTAATTGATTTGATATAATTTAAGGAACTTGTTTCTTCTTTGATTCCAATTTCGAATTCTCTAAAATTAAAATCAAACTATTATCTGTGTTGAATTAACAAAGTCTGATTTTTATTTTGTTTCTTTTAACAACCGCAAGGCAATTTCCCCTTATACTGTTTTAATCATGAATTATCCATTTCTCTAGTATCCTGTCGCCAACTTTACAATTTCTTATAAAATTCCTGATATTACAACCATAACACAAATTTTGGTTGTATCCCAAAAATTAATGCTCTTAATTGACTTAATGTACATCTATTTAAAGCTTCTTTTCATTGTAAATAATTTTTGTAAAAGGCTTATTGATTAAAGTTTGTAATTGATAATTAATCGTATCTTCTTTGTAATTCATTAAAAATTACTACCTTTGTGCCCTATTACATATATATAACACGCTTATTAAAAATACTGCTGTAACTATAGTAAGACCCAAACCTACCAAATCAAATCTACCTGCATAAAAAGTAGTCACAACTAATCTGAATATCAAATGAATTATAACAGAAGGACAACTTAAATAAAAATCTGTAGCAAAATATGTTACTGCCTAAATCAAAGAAAAGCTGCTCCCGTACAAATAGTATTCTTATCCATGTATATTGCTGGCAGTAAAATTTAACTAAAGTAATAAGATAAAAGCATTTTCTAGAGTCATTATTTTTTATGTTAGAGTCTCCTTTTTCCTTACAATGAAAAAGCTTAATATTGAGAGGGCAACAAAAGTTATGTTGATAATTGGTATTGAAAATGATTGCCTAGTTGTTACCTTAATTATCTGTAATGTATTCATTAATAATGACATTAGAAGGAGACCAAAATGCAGAGGCCTGAGTGTTTTTTAAATGGACTGTTTTTAATATTTTAATTCAATATCTGCAGCCTTAAATTATAATGTAAGTTTATTCATTAAGTCCATTTTTTTTTCTTATTATCTCAAAAAATTATTTAATAGAGTCAATCGTAATTAACTGTTGAGTAAAATAACAAAAACATAAATTCGGTTAAAAAAATTGAGTCCTTTTAGTGATTTAGTTTAGATTAGTCACTTTTATTTAAATAGTGGATTGGATATTTTAAAAATTATTTTAGAAACGATTACCATTAAAGAATAAATGAAAAAAATTAATTTGAGTAATTAAATTACTATAAATATTAAGTTTTTTAATATAAGCTTAATTTAATATTTATAATAAATTATATATCTTTAAGTCGTCGAATTAACAATTTATATATCTTTAAGTCGTCGAATTGACAGATGATGTCAAAATGATCTATATTTAATTTATGTACATTTTTTAATATTCAAACTCAAGTAGATCATTATATAGATTATATATAATAATATCATATACATTTTAGTTAGTCATCTTTTAATAATACTATATTTAATAAGTGATGCTCTAATAATCTTCTCTTTTTGTATGATGTCGTTTGGCATATATGATTTGTATATTTTCCTATAGAACTGAAATGATTTATTCAATTAATTAACTAAATACATTTCTGCTATGGTTATAAATACCAGTAGTTAAAATACTACCATGACAATCATCAAAACAAGTATTAGAGTAAAGTATTGATCAATTAGATTCCCTAGATCATTAGACCAAGAAGTTAGTAAAGCTTTGAAGGCAGACTTGATGTAATCTATGGCTACATTATATTGCCAAATGGTTTCCAAATTAATCTATCCAAATCTAGTCTCCTTATTCAAAACATAATCTTAATATAAATGAACTATTACCTTCAGTGACAGATGAATATAATTAATTAAATGCCACGACTCCTTATTTTAGTTTACCATTTAAAATAGTCTAACAATCGTCAGCAGCCACTGTATCCAAATAAGAATTTTCTTAGAGATACTAACATAAATTTCCGAAATATATAGATTGGAAGCTTGTGTAATATGTGCCATAATTTGGATTCTCAATAGAAGGAGTGCTTTTGATATCAGTAATTTGATCTTCTAAAATTTTCTAAATTTATTCTAAGCAATTTTAATTATATTAATCAGGATTGAAATATTTCTCTTTGACTGAAACTAATAAAAGTTAACTATCACTGAAATCTTAAATGGAGTCTGCACCAGTCGAAATCAATTTGGTAATTTATTATGAGGAGTCGCTTAATGTTAAGAAAAATACTAAGGATGCCGAGGATGAAAACAACACATATAAGATATAGATTAAAGACATTTTAATTGTTAATTTTTTAAGTAATTACTTTTCAAGAATCTGCTTGTCCTTTCTTTTAGTAAGGTTTTAGTCTTCAACTTCATTAATTAGTAGGAAATTTTATTATTATTAGAAATTAGTTTTAGTGTTGATTTATAGTTTTCTATCATTTTGTTGGATAATGCCTGATATATCATCATCCTTATTTAATATGTATTGAAATTAAGTTTGAACAAATTACTATTGTTTGACAATCTTATTCAAATCGTTTTTCTTGATCATAATAAACATTTTTAGTACTGCTTTGAAGGTCTGACAAATCCATAAGATGATAAGTAATAATCCAAAGAATCCAATGATAAAAATGCAAGATTCCAAGATCAGAATAATGATCACAAAATCAGACATTGAACTTGATTTATTGATAAGAATATCTTCCAAGAGCAAGACAGCATCATTAAATTCTAAATAGAGAGTGGGAACAGTAATATTCCGCATATACTTCACCAAGGAATTTGATTCATTTAGTTGAATCAATTCCTCCGAAGACAGAATGGACACTTGGTGTTCTACTAGAATTATCTTTGTAAACACATCCTTGTAATCTAAAACAATAGGCACATTTTGAATTTAAGCAATAGTCAGATCAGTAATAGAATTACTATGAAATATTGTTTCATCTAAAAAGGTTTCTTGTAAATTCAAATCCCTAATTTGTAGTTTTAAGTAATCATAACTCTAATCAATTTATAAGGTTTGGTAAGTGAAGAATTTATCCTGAGTATCCAGAGCCACTCCTTCAACTAGTAAATTTTTAAAATCAGCATTTTTGTAGAGAAGCAAATCCATAACTGTATCATAAGCTTCAATTATATAGGTTTGCATTTGCGATAATTGTAAAATACGAGCGGATTAAGTTTTAATTGGTAAAAAGTCCTAGTATACAATTATAAGCTTACTGAATAAGGTTTAAGAAAGTAAGTGATTAGATTTAATGCTAAGATTGTAACATACATGAAACGTAGAAACCAAGTCAGATAAGAGATTTTGACAAGCAATTTCCTAGGTCTATTATTATCCTCTTTCCTAAATATGTTATCAAGAACATTTAAAGAGAAACTTTAAGTGCCTTATTACATCTTAAACTGATTCTGAAAGGTTTCCCAATTGATCATTTTCGGTTATCCTTTAAAGTCAACCAAAGCATCCTTTTCTTCCGAGTCCTCCAAATTGTCCTCTTTCTATAGTTAATATCCCAATCCATTTGACTTAGCGGCGGCTACTTTGATTTTGACATTTGAATTGGTTGGAGATGACTATGGTTGATGAGGTGAAACTATTTTGCTTTCTCCATCACTAGTCATGGTTAAGTATTTTGCACCATCAATGTTTTGTATACTCTTAAGTCTTGACATATCTAGGAGGATTAGAATAAATACAAATTACCTCTAGAGAGTCCTTTATTTAACATCATATAAGATTGTTTACGAACATTTTGACGAATTTTGTTTTTGAGTATTTCTGAAATGTTGGATACCTTCATTATTCCAATTCGTTCATCCCTTATTTTATAGAATGAGATTGTGCAAATAATTTTAAATGACTTAACTTTTTACTAATCTTTCAAGATATCTTAGTATATCTCTTTTATCAAATCATAATACCCTTTGTCTTCATCATTTTTTCTTCTTTCAGCTGCTTTCTAAAACATTAATCTAGCTTTTTTCTTGAATTCTCTTTATTAAGTGCCTTATTTAAAAAATAGTTTCTTATCATTAACTTTCAATTTGCCCTTATCTTTTTCCCTTTCCTTGTCTTGCTTCTCCTCTTGTTTAACATGCTTGAATATGAATATACATTTACATCATCTTATTGTTTCTTGATCTAATAGAGTTTGTATTTAGATTCAGTGTAGTGCTTACATGCAGGCAGAAACTTATCAGAGAGTTTCATATGAAAAGAGATGGGTTCTCCATTGTTTACTTTACCATCCAAAACAAACTGTCCTTTCTATTTAACTATTTCATCCTTGCTCATGTTGTCATCACTCTAATCTCCTCCAGCATGAATATTACTTTCAAATTTAGTTTAAATTCTTTTGTAATTGTTCTAAAACTATGTTTCATACATTTTCTTAATTTCTTCATCAACCTTTTTATTTTACTATTCATTTATATCCTTCTACATTTCAGAATACTAATCGATTTAATTCTTAAAGTCCTAAGCATCATTCCTCTCGCTAGCATTGCTGATTTATTATTAAAATTGTTTGTTATCTTCTGGCACATCTAAAGATTGCATCTGTAGATAATTTGATGAGAGGTCTACTTCACCATATGAGATATTTCCACTTTTCCCAGGTATTAGATTATGAGAACTAGAATTGGTCATGTTCACTTATATTTTGAATTAACCTGGCATGTTGTTAACACGTTTAACTGATTTTCCCAAAGGTTCTTCTTTTTTCTTTTTGATTTTCTACATCCCGAACAATTCTAAGTCAGTCTCTTCATTGATCAATTGACATGCTCTACTAAATTATATTAATTTTGGTGCAAATAACAAAATATTGATTAAGGTCTGTAATTTTTGTTTCTAGAACAATGACTAATCTATTTATAATGATTAAATCACATTTGGAGTCATCCCATTGATTTCCCAGTCTTAATTCAATATTATTACATCATGCTTCTTCTCATTATTTAAATCAGTCGGTCTGATCATAACTACAAATTGTGACTATCCATTCAAATCCACATAGAGTTTTAGAAACTTTTAGGCAGTGAACATAAATCCTTTTTTATGAATGCAATAGACCTTCCTCTAAGAATACAAAGCATGTCCCTTGCCTGTCAATTTGTAATCATTCAATAAGGAGGGATGTACCTTTGAATAAATGTCAGGCATCAATTAAGTGATCTGAAATTTGTTAGCAACCTCTTCATGAGTATACCCAAAGATCTTTGTAAATTATTTATTCACCTTAATGATTACAGCATCAGGATCATCAGTAGTTTATATAATACATGCTTTTTTATCAAATATAATTTTCTTGCTTTTTATATCAATTTTATCCATATCCAATTTTTGTTCTTAATCTGATTTCACACTAGCTATGTCTTCTTCTACATTATTTTCTTGGACTTCCTCAGAGAAGATATCATTCTCATTAACTGACAATCCTTAGAAGTTATCTAATATTTTATTTTTTAATTTCTTATTTTATATATAGAGAGTAAACCAAGCATAATAAAATTTCCATTTTTTTTTGAAATCCAAATAATTCTGAATCTACACCCATAAATTATTTGTTTATTCAATCTTCTCAAATTAATTCTTGAGTAACTCATCCAATTCCTACAGGTCGATCACTTCCTTCTATAAACACTTCCAAAATGCACAATTTTGTATCATAATCTGATTGATGTTCTTCTTTATTGTTTCAATTAGATCTTCAACATATAATGCATTCTAGATTTCCAATTTCTCCCTATAACTTTCTTGATTCCTATGTTTTATGTATCGTTTAATTTTCATTTTCAATTGGTAAGCCTTATATCTATTGATAACAAAAAGAAACCGTTTTTCTAAGCCATTCAAAATATGCAATGAAATTTAATGATTTTGAAATTTAAAGAACATATACCGAGCATAAAGCAATTACAATTCAATTGAATTAGGATTATCCATCAGTTTAGTCTCAATCCAGGATTTTATCAGAAACTTTACGAAAATATTCTTATGAATAAGCCAATCGTCCAACATTACTTCCTTCTTCTTCTTGGAATCAAAAGTTTTCTTCTTCTTACAAAAACACCTGCCTTCTCCCTATATTATGGTATGTCGACACTCCTATTCCATATGTCTCTATAAGATGCCTTTAAAAAACAAATCTACGTTGATATCTTAATTAGTGACTTCAAGCAATGAAATAACTATAAAAACCTATCTCGAAAAATCAGTTTCACTGGCTTTCTCATAATTGATGTCTTCATAATTGGAGTTTCTCAAATTGTAAATAAAGCAACAAACTAAAAATATGAAGGACAAAGTGAAAAAAAGACTGAAATTCTCAAATGATTGTTCAATTGTGTTCCAACGATACAACTCATCAATCATCATCGAAAAACTCGAGGAGACCATTATAATCAGTAAGATTAAGAAGGTATTACGTATAATAGAAGTGGCAAAAGCCATGTATCCACTGTAAAACAAGCAATTTAAAAGAAAGAAAGAATACCCTAAAAATATACAGATCATCATGACCCATAGATAGGAGTAATCATTAGAACTACAGAGAATAGGGTTTCATAGTTACCTAAACGAAATCAGAAAGGCCTAGAAAGCTCTGAAGAGATGAAACATTGCTAAATAGAGTGAATTTTCTGTATTGAAACAATCCTTCTTCTGACTGCTGTCATTATGGAAAAATACACTCAAGAAAAATATGTTGAAAAGTCCAAAACACACTCTAATGTAATATTAAGTAATACCCTAATACTGACATGGCTATTAAGACTTTCCTCTCGGCATTCATAGAACAATCCATCGAAGGACCACAAACTATGTTCTCAAAAAAGACTACCAAGGCCGGATAATGGAATATCCAAATGTACCACTCAGACAATTGCACAAATTTCTAGATAACAGCATTTAGTACCTTGCCTATGAACTTCTTCCTGACTCGATAATCATCCGATTGTAGTATGTAAAGAATGAAATATAATAAGGTGTTACCGATTGTGGCAAGCAAAAATATGGATAACATTAGGTAATTAATTGTTATGTCTTGTCTTAGTAAACCTTGAATGTCAAAGTATGTGCCAGAGTCGATTATTTAATTAAGAATTGTTGACTCCGATGAGTAGTGGAGATCTATCACGTTCTTGTATCTGAATATACTGATTAAGGTACTATCGAATTTAACTCATTATATGATGGATAAAGGAGACTATCAACATTATTATGGCCTTCGTGTAAGATGCTTATTTCAATTTCAAAAGATCATTAAACAATTTGAAATGTTCTTCCAAACCCTTTCCATCACGTCTCTTCTCCAACTCCCTCTCTTGTTACTACAGAGTGGGTATCACTTATTCTTTATCCATCCAATTTATTAAATAAATATAATTATTTATGCAGGAGTGGTGTACAATCGAGTCCGACCCTGGAGTTTTCACTGAGCTCATCAATGCAATTGGAGTCCAAGGAGTTCAAGTTGAAGAGATCTACGATCTAAATGATGAGCAATAGATAGCTTAAATGCAACCAATTTATGGATTCATCTTCCTATTCCGATGGACAAGCAAAGGCGAAAAAAGAGAATCCCTCAAAATTTATGATCAAGATCTCTTCTTTGCCAACTAAGTCATTTAAAATGCATGTGCAACCCAAGCCATCATTTCTATTTTACTCAATTGCCCATAAATTGAAATTGGAGAAGCACTCAGAAATTATAAAGTATTACACTATTCATCATCCAGGAATTCGCCCTTGCTCTAGATCCCAAAGAAAGAGGCAACTGCCTAGGTGCTGTCGATATCATTAAGACTGCTCATAACAGCTTTGCTCGACCTGAACCCTTTATTTTCTCTAACGATAAGAAAAAAGCTAAGGTAAGTCTCCCTCCATTTTATTCTAGGAAGGTGATGATGTATTTCACTTTGTCTCTTATATCCCCTTCAAAGGAAAGGTGTATGAATTAGATGGTCTCCAAGAAGGACCCATCTTGATTGGAGAATATCAAGATGATTGGGTTGTCAGAGCTAAGGAAGCCATCTTAACCAGGATCCAACACTACTAAGAAAAGGAAACTGCTTTCACTTTGTTAGCTGTCAATTAATGTAGGAAATTCAAAGTATGTGCAATAATTTATTTAGGCTAACAACATTATTTTATAGTCTTAAAATGAAATACTCTAGAGTCTCAAGACTTTGTAATTCATAGGAGTCGATTTAACTGAAGAGTAGACATAACAATTACTTCAACTTTCAAATTAATAAGTAAATTGTAATACTATTATGCATACAAGAATATTGAGCAAGAATTACTGCAAGAATCGTCAGAAGAATTATAAAATAGATTAGCTCTGGCCAACAACAGAATTTAGGAAGCCCAAATTATACTTAGTGAAGAGAGTGCAAAGTTTTAAAAATATTAAGTACTTCTACCAAAGTTATCACTCTTAGGAAGAAAATTCCAGAAGGAAGCACAATTACATTCCATTCATTTTAGAACTTTTTAAGATGGCTCAACGAAAAGGTTAACTAGAAGGACTATTGGAAAAGGCATAACAAAAGTAATAACAAAAGTTGTAACAATAAACAAAAAAATGATATTTAAGTTTTATAATATGAACAATATATATATAAAATTTAATTGATTCTTTCAATAAATTATTTAAGCATTGATTAAATTATAAATGCTAAATAAGTATAAATATATCAAATAAATTTATTTTCTCTTAACTTTAATCTAACTTTATTTATTTAATCTTAAATTTAATCTAATTCTTGTTCAAGCTATTCCCTTTTTCTTCTCTCCAATGCACTCTTTGATATGTTAATCTTTTTATTTAATTCACTTTCTAAAGTTTATTTTTTTATTGTCAATTCATTCAGCTAATTGGTTAATTGAAACTCTAAATCCTTCTATTACTAAGTACGAAAATCAGATGGAAAATTCAAAATCCCTCCTTGATTATAAGTTACTTATTATGGATCTTATTTGCTGTTTTACTATTTGATTTAAGATTAAACTAACATTTGATTGAATTATTTAATACTGTTCTATTTTTTAAATTATTTGTAAGCATTTATTAAATTATCATTCTCCTGTAATCCTTCATGTTTAGAAGCATTCTAACTTAGATTCTGAAGAATCTATTATTCACTGCTTGATGCATTACTGTAAGCGCTACTCATCATAGTTGTGGCTTCTCGGAATTAGAGTTATTAACTTTGCTTTTTCTAGATTTATTAATACTATTCAAATTGTTATAACAAGGATTTAAATTACTAATCAAGCATAACCTATAAGTCCTATACATAAATATTACATTCTGCTATGAAACATTTCTAGCTTCCTTTTCAAGTAAGTCAATTCTGATATAAGCTTCATTCAATCTTAAATTAGCATCTTCTAATTTCACCTCTGTTTCTTTTACTTTGACTTCTAGATTAATGCACTAATTTTTATAATGGTTGACCTACTGCTTAGTTTCATGGAGTTCTATTAATTTGGAGTCGTAGTCTGTGGGAACTTAAAAATTTTATAGATGTTGTGTTAATTATTAATGCAATTATTATTAGATTTTTTATTACATAGACTGAAGTTATTATTGTTGTTAATTTTATTATTGCTGATATTTTTGGCTTTGATTTTGTATCTCATCCATAGCTCCCATGTACTTCTCTAATATTTCATCCCTCTCCTATTATAATAGATTGAGAATCTTGTTATACTAGGTTATTATGAGATTGATGAGAATGGATTGTTCAAGAATCTTCTCATCCCTTATTTTGATATCTTCATCTTTATCTATAACCATCTACTTTAAGTTTTGGAGGTTTTATTCATAAAACGAGATCAGTTAAATTTAAACAGCTTCCTTGCCTTTCTCCTTTGCATTGCTGTCAGAATTTGAAATGTCATTATTACTTAATTATTCAATCGGTTCTGTAACCTGTTTTTATCCACTGAAGAATCTTCTTTATTATTCTGTTTTTTTGCCAACTTTATCCTAATAGATCTAAAATAAGTTATCCATAGGTTAATAGGAAGATGAACCTCCTTGGCTTAAACATTTAAAATTATTCCCATCAACATCATCCATTTTGAATTTATTATATTAAGATAATTATATAATCAATCTCTCAATTTTAACAGTGCCATAGATACAAATAAATCAATCTAAATTCTTTGGTTTTCCATATTCCCATAATCCTTCTCTTCGAACTCCCTCAGCATTAATTATAATTCCCTCTCCATGCTATTTGCCATCCTGCCAACATCCCTCATATCTTTTTCCACTGGCCCAAGTGAATACTCCGTACCCATTCTTTTTATCATCTGCATATTCTCCCTTATAACTTTTTCCATCCTTCCATATACATTCTCCCTGACCTTTGAGATATTCGATAATTCAAAATACCATGCATTTTATTATTCAACCATTATCCCTTGTATTGTTTACCATCTTTCCAAGTGTAGCAACCTAATCCACAGATTTCGTTATTCTCAAAGTTTCCTTCATACTTAGAACCATCCTAAAATTGCATATGTCCTTGTCCATGCCTCTTCCCCTCTTTGTAAGTTCCCTTATATTCAGTACCATCAGGCCATGTTTCTTGTCCTTCTCCATCCTAAAGATCGTATTTCCATTAGCCTGCATATTTAACTCCTCTAAAATGATTGAAAACTCCGTGGCCATGAGCCATATCGTTCTTCCATTCTCCTTCGTAGGAATCCCCATTGACATGCACTAATTTTCCTATTCCCATTGCTTTATCCTATACAAAATCTCCTTCAAAATAACTGCCATCCTTCCAAGTGAACTTCCCTTTGCCATCTTTTTACTAATTCAGCCATTCTCCCTCATAACTAAGCTAGTTCATAAACTCTACATATTCCCTGATTTCATCGTTACAGGAGGCAATTGAATTCGACTTCCATTATTAGATTTTGCTACTTCTTCCCTAAACTCTGGAAGTGGTAGGTTATCATCTCAATTAGATTTTAAATTAAACCTTCTTAAATGTTTCGCCATTTTGAAAGCTATTGCTACTAATCGCATTTATCATCCTCCGGTTTTTCAGTTTTAGCTTGATATACCTCTGGATTATTAGATTCTTGCTCCTCGTTAATGATATCTGAGTGTTAATTGCATCTACAAGCATTCCCCATTATTCGATAATTTTTGCTATAAATTTTTTGTATTAATTACTAAATTTCTCTTATTTAACCTCTAATAAATTTGTGAAATGGATTACCAAAAATCTACAATATTTGATTCCAATAATAGTTTTAATATAGAAAGTCAATAAAAAAATCTTTAAGAATTCTAAATGATCTAAGTTGTCTCACATTGGCAATCCTCCCCTACGTTGTTTTAATTTTATTTAATTATTAGGAATTAATCCAAATTAAAATTTCTGTAAATTCTAGAATTGCAATTAAATTATAGATTTTTGACAATTGTTATTGAATCATTTAATTGATGAGTTTAAATTAAATTATTGAAGAAATAAATAATGATTATAAAGCTTCCTTGGACTTTATATATTTTATTATTCTTGAGAAAAGATGAGTATCTAAAATTTATACCATCTTATTTAAAATAAATTTGTACTTTATAAATTTTCTAGAAATTTTAGATTTATAACTTGAGTTAACCTGATAAGATATGTCATATGGGGAATGAGAGGGAGTATTTTGTGAAGGTATTAAGAGAAAATGAAAGGATTGCAGAATAGATTACGCTGATGTAATTGTTCTAAAATTTGTATAAAATTGAATTTATAATTAATTAAATGAAACAATCAGTTCAAAGATATTCTGTGAAAATACCTAAACATGATGTAATAGATAAGAAAGTATATTACACAATAAGTGTGTACAACTTGGAAGGAGGTTAACCTAAGGAGATGAAAAAAAGATATTCTGAATTGGAGTCCATGCATTAAAAAATATTAGAGTGGATCCAAATATTCAAAATTAAGATTCCCTTGATTCATTTTCCTAAAAAGAAGTTTTTGTTTCATACAAATTTAAGTGAAGAAAGCATCATCAAGAGAGTAAACTTTGATTGTATTTAAAGAGAGGAGAATTATAATAATATCTCAATGAAATACTTGCCTGCCCAGAATTACATTGTTTAGGAGTGGTGGAGGAGATGCTTCCCAAAGATCCCAAAATAGGAGGACATAAACAAAATGATCAGCCTATTGACAGGAGATGGCAAGAAATTCAATAACTCAAAGAATCCTATTTAGCAAAACATGGCGATTCAATATTTTCATTGCCCCAAAAGAAAATTGAGCTACAAAACAAGTATAAACTCCTAATATTTCTAGATAGTAATATATTTTTAAGTTTGAAGATCATATCATCTTCGATGACTCTGCCTTATATACAGTCTAAGTAACAGATACTATTACAAACAAAAGTTGGAAATTCACTCAGCGCTTCTAAGACCTAAGAGATTATCATAGGCAATTGAAAAGCATTCATCTTGATTTTCCATTGCCCAATTTCCCTGAGAAAAAATTAGTCAACATCTCCGATGCTACTGATTTGCGTGAGAGGAAATCTCAGTTACAAGACTATTTAAATCGCATTTTTGGGTACTACATCAATCATCATAAAAATAGCTATCAAACAATAGTCGAAAGTGACATTATGGTATTTTTCATTGCCAAAAGCTAGCTAGATGGCAATGAAATTGGCTGTCGATCTAAAGGAACTTCTTAAACCACTTTAGAAGTAATTATTATTTAATATACATGAAGAACTCTAGTATAAAATCGAAAAGCCAAACTACAATAGAATAATATGATGACGATCACAAACAACCTCGAAAAATTACATGTTGAATTATTTTTATATTACTAATATGAGTTTTTAATTAATTAATCATTTAAACTATTGCCAATCATAATTGGTTCAAATTTCAGGTTCTCAAAATGAAAATCTAACATTATTAGTTCATCTAGCAATTCAAATCTTATCTCAGACACTTCAAAATAGAACTTATCCAAATTTGATGAGATTGAGACCAATAACAAAATGATTTTGGTTTCATTTAATTGATATAAACATTATTAATAACTATGAAATTATCATATGCACTTTATAATCACTTATCCTCTTTAAAAGTGTTTGAAACAATCAAGCAAGCCAATAAAAATCCTATCCTTTTAACAGAATCATAGCAAAACTTGATTGAAAATGGAATTGCAGTAGGCAAGTTAGTTAAATCAATACATAATTTAAAATCAGAGATTTCATAAAGGTATTAAACATCCATATATCGAGAACTCTTACTCCAATCGCTCAATTAGATTAACTAAAACAATTAACCACGGCTTCAACCAAGTTATACAATTGGAACATAATCATAAGCGCAATAAACCAATTGCAAATACCTAATGACATAAACAACGATATTAAAAAACTGATATTGATGGGAGATGTTTAAGTGATTGAAGACACCCTAAATCAATTGTTTGACTTCTATCTAAAACTGCAATAAGCCAGACTGAGTAAATCGAAGACATCACCAAATCAGAGAAATAGAATTTTATCTGAATAATAACCATCAGGATAAGGTTATAACCATTTAAACCTTAGCCAATCACAAGAGTAAATTCAAATATCTGATTCAAATACTTTGGAATACTTTACATAGTTATTGTCAAAATGGTTAAATCTCTAATACAAACAGGTATTATCCCTATATGCAGAAAACTTTAAATTTTGGGCATAGATTGTCACAAAAGGAGTTCAAAGAGTTTATGAACCAATAATTTCTATTTATAAGGATGTCTTTTTATCTGTAGAACACCTATAAAACCTGATTGCCATGGAAAAGGATAAAGCATTGGCTTTCTCTTTAAATCTCTTAAAACCAGGGTTGGTATCTAAATCACCTGAAGTATGTATAGAAACAATAAAAACCCTTGGAAATTTTGCTATCTAAGCTTATAATAATAAGATTTCATATAAAGAGGATATATATAAGTGGTATGTTGAATCTTGTTTTTAAACAACACTTTTATCAATTAAAAGGCATCCTTAATTAGTAGATTCTTTGGTTGATTTAATGATCCTATTTTGTAAATTTCACTTAGTTGATCTTTTTACTACAATTCTGAAATAGCATAGTGCGAATAACATTGAAATGTTAATAAATGTTGAAAAGCTATTTAATTCGCTTACACCTGACTACATTTTAGAAATTTAATCTATGGGTATAATGTAACAATGGTTAGAATAAGGTTTGGATATTCTGGAGAATACTAATACATTAAAATCTGATGAAAAGATTTCTATTTTGAGACTAGTATATAGCATTTGGTTAAAAAATCAATATCAACAATATTAAGAAAGAGTGCATAATGCTTTTAAAGCAGCTACATCAGATCCTAGAGAATGTGTAGCTATATTTTCAATATAGTTTTTATTTTCTGCTTTAGAATACTTTGGAAAAAATAAAATCCCAGAGGCTCCAATCTTATATAAAATGTAAAAATCTATTTAAATGTAGAATTGCAATTTAGCTGGTTGAATTAACAAATGAAAATCTTGTTCATTTCATATTGTAGAATCTCTTGATAGTGTTCTAAACTATGCCTTCAATCCCATTATCTATAGTTCTTGATCCATTTATAGTTAATTTACAAGAGAAAACTTATCCAAGTTTGTTTGTTTTTAATTTCCTTGCAAATGTGGCTAATAATCCTAATTTAACTACTAAATCGTAAATATAAATGATGGATCTATTATCTAAAATAGCTATTTATGACACCTTGCATTATAGGATAGCATCTTAGATATTTCTCTAAATGGTTACTAATACTTAGAATACGCCAAGCACTCAAGAATTCGTATAAAAATTTGTAAAAATAAGTCTTGCTGTTTATTTTTCTGTTTATAAAAAGTCAGATAAAAAGAAACCAAATTAATAGATTGTGGACAAATAGAGAAAAGCTTAAATTATTGAAGTACTAAAAAGCTTAGCATAAATTCATAATGAAAGCATTAATTAAGTAATTAAAATGATGGCTGGTCATACCAATTTATAATTCAAAATGATATCTAAATAAAATAAAGGTCTTTAAGTACTTCTGTCTTTACTGGGTGATATCAATGAAATCATGCAATAAGTTGATTTGGAGTATTAGGAGGCCTAAACAAATAAATAAATCTATTCAGAATCCTCTGTTAAAGAGGTACAATAGGTTTAAGAGAATTTGAAGAAGTTCTCCAAAATTAAACTCACTAAGGAAGAACAATATCATCTGGCAAAATTGAGAATGCCTAAAGAAACAGACCCAAAAGTTATTAATGATATCTCAACCATAAAAAAGTAATATCAAGAGAAACAAATGGAAAAAGAAATATCAAAGTTTACTTAAGAAGAATAACTGAAATTGAAAAAAGAGAAATTGAGAAAGTAATTAGAGAAAAGATAAATTGAATAAGGAATTGCATCATTGAATCAAAAGGATGTAACTGTGAAGTTGTTATTTCCCGATGGCAGTAGACAAACTGAGTTAGCCAAAGAGAAGAAACATGGATTGATGACTTTTGATTTATTGGATTTAAATTTAGAAGAGGAAATTGAAAAATTAATGGTTGAATAGATTCTAAGAAAATATACTAAAGTGTTTAGGTATATTTTCACTAAATACGCTAATACTTGTTTGCAAGGAATGAAATAACCTAATTCCTTTGATTAGTATCAGTAGAGAACTGAAAGCATTAATATTGCAGAAATTAGTAAATTTATTCATGAATATGAAATTGCTATTCCGGTTGAAAATGTTCAAGCTCTAGCAAGGTAGGTAGGAACTCAAATTCTACATAACAAAACAGAATTTAAAGAATTTGATTAAATAGGGTTTAATTAGTTTGTAATTTAACTATCCATAGTTCTATCGAAGCATAAATTAGCAGATATACAACCTTATTAATGTTTAATTAAATTTATCAATCATCTAAGAAATGTGACTGCCTCTAAAGGATAGAGTACCGCCTTATTTGATGATCCAGAAACTTAATATTTTATGGAGAATGATGTACATATTAATGACAACTTTAGATTATTAAAGAATTCAATTAACGATTACTCATAGATCCAGATTATGAATTGCCCTAAGGATACAAGAAAGTTACAACTTTTGAGATCCAATTCTCATATGAAATCCCTTTGCTTGACGATAATGTTCATGTACCATATTAAATTCTTAATGATTTATTGAGAGATGCTTTGGGGTAAATTCAATTATCAAATATATAGAATCAATATTATTGAACCAATGTCCAAAAAGGTTATGGTATTCAAGGCAAAACCAGATGCTTTTGGATATATTTAATCTAAATTGTAATAAGAGCCTGTCGATGAGTAATTCAAAATAAAGCATAAAAAGACAAAGGAAGTGAATGTAAGTTTACAAAAGAAAAAGGTTCTTGAAATTGAACCAAAAAGAGAATTATCATTGAATATGAAATTGGCTGTCGCTAAATGCAATCTTAAGGACAAATTTATAGCTGAGAATGTTGCTAATCTGCTTGATGATATGATATTTGCAATAGAGCATAATAAATCATAGGCAACAAGATAGATTTAAATTATTAATAGAGTGTAAGAAGATAAAAAGTAATAATAATTGGAATAGGAATTGTGGGAATAGAAAAAAGAATAATTGAGAAAGTAAAGAGAAAAAGAAATAAAGGATAAATTGAGAGAGGAGAGAGAAAAATAGAAATAATTATAAGAATCATAAGAAAAAGAAAGATTGGAAAAAAACAAAACTGAAAATAATTTGAAGAAAGAGTAATTAGATAAACGGATGAGTTACCTAACAGAATAGAAACAAAAGGTACAAATAATTTTACTATGAATAGATAAAAGAAAAGAATGAGAGGGAAAAGGAGGAACAATTGAAGAGAATTTTAGAGGAAAAGGATAAAAAGGAAAAAGAAATTTAGATGAAGAAACATAATTTCTAAGAATTCAATTAAAAATAAATAACAAAATTAAAGGAAATTATATCATAAGGATAAAATAAGATATAATAATCTGAAAAAGATAAATAAGATCAATTGAAAAAATAAAAATTCCTCTTAGAATAAGCCAGATCAAAAATATTAACTCAGAATTAATCAAGAATATAAGAATAAAAGAATTTAGAAAAGGACATTGAGAATAATTTTAAATCCGCATCATATCAAAAAATAATAGAGAAATATCAATTCGGATTGAACTCTCTATTTTAATTCTTAATTAAAGAAACTTTTCTTCCAATTGGTTAACCATCTTCGAGAGAACAAATTACTTTTAAGACTTTTGCTTGGTTTACGGATAGATTTAATCTATGTCCTGAAATTGTATCTAAAGATGATGTTCTATAACTATTTAGATATTTAACTAGATCCAAGGAAGTTATTGATGGTATACCACCAGGGATGAACTACGATGAATTTTTACAGGCCTTGCATAGAATCTCAATTAAGGGAAGTGCTATATTTAACAAGGTTGCAGCAAACGTAAAATCATAAAAAGGAAAACTTGATATCAAAACTATTAAATAAATTGTGGAAGCAGAACAAATAGGGGATCAAGAACCACAAAGTCAATCACCAAAGGCAGAGTCCATTGTGATTGAAACTCCTTTAAGAAATAAATCAAAATCTAATTATCTTGAGTCATCTAAAGTTTTGAAAGAATATTAGTTATTTTTCCAATAATCAAATGAATAGACTTTTGAATCATTAATTTTGTACTTGGATGTTAGCAATGATAAAAATTAATTGGATTAAAGATTTAGAAAAACATTAGAGGAAAGAAAAGTTCCAACTAAATTGAGAAGAAAAAGTATTTATAATAATTATTTTAGTTTTGACTGACAAACTTGGAATTTAGAATTGATTTAATGATATTCTATATATTAAATGATAAATATATCTAAATCTAAACATAGGTTAAAATATTATCATAAATTTGATATATATTTTTATTTTGTTAATAATGTTATCAAAAAAGTAAAATTAGTATTAATAATTACTTAGATAAACAATTAAATTATTGAAATAAATTATATAATCTATTATCATTTAATTGTTTAAATACATATTATGATTATCATATTCAAATTTTCATTAATATTTTTGTTTATTTTATATATTTATGCAACCAATCTTATATTCATACAAAATAGCTGGCTATGGAAAATATTAATTGATAAATAAAGAATGATCTAATATCAAAGAATAAAAGGTATAATTCAACATTTGATGCCAAAAAAGTTTAATCAATTTTCTAATTATTATTGTATTTCTAAAGATTATTTTACTAGCTAATAGCAATGATTTACTTTAAATTTAATTAAATTCCATTTTAATTATAACAATAATATTTTATGACAATTGGGAGAAAAATATAAGTAAAAATAAGATAAAAAATAAATTTATTTTAAAATGTAAATCAATCTTATTAAATATTTGTTGCAAATAAAATAATGCAAATTCATGCAAATCTAGTATCTTTTAATGTTGCATAAATAATTCAGTAACTTTTTATAAGTTAGATATCAATACCATATTTTTTTATAATTAGATCTTTAAGAAATGAAAGTTTAGTTATTGATAAATCATAATCTAAAAATTATAAAATTTCTTAATTGCCAAATCAAACAGTTGAAGGAATCAACTGCTTATATTTACAGATGTTAGTAGTTGATGAGACTAAATTGATTGAAATGAATTATGAATAAAAAACGGATTTAAATTAATTATTAATTAAATTACCATGAAGTTGGTCATCTTGATTCTGATTCTTACAATATTTAGTTCCTAAGCTCAATCATCACTTAGAGGCAAAAACAAATTTGGTATGGTTGGCCATAATTAAGACTAGAGTAGAACGACGAATAAATATATATGAATAATGCATATCCCCCAGAACTATAAGAATATTCATTATTTGCGCAATTAACCAAGCCCTTATATGAAACTGCGCCGATGGATGTTATGCTGCTAAACCATGAGATGGAAATAGCTAGAATGATGGGCACCCAAGGAATAACCTTAAGGAATTACGTACTTGAAGAATCACCATTTAGTCCTGCTTGGTGATCAATGTTCACGGACTTCATTTGATATTTCCTATTCCATATAGAATCAATATCTTAAAACCATCATACATTCTAACTGCATTAAAGTCGGTTTACTTAAATTTATACTCTTATGCAAAGAATAAATGATTTGAGACACATCATCTATTTCTATTTCATTTATTGTCTCATTTTTCTATTATTTCATAACTCAAAGCAAATATAGATAAATGATCAATGAAATTAATGCCACTCAAAAAATTAAAAGTCAAGATAATACAAATTATGGCTGTATTTTAGGATACATTTGGTATTACAAATAAGAATAAGATTGAATTACTTCGATAGGAAAAAAGTAAGGGGTTTTGTAAATTTACTATCAAGATAGAATAGTAATTATAGCTGAATAATTGAGAATAGCAAACGAATTACCTCAACGTCATTCTAAAATAAAATCAAACTTAATCCATTTTTAAAAGTATTTATTTATTTTACAAATTTTACAATTAAAATTTAGTAATCTATCAAAAGCCATAAAGTGCATTTTAAATATGGAAACTAATTAGATATAAATACTGATTGTTAAATTAATATAACTAAGTATTAGAAATACAATTATAAAAATTAGAGCTATTAAGATTTGAATTCAATTTAATATTGAGAAGAATAGAGAATTATTAATATCATAATGAGTGAAACAAAAATAGATTAGTTAAAATTCAGTAAATCTTATCATTTAGGTAATAGATAGATAGATATTTGAATTTGTATAGATTTAAAAATATTGATGCTGTGAAGGGTTTGTTAATATTATATATATTATACCACAAAACCAAAATTTTCATTGATGTTGATTTTTAATTATTATTTAAATTGAATTATAATATAAGATAATAATTAGAGTGAATGAATAAAGGAAATGTCAAAAAGAGAACTTCTTCATTCAATAAATAACCTATTATCTACACTCATGATAGGTGTGATACTTAATAGAAGCAATTTTATTGTCCAAAATCAAAAAAAGATGTTAAACATCTGATAAGTGATGCGAAATAGAAATCATCTTATGAGAATACAATAGTAATAATGCCTTAAAATGCATCATTTAAAAACATGTTGACAGAATTGGCTCATAAATCTGCAAAGAAGTACGTTAAAAAATAAATGAAAAAAACACCAAGTACTTCCTTACATACTCCTGCTGATCCTACCATCAGAAAAACTGAATAGTAATCATACTTAATGAAGCAATAGTAATCAGTTATACACTAACAATCCTAATAAACTTCGTATAGATCTTTGTTGCAGCACAATAAGCAGAATTAATGGATTGATCTAATTAATCAAAAGAGTTCAAATTATATACAATCAGATCAAATATTATCAACTGAATACAAGTACAAATAAGTTAAATATTAGAACTTAATTGGACATAATGACAACAAGTAATTTAGATTGGAAATATCCATACACATGTTATAAAGAGTAGAGATGCCATGGCGAAGTGTCTCAAATGGAAAACCTAGAGTTTGATTGTTGGAAAGAGTTTTTAAAGAATAGATTAATATTACGCCAATCTAAATGAGTTTAGTTAGCAAATTTAGGTCAACTTATTCTGAATTATTTAAAGAATTTATATTCTGATATAGTGTTATTATAATACTTCTCAAATCCCCGATTTAAAATAAAATATTTAAATAATTAAATGTCTGACGACGAAAATCAATTCGAGCAAGGAAACGCTGGATCATCTCACACCTACACAGAAAGTGCAGGATCATTAAAGAAGGGAGGATACGTCATGCTCAAAGGACATCCTTGCAAGATTACCGATGTTTCAACATCCAAAGCCGGAAAGCATGGTCATGCTAAAGTAATTCTATCATTCACATGTTTAGGCATCCATTGTTGGAAAGGATATCTTCACAAACAAAACATATGAAGATTCAGCCCCAACATCTCACAATATTGATGTTCCATTTGTTACTAAAAAGGAATATACTTTAATGGATATTCAAGGTGATGGCTTTGTCATTCTTATGAACGAAGATGGATCAACAAAGGAAGATCTTAAATTACCTGAAACTGAAGATGATTTCAATTTGGTCAAAGAAATTAGAGATATGTTTGATGCTGGCAAGTATATATTCATATTAATATCCAGGGATTTGTTGATTTCAGTCCTTTCAGCTATGGGAGAAGAGAAGATTGTAGGTTCAAGAGAAGCTTAGGATAAGTGATTTACATTAAATACATTAGTAAAATATTTTATTGTAAATATATATTGTCACTCATTTACTACATCTTTAAAAAATGGATGTTTAAGAGCATCCTTAGCACTGATTCTCTTTTCAGGGTTGTATTGCAACATCGAACTAGAAATCATATTGATTTTCTTACTTCAATAAATCTAAATAATTATCTAAATCTTTAATTTAACTAAATTTTTATCTGAGATTTTATTTTTTATATCTCGAGAGTTCCTTAAATATTGATTGATTATCAAAAGGAACTTTGCTTGAAAAGTACTCCACATCTTTTTTACTAAAACTACCCATCACTTTCAATATTGCAAACAATTAATCTCCTTCACTTTTCCCCTTAAAAAGAGCTTCTTTTATTACCAACTCTCCCATTATACAACCTAATGCCCAAATATCAACAGAAACTCCATATTTAGTTAAGCATAGTATCAATTCAGGTGCACGATAATACCTAGAAACTATATATGGAGTGTTTTGACTTGTTGAAGTGATCAATTTTGAACTTCCAAAATCACACAATTTGATTTACTCTTTATTATTTATCAGGACATTCTCACTATTGATTTAAGTATTTAGTTTTACGGCTTTAGATCGCGATGAACTATTCCTTTTTGGTGAATGAATTATAATCCTTTTAAAATCTAATATATGTAACATTTTATTGTCAATTCAGAGAATGTCTTCCTTTATTTGATAAAAGCTTAAATTCTATTTTCAAGATTATCTTCCATATATTCAAATACGATATTTTGAATTAATTTCCCCGCCTCATTTCTTGAATAGAAGAAATCCTAAATTGGATGAATTTTATACAAGGATTTTAACTACATGTTCACATTCCTTAACTTCAAACAATATTTCATATTCCCTACTAAGTTGAGTTCCAACCTTTTCGATTCTCTTTAGAGCAACTTTTTACTTTCTATTATGATCATAGGCCTCAAAAACATAACCTAAATTTCTTGATAATACATACCAAAGCTCCCTGAGCCAGCAACTCTTATAATGTCAAATTATGGTAATTTTTAGTGAATCAAACTCATAATATTAATAATTCTATTTTATTATTACAAATTCTTGAATGCTAATATTAAATAAATTAGCCTTCATAATATATATATACACATATAAAAGAATATCATTTAAACTTATTTTCATACCATTTTCTAAGACTTTAGGATTATTATTTAGCAACATAATTAAAAGTGTATTTTTCAGATTTGTTATATTATATTGTGTTATTTAACTATTCAAGGCCTTTAATTACATTATGAATATTATTATACGGCATGTACTCTTAAAAGATTTTAATTTAATCTATGCTAATATGATGGAATTGAAACTTAGTCTCAAATTCTGATAGCTTATCCTTGTTTTACTCTTTGTATAAGGATTCTTCAACTTAAATGAGAAATTTAGAAGGAGTAGTTTTTTTTTTTTCAAAATTTTCTCTGGATGCAAGAATTGAAATATGCCTATCCGAAGGAATCACTTCCTTATCTGAATTAACAGTATTTTAAATTGAAATCATCTAATGAGGTTTCTTAATTGATTTTTTCCGATAATTAATGCGACTGCTGTAATCAGGAGACTTATATCTTGATTATTCATCATCTGAATTGTTATTAAAATCTGATTAAAATTTATTGAGGGAATCTTGAATGGTCGCTAGCATTCTTCTAGTGTTTATTTTATCCCCCTTTCTGCGATAACTCGTTCTCTTTTATGGATTCTTATTGATATTTTCCTTCTTTATCAGTGCTTCTAGATCAGGTTGATAAGTGAGCAATGGACAATTGATATTGAGATGCGAGCTTCTATTACAATGATTACAATTGAGCAAAATGGAGTTATAATTTGAATACAAAAGAATTTTATCTTTGATATGATTGAATCTTTCCATATCCTTTTTTTCATCCTTTATCAATTTCAAAAAGTTGGATCTATGAATCTAAACTACCTCACTTTGAGTTCTACTTAAAGCACATGTTTTTGTTGGAAACCCTGTAAAAAACTAATATTCCCCAAAAGTCTGTCCTTTCGTTACTGATTATATAACTTATTGGCTTTGTTCTTCACAAATATCAACAATTCCTTCTTTTACAAAATATCTCTAAATAATTATATATATTACAAGGATTAATCATCAATTTCATATTAATGATAAATATATTCCTCTGGTGAAAACAACAATCGGTTCATTTTTTAGGTCAATGCCTGTTGAGTTATCTTAGAGAATTGATCTGAGAATATTTTAATAGATTTCATAACTTATTCTGAGATATTTTGGTTCAACTCAAATCTTAAGCCTTTAGGTAATTCAGAAATAGTTTTATTAATAAATTCAATCTATTCGTAATTAATGTTAGTCATTTTTTGTTTTAAGTAATTACGTATTCTAAATTGTAATGAGAGATCTACTTAATTATGGTTCATATAATTATTTAATTGCAATATTGCCCGTCTAAATTTGGTATAGATTTAAATACTTACTTTTAATTCTTATTTTGTTCATAGAGATTCCTCAAAATAATTCCTATTGAATTCATTGAATAAGCGAATAAAAAACTTGAAAGCAGCATCATTAAATTAACAAATAACATTTCTACTTAGTTCTCAGGAGTGATGTCTCCATACCCTACAGTCGTAAGGGTCATTGTTGCCCAATAGAATGATGTATTATATCTGATCCATACTGATTCATGTCTAATTTATCTTTAAATTAACCAAGTCAATTGATTCGCTTCACTAATTACACCTACGTAATGAAAGAGACAAGCCATAAAATGAGCGAAATAATATATGGATAAAATTAGAGTCAATAGATCAGCAGCATTACTTAGAGTATGTTTTAAATAAATGTTCTCCATTTTTGTGTTTGTTCTCTTTAATTTAATGAGTACTATAATGTTTTACATTATCAACAGTATTTATTTGGATGAGTTGAATTCATTAAGAATGTTTGGATAAATACCAATCCATAGTATCAAAGAGACTGCTTCAAAAATGGCTTGATGATTGATGTATTACTACAGTATATGTTTTCGATCCACTATCACTTCCCCTTAATCTATATAGGCTCTATTTATGGCCAAAATATTATCAATTATCAAATGAGTTATTAATCCTATTATTATTTTTGGAAATGAGTATTCATCAAAAGAAAAGCTTAGAAGAAAGGGGCAAATCCATAAAGCCAACAAGCTTGCTAGCAATGTGAGTAAGTCCCAAAAATACAAAAAAGGACTTTACGGCAATAGAATTGCTGATTATAATTTAGTTTAGTCATATTCTATCTTGATACATCAAATAAATACTCTGTAAGAATCGAAATATCTGAGGTTGAATATACTTTTCTGAGGATAAAATTTTGTCTTTCAAAGCATTTGGAAGGATATATGAGTTCAAAAGCAAATTTTATTTGAATTTTTATATAAGTCTATTTTTTCTTACTAGTCTGGAGAATTGCACATTTTCATCTATTTTATGGTTTATCTTTTACTCTAACTTAGGTTAATTATTCTAGACTGGATTGATTATTCTTGTTAATCTTTATAACCTCCGTCTGCTTACTAAATAACGATTAGGTTGATTATTAGGACTTTCTATCGATCTCAAAGATTCTTATGATTCCAAATGCTGTTTCTAGTATTAAGTTAAATCAGGGATTTGTGTAATTTAAGGGCCAAAGATTGGTTATTCTAAGTTAGCCTAATCCTTGATCATTATATAATTAATGTTATATATTTATTATTTAAAATGGTTGTATAAAATATTAACTCAACCAATTCACATCATTCATAAACGACTTAATTTAGTTCCTATTTCATAATTCTTCCAAAATATGTATATTTATAATAATATATTTAATAATTCCATTCAACTTTAACAATTTTAAAATGGGCTGCTCTTTAAGAAAGTCTAAACCAAAACAAAGAGATGATATAGATTAAATAGAACAATTGATATAATCAGATTGTCTAGGCATGGAATAAAATTACGCACTTATCAAGAATCCAATTGTAATGAGAAGGAATTGCAGTAAAGAGAAGCAGAAATTATCAGATTCCAAACCTATATGATTATTTATTTTATATACTTATCTTTCTGATTATTATAATACTATTGCAACTCATTCAAAATGAATGGCTCTGATGTCTAAATTCAAGTCATCTTTTCTGAGAATCTTCGACAACATATTCTTACTTTTAAAACATTTTCCTTCACTCTTGTATATTGATTCAAATATTGAATTATCCTAACTGGACTTTCTATACTTATTTTACTAATCAACATTTTTTAATTTAAAATGCTTATCTAATTTTGATCCTATCTGAACGCTTGTAGTTAATTCTATAAAGCCTTGAAAGATATAACGTTTAAATAACTAGATTGAATATAGAATGAAGTCAGAAATCTATATCAATAAATTTAAGTTGACTTTTACTGATGTTATACTATCTTCTGAAATAAATTTCTTTTACTAATATCAATATTAAAAATCATTAATATATTTCTTAATCATTAAACAATTATTTTCTGTTGAATAAGGGTATGCTTAATAATATGTATTATAATTAAAATAATAAGTAGAAAAGTAATAAGACTCAAATTTAACATAGGATGTCTTATGTATATTTATTCAGTTCTGCAGGCTGGCTATAAATTTTAAGATATAATATTCATAAATGGGGAGCAACTTTTACTTATTCATCTATAATTTCTATTGAAAAAAAACTTGCACCATTAGGAAATTATTTAGATTTATGATGATCTTGATCCAAAATGGTATAAAGCTAAGTTGCCATTTTTATAGGAGAATATAGATCAAAACATCCCTCTTGGATTCTAAATTATTATTTTATAAATTAACTAAGCAGACTTATGTAGATCTAATTGAGTCATATAATGAAAAACCATAAATAATGACAATCATAATTGAGTAAGCGCAATTCTTATTCAAAATATATTTTAATAGATTTATTAATTTGTCACTTATTTTTTTCAGATGTAATAATTAATCATTAAATTTTGTTAAAAGACATAGCTAAAATATCATAGTATTTATAACAAAAACATAGAGTTTTAATTTTTAAATTAAGAATTTTGGAAGATCAATAATGTGATTAGCAAGATTTCAATAATAAGTATAGGAATTAAATAACTTGAGACAATTCTGTTAGGTTTTTTATTCTAAAAAATGAATACAATTATTTTTTAAATTATTGATTTAATATAATAATAAGTCTATGTCAAAATGGAGAATAGTTAATATGATGAAAAATGTTATTTTTGCAAAACAAAAATATGAGAAATTAGTATTAACTACTTTAGAGAACATACTAGAGTATAATGAGTTCATAGTATTTATGCAAATATAATCTTTTATAAAATTTATAGTATATTAAATAATACGAAATTAAAGTATCAATCAATTAAATATAATATTTAATTGATCTGAACCAATATTTAATTCAAAAAGCCCATTCTGCTTTTGTTCTTCTTCTGAGTTTCTTGTTTTCTTTTAATGAAGCTATGCTGATAGAAATCAGTAAGCTTAATTAAATCATATATGTAATATCCTATCAATGATTTGTAGAGCAGCAAGAAATCTGAATGCTAAGGGTTCCATAGATCGCACTATCCCCAAGGATACTGTCTGCCTTAAATCTTCTTGCCTTAATCATTGTAATATTCATAAGTAGAAGCAATAATCATGAAGGGAGAACACTATCCAAATTCTCCTTGCTTGAGTTATTGTTTAAATTATTCATCATTAATTTTGAGACAATCATAGATATCAATTTTGAATTCTTTAAAGGTCTTATTGTATCTTAGTTTTAATTCAAGAACTTCTGATTTTGTATATTAATCTCCTCTGGCCAGGATTGGAATAACATTTACTAAGTTGGATAACTTTTGTAAATATAGAATATCCTCATTAAAGTATGCAGGTCCACTGAGAAAGTAAAGACATAAGTGAATCTATGGAATAATTAAAAAGTGCTTACTCGTTCGTCATTTACTAGCTTAGACATCTGAGAATAGAGGGTTTTATTTAGGTAGGCATACTTGTTCCTTCGAATTTAGGTTTTAAACTAGGATATGGGATATTGGATACCTTCTAATCGATAAAATGTCTGAGTTCCTTAAACCATTCTTTTTAGTCATTTTTTTAAAAACCTTTTGTGTCGAAGATATTTAAATAAACAATTTGGTTTTCGTATTCAATCACTCCCATAGATTCTTGGACTTAATTAGTTTAGGAAGAGTTTCCCTGATATTGTCTCGCTATAGGTTTCTATATAATGAATATTTTTGGAATTTACTTTATTTAGTAAAGCATCAACGAAAGTGGTTTTTCCACTTCCGGACTGCCCTGCAATTAATAGGTTTAATGTGACTTAACTCTTTTACGACCCACACGCAAGAGATAATTGGTTTTTGTCAATGTGTGATTAAGTATATGAGCTTAAAAGTAATGGATCTGAAAACTCTTTACTTTCAATTTTTGCACTTGGAATCCTTATTTCTTCTTATGAAGAGATAGGAAAAATGGATTTCCTTCAAGATTATTTCAAAAGTTACGTAGTATGACTGTTATCAAAGTCAATTTTTTTACAATGGCTTTGGGTAAATAAGAAACGTTATTACATCCATTTACATTAGAGATTTTCATCCTTTGTAATAGACTATTAGGGAATAGGTGATGGACTTGAGAATAGATCAATCATTTTTATTGTGTTTTATTTTATTTTCAAAATAACAATCACATTACAAAAATAACATAAATGGTTGAAAAATTGATGATAATAAATTCGGTTTTTTTCAAGATAATACATACTAAAAATAGTGATAACCAAGAATAAATAGAAATGGAGCTTGTAAAATAATAGAAAACAAAATAATCCAGATATTATATATCAAGAATAATAAGTAAATAAATGAATAATTAATATTTATTATTAATGTTGTAATTGATAAGAAAATTAAGAAAATTAGAAATTAAAATTTAAATTAAATTTCTAATTGCATAATTAATCAATAATTTTTACTTCGTTTCTTTGTGGGTTATGATTTATCAATAGATTGTTTCCTACCTCTGGTCTTTTATTTATCATTATTTTCTGTTGTTTTTACATCAACCTCAGAATCAATTCTCTCAACTTTCTTTTTCTTCATTTTATCAGTTCCATGCAGCATTGAATTTAACTTGTGCTATCCTCTGTATTTCAATTACGCTGGCTTAAGTTCCTGTTGAATTGAACACTTTGTTTTTCCAGTATAAGAACAACAGAACTCTTGGTTGCAATTTGTTGGTTATGCTTACAATAAGAAATAAAAGCAATGATATCTGTATTTCATGGAAATATGTAGACCTTTATGATTGGACTTATCCAGAACACAATCTAAACATAAATATTGCTCATTGTCATGGTAAAAATATAAAAATATCTCATGTTCGCATTTAGAACACAATTAAACCTATTTACAACACTCAACCAATGAAAATGATGGTGGGTCTATCAAATTTAACTTTCTATTTTCTTAATCAAAATAATTTTGAAGTTCTAATTAAATTCTCTCGATTGCCATCTATGATAAAGACTTTTCGTGGATATATAAATCTAACATCAAATTCTTATATGGAATTACAGTTCTGTAATTAATTTCTTTATTTAAAGTGTGTCTTTCACTCATGGCTTCAAGAGTCACATCATCTAAAGCAACCTAATTCCATGCTGTATTGATAGTTTATCCAAAAGACTTGACCCAATGTAAACACCCAGCACCTAAGATTACAATATCCCCTTTCTTTTACAATGTGTATCTAAAAGGTATTGCATTTTTCAAAAAGAATTCAGGTTCCTTAAACCACAAACCTTCATTTTTAAATATGTCTGTGTCATAAAGTTCTAAGACTTTTTATCTTAATTTTTACACATGCTCATTATCGACTGTGATCCAAACACAATCTGCAGGACCATGATTGATATTGATAGCATTAACACTAAGGTTTTCTTAATGACCCCCTGTCCATACTCCATCTGTTTTAATATAAATTTAAGGTATATTTACACCATCTATTTCCTATCTTAAGTAGCTTAATCCATCATTATCACCTTGAGGTCTCAAACACTTTGGTAAGAACTGTTTTAAATGGTTTATTTCCTTATCCCATCCTTGCATGTTAACGTTTACAGCAAATAATCTTTGTTCTGCTGAAAGTCTTTCCTTTTTGATAATTTTTGATGGATCATCAAGGTAATCCACATAATCCATAATTTTCATTCCTTCCAACTGTTAATTTATTTTGCAAGGTTAAAATGAATCATATCCAGGCTATTATACTCTGATATCAATGGATTAGTTGCCATGATTCTATTTGAGAGCTTCAAAATTAAAAAACACATTTATCATTTATAATGCTTTTGGATCTATTGTGAGAATACTTATTTGATGTTTTAACCAAGATAACGACTTCTGTTCATATATTTTTAGCATTTCATTATAATTATAATAATATGGTTTTCCTATGCAAGAACCATCAACCATTGATTTGTATTCATATGCAATTACTTTGCTTTGATAGAAACTTACCCAATCGTCCTCTTTCAAATACTCAGGCAACTCCCTTTGACAAAATACCTCAATGTAAACTTATATAAAATACTTTAACGAACCCTCCATCCTTCATAACTTGATCATAGACTTATTGCCCATTAGCATTGAGTAAGTTTCGCTCTTGCAAAGAAAGCGGCAAATTATCCAATAAATATTTTTGCATTCTAAAATTTATCCTACTAAAATTATTAAATTTAATAATTAATCTCAACTTCTGAGAACCAATAAATTACAGATTAATCTCTTCCTTCTAATAATTAACTCATCTTATCTGGTGAGTTTAAAAATAATTAACATGATTTTTTTTCTAAAATTTTATATTACTATATGATTTATTTGAATTATTATATCAACTTTGAAGAACTGCAAACAAACATAAATGCTTTCTTTTACAATCATTAATTCAAACTTAAATAAAATTTTCATTTATTCCTCAGTATTAAGGAACTTATTGTAAATATTAGAAAATTCCAATTGAATAAACAAGTTTATGGATAACCTTAATATACAGATTACAAATTGTATATTACCATTACATATCCTGAGAACGTTAAATAATTAAATATGCCGCATCATTTTAATCACAATTGAATAGATCATGACAATGCAATATTCTGAAAATAGATTGTTCTAATGTTATAATTCTTAAATCTTAAATAAATATATTAAATTAATTTTTTTGTTTAATTTTTTTTAATATAGAGTATGCAGTGAAGTAATAATTAATAATTTCTATTTTTAGATATAAAAGTTAACTTATTATTCACGCCTAACTTAAATGATTTAAAATTCGCTGATTCTAATTGCCTTGATTTTTGATCTATAGGATGACTTCATTTACATAATTTAATCTTTATCAAGATGATGGGAGCCTTGGTAAATAAATAAAAAGTGTTGAAATCCTATCACTAATTCTGAAATTTAGTTTTATTATAAATTACAATTGAATTAAATCTTAATTCTATTTGTAATCAATTTCATAATGAAAGTTTAATTTTTAATCATACATTATAATTTATTGTTTATAGCAAATACAATTTTTAAGTAATGAAAATTGGATAATACGAATTATATACATAAAGACAATATACATAAATACTATTCACAATGTAGAAGTCATGCTTGATAATCTGAATTTAATCTAAATCTAACTTTCTTGATACCGCCCAATAATTTAAAAGTATAATCTGATATTTCTTCAAATTAATGTTTTACTGGTGAAAGACTCTTGGTTTGATTATCAGCAGATTCTTTTTCTTTTTTCTCATAAAAAGCTTCCATTGAGTTCAGTGACCTGACATATGCTTCTTTACTAATCAATGTGCTAGTGTGCAATAAGGTTTTGGTCCATTCTTTAGTGGTTGCCAAAGAACCAACCTAACTCAGCTCTTTCCGAGCGATATGAGATTGGTTTTTTAATTTGACATCATCTTTGCTTTTTGGAGTCCAAATAAGAAGTTCCTCATATTTAATACACAAAGCATCGTTTTCTTCCTGATCCTCGATTATATTACTAATTGAAGAATCCATTTATTGATATGTATGAATTCTGTTTTTTTAAGTGAAAATTATTATTAAAGTGGAGAGAAAACTTAAAATCTATTAATAATTTCAAAGAGTTACTTCACCAATTAGACGGGGTGCTCTCCTTGAGGCAATGTCGAGATAAGGACATAGGATTTTATTATTAAAACTCAATTTGGTTCTTTGTGAGTTGAATTGTGCGATATTGCGTAATCATTGCTGAATGATATGAATCAAGGTGGAAATTAAAATAATTATAATGAATTATGCGCATTGCATATGATTTTACTAGTTCTATATTTATTTTTCTACATATACCATAATAAAATATTTAAAGCATTAATATCTATGAAAAATTTATACATTGTCGCATTGTTGAGTATTTCACTTCTTTCATTATAATTGTACAATTCTGAACAATAGACAGATGAATACTCCAAATGGAAATAACACCATCAAAAATTATACTAAGGAGTTGAGGACACCTACAGAAAATAAATATTCCACCAGAATTTATAAATTGTCAATGACCACAATGCCAGATATAATCAAGGATTAGAAAACTTCGAAATTGAAGCCAACTAATTTGCTGACTTAACTTTTGATGAATTCTCATCTCTTTATTTATATTCGTCATATCCAGATTAGGAATATATAAACAACTCATTTGAGAAAACAACCAAGAAATAGAAAAAAACAATTAAGGCCGATTTACCCGATCATTATGATTGGTCAACAACTATATAGGGTTATTCTTAACCATACGATCAATAGAAATGTCTAGGATCTTGGGCCTTTGCTGTGGCTGGCTCTATTGAAGGCGCCAGGTATCTTGGAGGGTATGAATAAATCTCACCTCAATATTTGATAAATTGTGTTTATTAAGTTAACCCTTGTTTAGAAGGAGGAGTAAAAAGTACTTGGGATTGGGTCACTAATAATGAAAATTATATAGATTTATATACATCTGTTCCTTATACTGGAACAAAAGCAGCTTGTGTAGAATCTAAGGACAATATCTAGTTGTTAAATGGTTATGAGATGATCAATCAAGATTCATTTGTTGAAGACTCAGATTATTATTAAGCATTATCAGAAAATATAGTTGTGTAAATTATATCATTATCATAAGCTCACCAGTTTCAGTTTCAAGCATTTATTTCTAATTATATAAGCAAGGTGTTTATGACAAACCTTGCGGAGACAGTTTGAATTATGATGCCTTAGTTGTAGGATATGATGCCAGAACAGATTAAGGCTACCCAGCATATTATAAATTAAAGATGTCTTGGAGTTCTGCTTTTGGAGAATAAGGATATATTAAAATCGCCATGGCAAACAAATGTATCTATGCTAAATAATCATTTGCAAACAGAGTTTGAGATTATACATCAATAGCAATTTCCATAATTCATAAATACATATATTAATGAAAATAAGAAATTCTAATTCTCATAAATTTTTAATTATATATTATATGTGCTTCAGAAGAAATTATGAATTAATTATCTTACAAACTAAAAACTAAAAATAATCCTTTTTTTCAAATTCCTCATATAATTTAGCAACTTTATTTATTAAAGTAACATATTTTAATTATTAAAATTTCTTATTAAAATGGTGAAATCAATTTTTTCAAATATACAATTTTGTAATACAAATAGCCCTTTTTGTGAAAAATTTTGATTTGATTTAGTGGTATAATGAATATAAAATATAAATTGAAATCAAAAATACTACTATTTAATTTAATTAACTCGAAGGAGAATTAAGGATTGTTGGTGATAGTAATCTTTTGAGAAAACATGATACTCATATTTTGCTTGTATGTATCTCTTAAATATTCCATAATAATCTAAAAGTTATTCTTGTAAACTTAATGTTGAAATCAGGAATTATAAGTTCATTCATTCATTTTATCTTATATTAAAATTGAATTATCTTTATTTGATTTATTGTAAACAAAATCGATGACCCATGATATTATGATTTATCAATCACTCAGAATGTGAGTGTAAATTGCACAATGTAATATTAATAAATATTGTCTAATTTTTTATTCATATTTATATTGTCATCATAATCTCAATTATATTCATGATTTGTACATTAATAAGGTCTTTTCGATTAGCTAATAGATTCTTTAGCCAAAGTCAGAGGATCTTATTGCTGTGATCAGATATTAATCTTATCTCAAAATGTCTATCAAAGGTTATAAAATATTATGATTTGACATAATGACCATTTTCTTCATAACATAATTTCCAAATGGATTGATAGATAAGTTCACAAAAATGATTCTAATAAATAAATATTTTATGATACTATCCATTGATTTGGGATTTAGAAATAAGTATAGAGATGACCTGCTATTTGACTTCATTGGTAGAGACTTCCACAACCTTTTCGACTGTATTACTGGCATATTTGTTAAGACACAATTTCTCAAAGTTTGTAAGTACAAAGTTGACAACAAATGGTTGATAATGTGAACTCTTGAGGGCAAATTGTAAGATGTGATTTCCGAACTCTTGTTAACAGAGATTGAATTGGTGTTACAAACAAGTGGTCATGATCTTATCGGTTTGAATGGGAGAAAACAATTCAAGAGCTTTCAACAATATCTTACATCCATACTAAGATGAACATAAGTATAAGGTTGAGTCTTCAATTGGCTATAAGAAAAACTCGATCTTTTCCTACTACAAGACTTCCAAGCATTTGAGAATCACGTAGTTGCCACTTGAATCATAGAGCAATGATTTCACTTAGAGTCTGATTGAGTCAATGAATTAATTTTGTAAACTCTCGTTGACGGAAATGATTTCAATGATCTTTTAAATAACTCGACATCCAAAATTATTCTTCGACAATTCATAAGCATGAGGTCTTATCTTGTTGAACAATCTCTATTATTGATGTTGAGTTCCTTAATGATGATAGACTATTAATTAATACCTTTCTCGAAAATCTTTTACATCAGGTAATTCCCAAAAACGTCTTTGGAAAATTAAACACAAGATCTTTCTACTTTGTTAAAAATCAATTCTCTTTGATCTGGCTTGCCATGCTCAAATATCTTTTGCACTTTCCTTGACAACACTTAATTGCCACACATATTGTCCTGATTAAATAGTCACAAAATCTTACTAAATCATTTGTCAGTTGAATATCATCATTTATTTCAATTAAAGGCTGTCTTTCCTATTAATATCCAGTAAAACCTAATCCATTTGGTGACTATTAATAATTAAATCCAGGCTAATAAATTCCATGTGGTCTCATTACTCCTGGAGAATATGGGACTTGATAATCAACCAATCGAATTTGTTGTTTATTGTAGTATCCGATGTGCTCATTTCCAACTTTTCTGTAATTGATTGAATTTTCTTATGTTGAAAAAGATGGCCCGTCAAAACTAATCGACACACTTTATCTATCCTCTTATCTTGAGAATTTGAGATGATTCGGTGGACACTGAGGATAAAGAACTCGATTCGACATCGGACTTTAGGCCAGATCAGATCCCAAAGACATCTGCTCGAATGATCGATTGAAACTATCGAAATAATGTTTTTCAGATGTAGAAACCTATAAAAATTTGATTCAAACATTACATTCTCAATCACACTATCACTTTCAAAGCCTTACTTCCGTAAAGGACTATTATTATTAGAAAAAACTTCTTCGTAATCGTCATCTAAGGTAACTAAAATATTACTTCTTAGAATAGATCCTAACAAATCATCCTCTGCTTCATATTCTTTAGCTGACATATTTAAATGTTTGATATAAATATTACTTAAATTTTATGAAAATCAAGAAAAATATAAATACGGAATATTTAGTTATTATATTTCCTTCCTTTTTAATACACCTATTAATCATTCGACTCTCCTTGACTCAGCCCTGTATCCAAAGTATATTTGCCACATCCCAATTCCCCAATTCAATCTTTATCAAATCCAAAAACTACTTTGAATCAACTTCATTTTAAGTGGGAAGTAAATATTAATATTTATGTTATTCTATTGAAAATTTATTTAGCTTTTGCGTCTCTCTTCATAGGGTACACCAAGGGATTCCATAAGTTTTGAATTGGAATGGCTTTTAAGGAAAGGGATGACCTCGCAGAGACATTTAAAGGTTGTTTATATAAACTAATTTTGGAATATAAAAAATTAATTGTTTTTAATATGTAACCATATTTCTTCCAGGGTGAACAATAGTTTGCATTCCAACTAGAATCGGATATCCAAAGTAAATATTATACAAGATTTCTTCAAGAATATATGCCATATTAGAATTACAATGAATTTGCTTATCTGCCCTAGTTCTCTTATCCTGCCCCATTCCCTGGATACTCGGTTGATTGTTTTCCTGAAAATGAAGTCATACATCAACAGAAATACAAAAAAAGCAAGAAGATCAAGTAAACATTAAACCACTATGCCAAGGAATACTGATTCCATAGGATTACTTCCAAAAACTCTCGAGTTTGCAAAGCATGCGATCGAAGAGCCTGCTCAATCTCAAGCACAGAGAGATCAAATGTACCTAATCCATTTATTTATCCATAGACCCAAATAAATCACTCCTTATTCGATGTTTCATTGCATTTAAGGAGCTCCTATGCCCAAATTATAATCAGACATCATTTCAAATCAGGAAGCTCAAGGATCTCAAGAAGGATCCCAACAAACACAAAAATAAAAAGGCTAGCATCAATCAACCAAGAAACCAAAAAAAGAACACATTAACACTGGACATTGGTCCACAGAAGAGCATACAACTTACATAGGCTTTCTTTAATAGTATGAAAGTATTATGACTTCTTCTATGATGAAAAAAACCTCCAAAATATTCAAATAAATGAGCGAACTTATTGGCACAAGAACTCCCAGTCAATGCAGAAGCCACCATTAAAAATTTAATCCTTATGCTTTGAGGGGGGAAAATGGGAAACGCTTGCCTCGCACCGAAAGAAGCAGAGCTGGGAGAAAAAAGAAGAATCCTTCAAGTGATATTCCCAAGGCAGGTTAGAATTTCTATTAATATCATAGAAGAAGTCAATCTTCAATAACACCATTTTGATTAAGAATAATTAATGATGATGTATGATAAGCACTTACTTCATCAAATGCCTTATGAACAATGGAACCCATATTACGATATGCACTAAAATATCAAAAAAGAGGAGGACTAAGACTAAGAACAATAACATAGTTAATAAATTCAACTAAATAACTAATAAGAATATGAAGAATTCGCTAGACTCAATTATCAAAAGCAAATGGATTTCATAGAAGGCCATAATTCAATTGTCAATGAATATTGAAAGAACTATGATTAATAAAATTGTATAATATATATTTATTAAAATTATTGATAATTCAAATTCAACTTTTATAATGCTATATTTTATTTTTATATGAAGGGAACATTTTAAAAAGTAAAAATTAAATTATAGAATCTATCTCCTTGGAACTTAGTTTAAAAACGATTAAATATGATGTAAGATCTATTTAAATTATAAATATAAATTTAGAAATTCTTAATTCTGTTCTTAAGATATTTAGCTTTCTTAATTTTTTAGTAAATAAATGACAATAAAGTTGAATTTTATTAGGAAAATATCAAAATTTACTTGTATCGAAAATATAAATAATCTATATATATAAATTGGTGATTGTATTCAATTACTTATACAAGTAGATTTTTCTAGTGTATATAAGTTGCCATCCATTTAGTCAGCAACTTGTTCCTCTGTTTAATCCAGTTCGGATCTTTAGGTTTCACTTTAAAGATCTAATTCAATATATTGAACATTTTCTGTGAAAATAACTCCATCAAGACTCCTTTTAATCCATGGTGCTTCTGGCTTATTTTCCACATCAATAGACTATGCTCATACATATCAAATATTTAAATTACTTAGATGGATTATAGTAACTACTGATCAAATCCGGGTTTCATACAAGGAGAAGGTAACTTAGGTAAACAAAAAGACAGTCTAGTTTCTGCATTTCCCACTTTAAATTTAGGGAAGACCTCACATAATCTACTAGTCTCTGGAAAAACAAAAACACTCTAAATTTATTGGCCATCAACAGCATCTCTAAGTTGCATTATTCCTTAAGCAAGTGTCTAAGGTAATAATCTACCCAATTCTTCAAGCAATAATTTTCCTTCAGGTTTTAGATTATTCTATCCATAATAAGGATTATTACTAAAATAGTGGCCACAGCAACATTGTATTAATATTCATGCATATTATAAGTATGATCTTAGAATCTGATATCATCCATTTCGACAGTCAATCTATCAGACCCCTCAGAAGAATCTGATTGAACATTTGAAGCAACCCCTTCTCTTTATTGTTGCTTCATTAATTCAAAAGAATTATTCCAGTTATTAATTGCTTTGATATAATTACCCTAATAAAATTTCATAACTCCTCTGTAAAACAATAAATCGGATTTCATGAATAAATAGCCTTCAACTTCTGAACTTATGATTTACTTTAATCTTCTCGAAGCCAATCTGTAACTTATGGATCTCTTAATAGATTTATTCATTGGATTAGAAATTAATATTAATTCCCTTGTATTTTATTCTATTGCAATTTTTAATGCACTCAAACATTCCTTGTCAATGAACCATCTTTAATCACTCGTAAGATCGTAAACTCTGCTTAAATCTATTAGAGCATTATTAAGATCTTTCTCAATAATGAAACACATAGCTCGATAACTCAATAACTAAACATCATTTTATAGGTCAGGAGAATGAGAATATGTTTTTATGGCAGTACCATGAGCACCAAGATGAAATAGTAAATTACCTGCCCATAAGTAAATTTATGGATCCGTTGGATTTGTTGAAATGTAAGTTTGCAAATCTTCATAAGCCTCAGTTCTATTTCCTAGTTATGTATTTACTTTTGCTCTATTCAAATACACTTCAGCGTATTTTGGGTCCCAATTTATCGCCACTGTAAAATCGATTAATGCTTGTTATGGATTATCTAAACATGCTTGAACCAGACCTCTTGCATATAATATTTTTGGATTTCGTTACTCATTCTTTTCAATGGCAATTGTTAAATCTTAAAGAGCTAATTCCAATTAACCAAAATAGAATCTTATTATTCCTCTATGATATAATAAGTTTGAACTGTTATCATTTAATGTTACAGCTTTATCAAGATATTTTAATGCATTTTTTATTAACTTATCTTTTCCATTCATCTAAAGCTTGCTTACAAATTGAATTAAAGTTAAAGCTTTATAAAAATGTGGTTCCATTTTACCTGGAATTAACTAAGAAGCCTTCTAAAACAAAGATTAGGCTTTATCAAAATAATTTTATTAGGTCAAAGCGATTCCCTCACAAATCACCTTGTTGTAAAATTATGGTGGATCTAAAGGATAAAAATTTGATATATAGTTAAAATCTTTCAGAGCGTTTTGATATTTGTTTACTTAAATGAACCCTATATATATAATAAATTATAATACCATAAGCTCTATAGACAAAAATATGTTTCTTGATGAACTCACCCAATTATTATTTATTGATCAATTCAGTGAAGATTATAATGGCATCCTTGTACTTACGTTTCATTAGAAATATTACTCCCTCTGTAAACTGTTTAAGATCAATAATCGATGCCTTTTCCACATCTAAATGATCTACTCTCTATAAAGTATAATAAGCAGAATAGAAATCTTTTTAATCAATTTTAATTTTAGCTATTTCTATTAGAGATTTAGTGACAGCTTTTTTACTATTGTTCTCAGTTATTGATTATTCAAAACTTAAAATAGCTTCATTAAATTCCCCTTTCTTCATAAATATTTAGCCCTTTAAATAGAGTGCCTACGAGTTACTAGAATCATAAATTAAAATCCTATTGATTATTTCTAAAGCCTTATCAAATTATTCTAATTCTTAATAACATATCACCTTTCTAATCAGCACTTGATGACTATCTGGGATTCCTTCATAAATTATAAGTGCTTCAAAAGCCTTCCCACAAAGTCTTAAGCAATCCCCTTTCCCCATAGTCCCTTAAAACGTTTGTATATCTTTTTCTAAGGCTGAGGCAATCATAAAATCCTGCATAGCCAATTTGTATTTTTTTAATTTCAATAACAGCTTTCCTTTTTACAATACTGCATCATAATAGACTGGAGATTGCTTTGCATTGTTTTTCAATAGAAAGTCTTTCAAAAGCGATATTGCTTCTATAAAGTTGCCTAACTTTCCTAAGGACATGGCTTATAGAACCAAAGCATTTGCATAGAAGTCTCCTTATTGTCTGCATTTTTAAAAACTATTAATTGCCTTTTCATATTGGTGATTTTGCATGTATATTGTGCCCTTGAGAAATGCTATTTATGATTGGTAATCTTGATTGAGATGAGGATGGTCGATTTCTTCAAGCTCTTTCATTGCTTCCTCTAATCTTTAGGCTTTTATCAGTCTTTCACAAGTTTATAGAGCACTGGTTAATGGATGAAGAAAGAACTTTGTAATCTAGCAATTGTCGCTTGTAGTGCTGCTTATCATTGTCTTACTAAAATAGTGGATTTTAGTTACGTTTATAGAGATAATTTTCTAGTAGATGATTATAGGGTTTTTAGGTTTTTGGAATTAGAAGAACTATTTAAAGTGACTTGAGGGTTTTATATTGAAATACTTTTCCGAGGATTTGAAATGTTTAGTTATTTTCTCTTGGAATCATCATTCCTTGAACAAACATGTCTATTATCCAGACTTTCAGTTTTAACATTACTACATCTTAGCGTATATTAATATTATCTTCCTTCATACATTGAAGGGGTCATACTTTTTCTTTTTGGTGATATACTTTGTCTCACTATCATGAATTTGTTTAGTTAAATATAAAAATTTAAAATTTGATATCTAATTAGCAACTTTATTAATGATAAATCTATTATTCAATAGTCACGTAACTTTAATTCGTTCTATTGAACCTATTGTTAGTTCTTATTTAGAGTTCCTTGGGATAATTTGCATGATAAATATAATATAAAATATTTAACTACATATTTGTTAAGAACAAAAATATTATTAAATAAATTAGTAAAAAATCAAAATTATACAATTCAGTGTTGCTCAAAAAATTTTATAGAAAATATCTTTTCCTAAATACCATACTCTTGTTGAAATTTATTCTAAAAATTTGGGATTGCTATGTCTCAAAGTGAAATATGGTGAGAAGTCTTATTAGTTATATATAAAATTTTTGATTAACATGGATTAAAATGTTATTTTTTATTAAAAGAATTGATGAGGATGTAATTATCATAAAGTAATCTGCATTTTAAACATCGAGCAGATTAACCTTATTAATAGTGTTCATGAATAGAGAGCTAAAAAAATAGGAGAATGTCCACTCAAAAGGAATAAGTAAATTTCGCAAATACTCAAAATTATATGATGGATTTATAACAATTTCATACAAAAAAGTTTTGTAGAAGAATTACGCAAGAAAATTCTATTTAATTACAAACTATTAGATATCATAAATTATTTATAATAAATATACAGAAAATCATGTGTGTAATTTGTCTAGTTATAAGGAAGTCGAATTAAACATAGATTTATTGTTGTGGTAGAGTGTGAATTAAATTTATAATTAATTATTAATATAATATAAATGTGCATACCATTTTAATCGATTGCACCACCTACTTAAGGAACGAAAAAAGCAGTTTAGATGTTGTAAATTTTAGGTGTAAGTGAATTTGTTGTTGGGTTGATTAAATTATTTGTTTTGCAATAAATAGCAGGCTTTTATGATTTCTTTACTATCTTCATACATATATGGCATGGGCATAATTAAATTATTGTTATTGGGTAATTGCTGTGTTTTACTTCTTATAAAATGTATTGAAAATCCTTTATATCTAGTTATTGATGATTTTTATATTTTTTGGTATGAATGTTGAGTGAGCATTTCATTCTTCTAACCTAAAAATTTGGAGTCACATATTTTATATTTTTTTTCTATTACATAGGAGTCTGTTATGTAGCATTTTTGGCTTACAGAGAATTCAAAATATTGCAGTATGATCAAATGGAGGATTGATTCAAACAGACCAATAGAATGAATGATTGGGCATAAAATATCCAATAATAACAGCAATACTAGTAACAATACTACAATCAGCAAGCGTAACCCTAACAATAAGCATAAAGAGGGTAGTTTTAAGCATTCTAAGGGAGAGGAGTACAAAAAGGGTGAAAACTGATTTTTGTAATTCAGATTATTAATATATATAATAATATTCTCATTTACAAGATAGATGGACAAAATTGTAATCATATTTGATATCTTCTTCTTCATTATCGTCAGTTCTCATTCTTGAAGAAAGAGAATTAAAAAAGTAGCTATTTTAGTATTGCTTTTTGATCAAGAATTTCTTTTTGCTCTACTACTATTGTTGCATTTCTATTTGAGTTTTGATGAACTTTTGTTTTCTGGTAGTAGAGAATTCAGTATCAAGATGTTGAATAGGTTTAGTTGGTTTAGGTTTTTCTCTAGTGCCAATCTCCAAAAAGTCAAGATTGATATTTTTTTCTATTTCCTTCTTTACCTCAGTTAGATCATTAAAGTTTTTCTCATAAGACAAGAGTTGTTTCATAAAGTACTTGTTCTTTTATTCTGACAATGATATCAATTACTATTTAATTTGAGGTATTCTATCAAGAATAGCTTCAAAATGTTCTACTTTCAATTGATACAATTCAGATTGATCAGTATTAGAATAAACTGAATGAGTTCTTGTGATTTGGTTTTGCATCAACAACTCCATTTCTCCAAACATCTAACCACTTGTAATGTATTTAATAGTAACAAGTTTCTTCATTTATTTATAATAGTTATTTCCAAACTTCTTCTTTTGATATCTGGCTTCAATGATTTCAGATAATGTTTTTTATTTATGATTCATTCCTAATAATATCTTCTCAAAGTCTCCCATGAACATCTCATTCAAATCTATTGTGGATGTTAATACGGTTTTCACAATCTTAAATTCACCCTTCTTGATAATATACACATAATCCAATGAACCTCCTTCTTTATAAACACAAGCATTCATGGAATACTTCTTTATGAACACCTTATCGTAGAATGCCTTAATGTCTTGAAATTTCCAATTATGAAACAAATCCAAATTAGCAAATTCCTCAAAATATGTCTTTTTCATCAAATGTTTCACATTATTCAAAATGGTTAAAAAGCTCTCTCTCTCCAAGTATGCTAAATGAGTATTCTCTAGAGTTCTACAGGATGCAGTTCTTATTGCTTCCACATCCATTCCTCTCTCTCCAAAAGTGTCGCCATTCGATAGTTACTTTATTTCATGATCATATATCGATGCTTAAAGATCATTTGGATTGAAATCTTTCAGAACCTAAACTCTCCCACTTATTATTATATAAAATTTATCTCCAATATCTCCTTCCTTAAAAATAAAATGGCCCGCTTGCAAATACTTGTATTGTAAGGACTTACAACATTACTCGTGTAATAAATCAGATTCTAGGTTATTAAAAAATTCGATTGATCTAGTTGCTGATCTGAGCATAAAGACATCCGTTGATGTTCTCATTTCACAAGGCTTCTATAACACATACACAATCACATCGATCAAATCCTTGTTGCTCAATTTTATAATGATTCTTACTTTGACCCTGTCAAACTTTGTCTGAAATCAAACTTCTAAAGGACAGTCGAGGCTCTCCGTACTTATTCTGCGTTAAATATTAATCTTCTCATGATATACACTAAAATTCCTCTATTATATATGTGAAAAAATAATGCTTCTATTTTTATTACTATCTCAAGTTAAATAAAAAAAACTAATTTCTGTATTCTAAAATTAATTGGTTTAGGTCAATATTTTATAATAGTAAAAATACTCAATATTTCTGTCCACATAATTCTCGATACCTTATTTTCAAAGTAGCTAAAATCATTTTTCTCTAGAAATTTATAATTACAGGAAAATATTTTAAGAATATTTTAATTATACCCAATTATTGTAATCATTGCAGTGCAATTTAATTGTTTTAATCTCGGGCATCATCATTATTATTTGAGCCTTAATTTAATCATCCTTCTCAATCTATTTTCATATGTATTTTGAAGGAAATCTCTGATCCCTTTTGTAGTAAACCTAAAGAGAACCTCACATTAGTACAAATTGATTCACAACAAACTATATAATTCTTAATTATATTAGATTTCTAATCGAAATACCTCCTTTATTCCAAAAGCTAAAAATTAAATATTTCCTTTTCGCAGACTTTACTCTGTTTTATAGAATTATAACATTAACAAATTTAAAAATTAAAATAGAATTCTATGTAGATAGTCAGTTTTTCGGATTGTATTATTAAATTAGCTAAACATGTAATAGAAAAATTAAAGAAAATTTGAAGAAAATATTCTTATTTTTTCTATTAAATTATATATAATATTATCGAATGAACGATAAAAGAATCAAAATATGTGAATTTAGTGATACATGCTAAGTTTAAAATTGTAAAAATTTGCATAGCTCTGACTAAGGGTTCTTTTATAAGGTTTAATTGGAAAAGGCAAAGCATTAAATTGTATTTCGATTTGAATATTAAGAAATGTAAAAAAAACTGCAAACACTTTAATACTTGTTTAGATGTCCATGAAAATGAAAGGCTATTCATTTAATGTTAAAAGAATTGCGATGATTCAGACTGCATTTTTGCTCATGAAACTAATATACGCCAAAATGAAGAAAGCTTGAAAAATGCAAACCTATATAAAGAATAGGGGAATGAGTTATATAAAAAAGGAGAATACGAAAATGCAATATCTGCTTTTGATGAGGCAATTGTAATACAAATAATAATTATATTCAGAAACACAATAACTAAATGTCTGTACTCTATTCAAATAAGGCATTATGTTATAAGAAGTTAAAAAATTGGAATTAAGTCAAAGAGCTATCTGTCTAAGCCTTAAAAATAGATGAAAATAATTATAGAGCCCATTATTTAGATGCCATTTCCACAGTAGAACTTATAAAATAGAAGCCAACATCGTCGATAATAGATGTCTTGAGAAACCAACTATAAACTCTTTAACTAAGTAGACTTTACTCTTATATTATAGTTGAAATATAAGCCATAGATAGATAATTGCATTCATTAATGAATCTAAGCAATGAGAAAAATAAGGTTGAAATCCTCATTGAACATTTTAAAAAGTCAGAAGAGGGTCTAAATTTGTTGAAATATGTCGAGAATTCAAAATTACCGTAAGAACAAAAAGAGAATCTTGTTTAATTCCTTTGGTCCAAGATTTTACGAGAACAAACTATCTTAAAACCTTTAGGACATGAGGAAGATATGCCTGAGCATTTGACTTGTCCAATTACATTTGAAAGTTTTAGTGATCCCGTTTTAACTGATAGCGGATAAACTTATGAACGATTAGCTATTGAGAATCATACAAAAAAAAATGGTTATTTTGATCCTTGCACTAGAAAGCCATTGAAACATCAGTATATATCCAACTTGTAAATACTATGGGCCGTCCAATTCCTAAAAAAGAAGAAAAAACTTCATCTGTAATTTATAGAAGCCATTTAATTTGAATGATCTCAATAAAAATTAATATATTAAATATGTAATAGAATATTAGTTTTTCATTTAATTATTCTAATTATCAAAAGAGAGTATTCTCTATGATTTAATTAGTTGAAAAGAATTTATCAAAGTGTATAGTCTATATTATTATTTATATAATAT